ACTCTGCCTTCGTCTATAAAAGTTATTTAAGTCTTCCTTTTTATTGTCAAATAGAGAATTTGGTCAATCTCTTTCAAGATATATGTTGCCTATTGTAAACATGAACACTGTGATGCAGATGTTGGATCCAAACTGAGGTTTGGACTGAGGAATAACTGTCTAGGTGGTTTAGATACACGTCTTGCCCAGTTTAAAACTAAAACAAGGGATTTAGGCAAATACGGTTCTAACATTCATCATAAGTATAAATCTACATTATTACCTAAACAATATCAACAATCAGTTATTCCTTCAACAACTGTTTCATTATTCAAATCAACAGTAAGAAATAAATGATATTCTATCCTCCCTGGATAGATCGGATTCGTTCGACAGATAATATTTGGTTGCTTTATAACACAGAGTGTTTCCTTTCCTGGAAAAGTGCTTCAATTCACAATCAAAATGCACAATTCCAGTCCAAGCAAGCAATCCAATCAAAAGAGGAACAAATCAGTATGGCTGTTGCCTAAACAACATAGATGCAGTTCAGAAAGAAACATACAAACTCAGTAAAGGCAAAAGAAATAGAAACTATCATAAAATACAAAAATTATCATCTCAAAATGGAATTGAACAGATCAACAAAATGTACAACTGAAGAAACCAATAAGGATAAATTACAATTCTATACATGGAGGAATTTTCACAAACAAAGCCTTCAAAATTGGATTGATTAGACAAATAGCCAATAGGATTAAACTACCCAACTCTGTTTCAGCGAATCCCGCTGTCATTGAAAAGATCCTCATGAACTAAATAAACTAAGTTATCTTGAACAATTCGTTTTTACAAAAACAAATAATTATAGCTGAACTTCATTTATATGATTATTTTTATATTGAATTTGGTTTACGAGGTTCATCAAATATTCCATTTCTTCTTGGTGAATACAACACTGCCTCCATTGTTTCATTTAGTTCTCATCATTTTATTACATTTTTATTATACTACTAAAACTCGTTATTACTTTTTTTCTGCTTATTTATAACGAATATAATAGTAATAATCATTTTATACCGAATAAACTATTGTGTACTGTGCGTACAAATAATATTCTATTTCCCACCATCATAAAACCAGAAAATGTTCTATTATATTATTGTGGAGAGAGAGAAAAAGAAAAAGCATTTTTTTGAAGTAAAACAATATTTTTTCCCCTGAAATGTTCATTCTTTGTGTAATAAACAATGGATTAGAAAGGAGAGAAAAAAATAACTAAAGAAGAACCAATTTTAGGAAAAAAAATCCTTGATTTCATTACTGTTTATAACATGATTTTCTTTAAAACCATTTCAAGGCATTTATAGTAACAACAACGATATAATGCTTTTCTGCGTACCACCAATAAAGGCTAACTGTATTTTGTAATTGTAAAACATGCTTTCTGGGAAATAAATATAATGAATTTAAATTTCGTCTACGTGAGCTATAAATTGTAAGGCGCACTGATGTACACAAAAGATTTGCAAAGAATTGTTGCACTGAAAACAAAAATGAATGAATGAAAGATTTGATCAATTGTAAATGTTTTTTTCTAGATTGAACATTGAATGTTTCACTTCATAACAAACTGACTATAATCTTTCAACTGAGAAGTGGGTTAATTGTGGGTCAGCATAAATAAAAAGATTATTTATGTTAATGTTTACGGAAAATACTGTTTCAAATGATGAGAGAAGGTTAGATAGATCTATTTATCACCCACTACCTTGTGTCGAGTAACTTAGACTGGTGGCCATATTGTAACCTAGTAAACGATATTCGGTAAGCAATAAGAACACATCACCAAAGTAAAACTTTGAAAAGTTTTCAAAACGTTAATTGATTTTATCCATAGTTAATTCCTGTAAACCCACCTCAGCTTAGTACACTGCAAAATTTACAAGTGCTTAGTTTTATTTACAACAAAAAAAATTCAGATTCCATACTTGTAAAACAAAGTAATTATCTGTAATTTAACAATTATTTATTACGGTTAATTAGGATTGGAATTTGTTCAGTGACATTATCTTTCTTTATGTGTAGATATTGATTTTTTTAAAATTAAATTAATTTCAATTTCGAAGAGTTAATGAGGAAGAATTAATTCTTTTTTTCATTTCCATGGATTTCATTGATTTAAGGTTGTACAATCGTAATTGTAGTACATTTTACAGCTGATAAAATGGAAGTATATTGAATAGGTAAATTAAATTGTAAAAGATAAATGAATATTTTCAAATTATTTCATAATCTTAGAGGTAATGCGAAGCAATAGATCATAAATGAGATGAAATGGTATGTGTTTGTTTTACGAATAATAAAAAAGTTAAAGAAGGCTGTAAAAAAGGATTCATTCATGATTTCCATGATACTATATGGCGAGAGAGAACGCAGCCGGTGGAGTTCAACCCTTTTATCAGGTGTAGGCGGTTACTACCGAAGACAGTGGATGAGGTTGTGCGAAAGTCAATAGCTTGATCATATGTCAAACGTTAACATCATTGGATGCCTGTTCAGCGGTTCATAAGTTAGGCATTCGCTCGCAGGACGGAAAGTCCTGGATTCGAATCCTACGAGCTAAGTTCATGGGTACGCACTGCTGATGAGTCGCATACCAGAACTAGACGGCCGTCTAGTGCTTCCCGGTTTCTAATGTCTGTATAATGATCATTTATCATGATTTCAATATAAAAAAAGATTAACGTATAAAACATAAAACAAGATGTTGAATATGATTTATGAGTAATGCAAGTTATGAAATCTAACAGGATTCACAAACCATCTAGATAATGATAATAGTTATACTCATGGACTCATTAGCAGATATATTTAAACTATAATCTTCAGAGTTCTAATGAGAAACCATGACAAATGAAGTGGAAAGATATCAAGTGTTAGGCAAACGCTTACCGTTGACACTAGAAGGTGATTGCTCAATGGATTGTAGTTATTATTGTAAATCGTTGGTTGATGGCTTAGTGGTCTGTCTAGCTGTTAAACGCATGCTATGAAACATAAAGATCCTGGATTCTTTCTCAAACAGGTCTGTGAGTGCCCACACTAGATCAGAAGATTTGTTCTAACTGGTTGCCTAAGTTCAGTGCATGACGTGAAAAGTAAAAGCCTATAATTTTTCACAAACACACTCCATGTAGTAATGATGTCAAAGCTATAAATAAACCGCTTCACTAATAATAAAGAAATTGTCATATATGTTAAAAAAACTAATGAACACTTTAAAGGCTTTAAAAACGTAAAATTAGTCTGGTCAAGCCGAATCGACGCTCATCTTAGTAAAATCCGACACGATTACTTAAAATATGCGGTCATTTATCTCAGTCACACGGTCATAGTTATGTGTGTGAGGAAATGAAAATAATCCAGTATTTCATTGTCGTCGCTAATAGCAACATATAACTTAATTCAATGTACCAGAGTGTCTCAATGAATCCAGTGTATGAATTTGTATTTGCACTATGTCAGTATGAATTTCAGTGATCAAAAAATTGTTTTTTTAAACCTGCATGCATATAAGCGAATTTATAAATGTTGGCAAAACTAGACGATTCTCTTTTATATCAACAATGTTTGTCTTCTTCTATAAGTCAAATCATTCCAGGTTTTAGTTCTAGGCATAATATATATTATTCTGTTCTTACAGAGTCTTTATTTCAAGTTATAAAAAATTCCGAAAAGTAAAGTGTTCTGGTTATATTAATCAGTATTATTAAACTATTCGGCTTGTCTACTGTATACATTTTTAGAAACAAACTATAGTTTTAAAACGTTTCTTTTAACAATTTGTGTGTCAATTTGAAAAAATAAATATAATTCATCTTAATTTACTTCCAGGTTTCTAATGATGATTTAACATTGATCGATTTAGGATTTTAAAGTAATTTAACAATTTCCTTAAACCCTTGAATGCAACGCTTCATGTGCTCATTAGTGACTAGCATAGTGAGGACGTTTCTCCTAGTTCTAGTGAGAAGTCGTGGCCAGTGAAGTTCAACTCTGTTCAAGTGTGGAACAGTGATCACTGAAGAGAGTTGTTAAGGTTGCGCAAAACCGTAGATTGATCGAAGTTAAGCATTAACACAGTTGGATGCCGCGTCAGTGGTCTAAATGGTAAGTGTTCGCACTCAAGACCAACAAGGGTCATGGGTCCATTTCATACGAGTAGCTTGAGTTGTGGACACGCACTGCTAATGAGTAGTCCCATGCCAGGACAAGATGGCCGTCCAGTAATTTCAGGTTTCTAATGGTGGTCTAACATTGACTGTTTCATGATTTTAAAGTAACTCACTAATCTTCACAACCTTATAATGCATATATGGGAATACTATTGTTATTCATCGATTGATATCTAATAAATACATCCAATAAATATCATCTTGTCTGAATTCAGCTATAAATATATGGCAAAAACTTCCGAGCCTTTGTATAGTTAGTTTTCATAATAGGTTAGCTTTGACTGGAAGCCAAGAATAATCAACTTAGGACAACACAACAGCTCATTGATCAAATAAAGAAAATCTATAACCTCTGGTGAATGTTATTGTTGAACTGTGATTCCTTGTTGTACATGATAACTCTCTCATTTTTAATATGACTCTTTTGAATCACAATATACAAAAATAATGTACCCTAATGACTAAAACGATTACCTATACGTGGTATTCCATCATAAGTAAACTATCACAAATACCACTAATAGACAATGATATATTTTAATTAGAACTATTCTTAAAGAATCAAATACTCAGCCCAATCATTCAGTACGTGAATACTAAAGCAAACGTTTCATATAAAAATTGTTTGGATATAAATTCCTGTTAAATATTCAATTTTGTCTATAAAACGTTCAATTAAAAAGACACATATTAAACGGCATCTATTCAAAAGTTACACTGTTATACAATTTTTCTGTCTTCAAGTTCATTGATTTATTTGTTCTTCACTTTACTTTGCTTTAGGTATACACTAACTGAACTTTGTGACACAGAACTTGAATATAGCAGAGCACTGAAACAATTATCTGATATATTGAATTCATTAAATGGCAAGATTATTTTGGACTATGCTGAGAGTTCCGAAAAAATTATTGACTATCCGAAATCTATTGGCGATAATATTAAAGGTCTTCAAGTTACTCTGAGTAGAATTATTCAACTATGTGGGTAAGTTCACAAGAGACATAAAAACTATGCCCTAAACTTGAGTTTTTGCGTGCTTAATAACACTAGTAGAAAATTAATGAAGTTTGTAAAAATATGTCACTGTCGACAGTGACACTGGATGACTTTGGTTTAAAAGCACGATGATCGTTTCACGATTCATCTGACTAAGAATCGATACCAAGTATTCAGATAAATTTATAGCTCTTTAAAGACTATTTTGACCAGCTTGCATCAAAATATCGTGTCAGCGATACTAAGTGATTGTTGGGGATGTGAGATCCTTAGAACTCACTTGATGAATATCTTTATTTTGGATTTATTTCATCGGCCGATCAGTTGACCTTGGGATCACATTTCCCACCAAGGAAATCCTTGGCTGTGATTGGTTACTGCGTTATTTTAGTGCGCTGTTTCGTGACTCTCCCAAGGACGTCTCTATGGAGTATGAATAAACGCGATTTTTGTGTGCTTGGATTCATTGTGTGCTGTCTGGGTGTTTGTAGAATATACTTTCTACGCTATATCAAGACTTCTTGCTGGTACAATTGGGACAGTCGGATCATAGTAGCTTACCTGGACTGTGGTCCATTGTTTTGTTCTCGTAATAGTTTTAAGCATACCTAGAGACGAGTATAAATAACAGTGACCTAAACCAACAGTCATATTCCAACTTGATACATAGAACTTAATCAGCACTAAGGACTAAACCAGCATAACACCGATCACCAGTTATTGACCAATTAGTATGCTTATCTTGCTCCTCTTACAAGAGATCAGTCACGTCTTAAACATTCTCGTGACAACATCTTAGCGTGTACGGTTGCAGAGGACAGTTTTGAACCTGACAGAGAACGTTTATATTATATGAATTCGATAATTTTACCGAAAACAAATTCTAAACTTATGTTAAAATATTATCACTTAACGCATTATCAAAACTCTAATTGTTCTATGGGGATCATCAAGTTAACTATGTCAATATTTTAATTACACCACTAAATTTCAGATCGAAAATCACATCTACAAGAGAAATCAAACAATTATTGACTTAATAGTTTCTTAGAATAAATCTAACGATAAAATTCAAGTAAAGCAATTTAAATGAAAATAAATCTAAATCTAGTCTGGACATTCTTTGATTATACAGACTAAAGCTAAGACAGTGAACCATTAACCTTTTTTACAAGAACAAAGCAAAAAAGCAATGCACACAATATTGGTCTATAAAAAGGCGTTGTGTATTTTTTTTTTTACAAATGCAAGATTTATCTGGGATTTTATTTGGGATTTTTCTTTATAAGAAAATATTAACATGTTTTACAGTGTATGTAAGATTTTTTTTTTTACTATCTCTATTATTTTTTCTTAAGGGGGAAAAATGCTCATTCGCATGAAAATTGTTCAATAATCAGATCTATAAATAAATGTGACTTTTTAACTTTTATGTGTCTAAGCAAAATTAGATCTGGCTTTTTGCCCATTGTTAAAATGTCTGTAGCGACAATGTAAGCCGAACACGAATTGGAAACGGCATAAATGAGAATTGTTAGCTCATAGATTGAGGCAACAATTCATCAATTATTCACCAATATGCTGCAGTACACCTTTTACTTAATTGATCAGCTAAATTCATGAATGCTTCTTCAAAAATTGCATTTTTATTCATTAATGAGATATGAAGATTGTTCTTCTTGATTAAATAAATGAATCTACCATTGCTCGACCACCATTATAAACCTGGAAGCACTGGACGGCCGTTTCGTTCTTGTATGAAAGTTCAGTGGTGCACATTCACGACCCCACTCGCGAAAATCGAACCCAGGACCTACGGTTTTGCGCGCGGACGCTTAACCTATGGACCACTGAGACGACATCCAACGGTGATATTGTCTAATTTCCGTCAATCTAAAAATTTTATTCGACATCACGAGCCTAGCGGGGGTTGAGGATGCGCACTGCTGAAGAGTCTCTTACTAGGAGGAGACGAGCGTCTAATGCCCCCAAGTTTCTAATGGTGATCTAACAACGATCAGTTCATGATTTTAGTCAAAAACATTTGTGTTCAGATTGTGGTTGAATTTTAATACTCTTAGGCAATCTGAATTAAACTAAATAATGAGGGAGAGATTCGCGATAATTTTCTGTAGTAAAATCCAATAAACGTTATTAGTTGCAACTTAGGCTGGATTTTCTGAGGGAAACAGATAAATATATATTTGTGAATAACTTATACAAATATATTCAAGTCCGGTCTTTGTGAAAAAACATCCTTCCCGCTCTTGGTTTTCTCAGTGAAGGTAGCTGATTGAACTCAAAGAAGAGAAAACCAGTATGTAAAATCTGGATGGCTATGAATATAGGAAATCGTAAATAACTACTTAAAAGTGAGAAATGTACAGGTTCTGAAACGGATTACGTTTTAGCGAAATCTTAATGCACAACTCACGACTACATGTCAGTTGCATAAATCATGGTTTTTAACTTGATTTTCCCTGCGCTCCATTATTATCTCAAAGTTGATGTCGATTTTTTTCATCCTTTTGGTTCATTTTAGTATGTTCTTAGAAAAACTGCCTTCATACTCATTAGATCCTGGAAAATCTGCTGAATGTTTTACAAAAACTGTAAGTTATTTTGCATGAGTAGAATTATGTTTGCGTGTTCTTTCTTTTCTGAAATCTGTTTTCAGTACTTGCACAAACTTTTATTGTATACATTTGAAGATAAAAATTAATGAATACAAAAGCAATAGTTCTTTTTGAGTGTGATAAGAGTTAACACACCTTTGTATCGAATCTTTTTGTCGTCTTGTAAAAAACTTGCAGTAAATCGAGTCAAAACTTTTTTCTTCTAAATTGAATAATATAACCAAATTTTTTAGCTCAGTTTTCTCAGTGTTGTCAATGTAGCTGAAATGAAATCTTAAAGTTGAACAGTATGTTCTTACAACCATCTAGCGAAGCATAGAGAGTGAATGCCAACTGGATGGTTCTAGATTAGAATCCATGGACGAAACAATGAAAAACAATATATTTAAACAAAAAGCTAATCATGACTTCACAATTTTGCACCAAATTCAAATCACACCTAACAAGCAGTAAAATATCTTTATATACATTAAAAACACTTAAACTGACACCGGATAATGATTACTTGAATCCGCATGGCGGTATTAAATGCTCAATCCTCGCCAATATGATTGTCTAAAAAGTTGAATTAAGTGTGAATATGGTATGGGTAAAATGTGAAAAAAAACATTCAAATTAATGAACAAGTATGATAGAAAATTCGGAAACATAATCACAAGATAAAAAATCATCATTTTGTAAGGTGTTTAGGATTACATGATCATCATGCTATGAAATAATCGATAAGAAATTACTGATAATCAAAAAAAAGAAAAGAAACACTAAAAAATGTCATATTGTTATGATTAAGTAACTGAAAGAGGCTGACACTGACAGATTGTGATTAGATTTCATAGACGAGTGGAATAAAATCATATGATAATCGTACAGAGAGATACAATGCAGAACTTCGTACATAAGTACATCAGTTCACGTTGCCATACCACATCAGCACACAGACGCGACTGTCAGTTCACATCCAAGACTGATAGCAATAATCGAAGTATTCGCAGTAATGGAGAAGATTAGGGAGCGTAGATATGATTCGAGAAGTATAATTCAGTGAGATAAATTTAGAAGGAGAAAGACAGAGATTATGAGGAATTCAGAAGGTTAGAATTAAAAAGCATACAAAGAGTGGATGCAACTGCGCCATTGCAAACGATTTTGAGCCATGTCGTTCAAGGTCTCTAACCATTGGTGACTTTCGTCTAGCGGACTCTAACCAGATAGCCTACATCTATCTACCAAACTGACTCAGTTCACTTGTCAGTGACTTCATGGCTTTGTGCCATGTTTTGGTTTGGCCGCCCCTAGCTTTCTTCCAACCTACTCTTACACCACAAAACACAGCTCATCGAGGCAGTCGGTAGTTCGACATACGTAACACATGTCTCAACCACCTCAACTGATGCAGTTTCGCTGCTTCATCTATTGATTTGCCATCCTTACCTAGTACTCGTTTCCTAACGATAGCATTGATTATACGGTTGTCCCAGCATACACGAGCAATGCTTCGGAGACATCAATGATCGAAGACTAGTAACCTACGAACGTCCTCCACTCTTAACGGCAATGTTTCGAATCCGTACAGTAGGACGGAGCGAACTGCTGCACAGTACACTCGTGGTTAGTGATCGAATTTCTCGCCTGCGCCATAGGTGATGCAGTTTGGCAAAAGCCTGTCGAGCCTCCTGTATCCGTGCTGTGTTTTCGTCAGTCACCAAGCCATCAGCACTGGTGAGACTCCCCAGATACTTGAAGCGGTCAACACGCTCAACTACTTCACTCCCTATCACTAGTTCAGGTGCTGATGCAACCCAGTCTTGAAGCAACATTTCGCATTTCGTACATTTATCAATGAAATCACTGATCAATACATCACAAGACTGTTGGTTTTGGATTGTCTTAAAATATATACTTCAATTAGATCGTGCTCTTAACAGCTGATCATACGTGTTCAGACAGAGACTATCAGAGAAATTAACAATCCTTGTTTCGCTCTTTTAGTCATTCCTCATTTACATGATCTTACATCTCAGTATCTAATAATTACCGGCACAGTGTTTGAATATTACTATTCAGGACGAAACATTCAATCAGAACTTCCCCATGACTGTGTCTAATAACTTAACACAATGTATGACTGAAATTAAAATCGATCTTATACATGAACGGTGTACAATTCTGACAAGTTTAGAATAGTTCATATAACACAGCATTAAATAATTAGGAAAGATAAATATTTTTTAAGTATCTTAAAACGCTATCAATCAGTTGTGTGTAAATGTAATCTTTGAAATTGTTTGCTTAGAATCTAAAATGAAACCACAGTTTGTCAGTAGATATGAATGAAACAGTTTACTGTGACCAAAAAGTACGTGAAATAATCAATCCTTTACGCACAAAAAATCTCTTTCAGATCATCGATTTTATCGGCGATAGTGCTGATCACCTAGACTAAACCGGTTCAACTGATTTTTCTCCCTAAATACACAATGTGTAATTACTTGTTGGCCTCTATGAAATGAAATTGTCACTATATTTGTAAAATTATTTTTTCATTTTAAGGAGTTATGTTTAAACATTTGACATTTGACAATTTTTTTCATGAAAGCTTAAAGCTGAAAGTCACTTAACTCATTAATAACTTGAATACTTTGTCAAAATCTCTCATATTCATATATATATCTCTATCAAGTAGTCTGAATGTATTTTAACTTTGAAATTAGATCACCGGTAAATTTAATTCATAAAATTGTAGAGAATGTAAAATTTAAGCACTAGAAAAAAGTAAACACGTTAAAAATGTTATAACATTCTATTAATTATTGTATTTTTAAAACAAAAAATAAACTAAATGCAGATAATTTTGAAATGTAGTCATTTCATCTTGTTTTACTTAGAACAAACTATAAATAGTTGTTCATTCAAAGCTCTTTTTTTTAACACCGGGTTGTTTTTTTTTCTTTCTTTCATGGTTAGTTTCGAATTTTCACTTCAAAATTTATTCATTCTTAATCTAGTTGTAGAAATAACTGTATAGATATATATATTATTTTCCTATTCACATTCTTCACAATAATTCAAATAGAGGCAGAGAAAGAAAACATCCGAGGGCATAAATAATCAAGCAAATGAATCAGCATTATGGTTTTCTATTCTTTTCTTTTCCCCTCCTCGCCTTCAAAACAGTAGGGAGAACATATCAACATGACCTTGAAACATAACAGAATTATTGAACTTTGTACACGATGTTTATGCAGGTTTTATGAAGAAGACATTTTAGTTATTAATGTATTTATTTTATTCATAATGTATCAACTAGTTTACTTTCATATTCATTCATTTACATACAGGCTTATGCATATGATGTTTGATTTATATGCATCATACAAATGGTATGAACTATTGTTATGGCTTACTCTCTCTATACATTAATACGATTTCTTTGTGATAGAAAGGAAAAGCTGAATGTAATGTGATTTTCTCCTTTGAGATGGAATCTCGCCTCAATTAACTGTAGTTTTTTTTTCCTTATTAGTTTTATTATCGAATTTTGTTTTAATGTCTGATGTCATGCAGAGGCATTCAGTAATCTAGAATCCGCTTAAATGAATGTAGGAGCTTAGTTTTACTTAGTAAAGGTCATAATATATTGTTTTCCTGCTATAGTTCACTATTCATTCTTTCGTCCAACTAAACAAATCAAACATAAGAGAATTACTTCGGTGATGAATTGGTCTAACACTGTGCTGAATATCATGAATGAAACTTCTAATATTCAGCTTTCTACTTATTAATACTGATTATTTGAAACTACAACCCATATAAGTTTGAATTAATCTATCAAAATTGAACATTCACAATGACAGAGTAAATAGTTTCAAATAATCGGTAAAAGGGTTCGAAAATCACTGCAGAACCATCGCATCACAAGTAATTCAAACAATAACTCGCCAAACTTAGTGAAAATTAAGAATGACAGATAATTTATACAGTGATTGATCTCACCTGTGAATTCATTCGTTAAAGCTTACAACTAACTAACTACATCTTCACAGTATGATATCATTTCGCAAGACAATCAATATTCACTTCACAGAATCCTATCAATGTGTTTTTTTTCATCCACTGCACTTGAAACTGAAAGTAGGTATTTTTTTTTTACTTCGTCCGTTCATTCATTTCATTCACACATCATCATTGATTTGTTCAGCGTCAAGGACCATAATCATTATTTTATGTCCACACAATAAAAATCGATAGTCAAAGCAATAAAACAGCATAGTGAGTGACTGAAAGTAATTCTTCATGGAAATTGTGTTCTCTTTTATTTTTTTTTCTTTTTCGTCCAACCTTTAAAACTTTTTGATTGATAATTTGCTAGTGCGCTATTTTTTTTTCATTTGCTACCGAATTTTTTCACGCATTCCATCTCTACCTTCTATTCGTATTATTGACTGATTTTATTGCTGCTGGAAAATCAGGTAAAGCATGTGCGAATGAATGGTTGAACAAATAACTGTCATGTATTGATTGATTGATTGATTGATTGACTGATAGATAGATAGATAGATAGACAGATCGAGGTTATCAACTCATTTGCATACTGACTAATCCGAAAACCTGAATAACTCCAACTGGTCACTGCAAGTAGAAAAGGAAGAGTTTGTTTTTGCTTTTTCGTTTGATTATTTTGTGTTTTACACTCTCACTTAAGGTAGACTTTCTTGAAATCATGCTGATAATTGTTTTTTTTTAGAACGCAGGTCAATAGGTTGGTGTTTCTGTTGAAAATGAATTGTTTAAATGAATAGAGAATGATTAGAAATGATGAACAAATGTCAAGCTGCAGTGTATAGTCATAAGATGGTTGCTTAACCATTTTGACTAGATAGTGTTGAGATAATGACCTCAGCATTGTCAGTTAAGTGATATGCATTACAGACTCTCACAATGAAGGTAGTTTAAGAAAAACTGATTTCTTTGCAGGGGGAGGGTAGAACAGTGAAATTTTGGTAAAGGTTGTTAAATATGTACATATATATTTGTACATATGTACGTATTAATTACGGCTAGAAAATCCTAGATATCAAAATTGTATGTCAAAAACTGTTTATTCTGGGCGTCCTTAAAATCCAAAACTACTTTTATTTAATGTCAGATCATTATAAGAATGCTTTTCAAACCAGTGAATGATGAAAAAAAATGTAATCAGTTTATCGAAGTTGTAATGGTTTAAAATATTATTAAAATGGTGAATTATTTATTGTTCGACCATCATTAGAAACCTGGAAGCACTGAACGGCCGTTTCGTCCTGGTATGGGACTCATCAGCAATTCTCATCCACTCACAGGAATCAAACACATGACCTACGGTCTTGGGGGTGAACGCCACACATATGAATCACTGAGCCGGCATCCAACAGAGTTATTGTCTGACTCTGATCGCTATAAGGTCTTACGCGACCTCACCCATTGTAATTGATAGTTACTGTCTACACTCACCAGGGTTGAACTTCACTGACAAAGTGCTCATTAGCACCTAACGTCACTAGGAAATTCTCGAAGTTCTAGTTAGGAGAGGAGACCAGTGGAATTCAACCGTGTCGGGTGACAATGGGTGAGGTTGTGCAAAATCTTGAATTGATCACAGTTAGACATTAACGTCGTTGGATGACGGCTCAGTTGTTCAGATATTAGGCACTGCCATACAAGACCGAAGGTCTTTGGTTGGATCCCCGTTAAAGATGGTCGTAGATGTGCACTGCCGAAGAGTACTATACTCGGGCTAAAATGGCCTTCCAGTGCTTTCAGGTATCTAATAGTAGTCTAACAATAATTGATTCATGCTTTCCATAATACACACCAATGACTATAACTCGATAATGAACAATTAAAATATTCGTTAGACAAATATATCTTAGTACGTTTTCTGACTAAAACGGTTAATTCAGTTTATTTTTTCGACAGACAATGTTTTCCAAAAAATTTTGTCGATACTCCTTGTATTAATTTTCATGCAGAGATTCTTAGAAGAAAACTAGATGATTAATGAGTATGCGTAGGGATGTAGGGAAATTATTATTATCATAATCTTCCCATGAGGTTCTGAGTACACACCACGTTGAAATAAAAGGTTTTCCAAAGATCTGTAGTTTTCAATGAGTCTTCACATAACATCATTTCTCCACAAACGTATGCAAAAGGTTTGAAAAATCACGGAATTTAATAATTTATCAGTGTTATACTGAAATTTGATTAGGAGATTAGGATATCTTCAACTGAATAATCCGTTCCAATCAATAACAATATATTCTCATCCAGTATCGAAATTGGCTTGACAGATACACACAATATCATTCAAATGAACAGTATCAAAGTGCTGAAATATCTTGACCAAATGATTGATATGCTTGAATGCTATTACGAGTTCACTATACTCAGTAAACGGGAGCGAAGACAAATGATGCTATTGACATGATAGGCTATTCTAATCCGTTGTCCCAGGCCCTGCTAACTATATCAAGAAATCTACATTTGACGTATAAAGTGTATTCTACAAGCACCCAGAAAATACGAGATCGCACAAATACACAAATCGAGTTTATTTAAATACGATAGAAGCATCTTTGGGAGAGCCAAAAAAAATAGTGTACTAAAATAACACATCAACCAATGACAGTCAAGGATTTCCCGAGTGGGAAATATCATCTCAAATTCAACTGATCAGCCCATGAACGAAAACACGAAATCCAAAATTAAGACTATTCACAATTAAATCAAATACAACGCTCTTTATGCTAAAAAGGAATAAATATGTCACATATAAACGGAAACAGGTCTCCATTTTATAAAAGAGCACAGTCTTTAAACTGAACAGAATATTATTTATATTAGTAGAGAATTTCATTCATTCCTTTGGTTTCTCATCCCAGTTGTAATCAACCTATAACTAGAAACAACTAATATATGGTTCTAAACAAAGTTTTTTTTCATAGTTTAATTGGAGTGAAAGTTAAAATGTTAGAAAGGTATAGAAAAAGACAACAATACGAAACACATACATGAGCAAACATAACCAAGATATATGCGTATTTATACAGATTGAAAAACAGTAATATAATCTAGAGGATCTACTGTTATACATACTTTTCAACACAATGAAAATGTAAAAGGAAGATATTATCGTCATGAAAATAATAAATGATGACATTATTACTAAACACTCCTAAAACCCAGACTAAATAAATCTAACGGAATCAGTCAGATCATGTAAGAGAACAATGACTGAAACATAGAATAGCGAATCGTAAAATAAAACATGAAATTGGTTATCTAACTTCAGATACAATCATGCTTTCTTTCAGAACACGTATTTGACAGTATTCCGGAAAGCATATATTTTTCAAGTAGAAGTTGCCTGAATCAAAATAAACTTTTGGCTAGCATTATGACATTAAAATTTCCATCCTTTTTTATTGACTTAAGGCTCCTATACACTTGGGAATGATTTCCCCTGATTTTTAAATCTCAAACGATCTGATTAGCTTAATGGCTAAATAGCCGAGGTTTGGTGTTATCTAAATGTTTTTGAAACAAAACGAACTACTGAAATTTCAAAAAGTAGTATATTTATTATACGCACAATTGTTTTGGCATAGAAAACACGCAGAACTACGTTTGGTTGAACAAAAGAACGAAAACTTGTTCTCAAGCTATAAGTGATTTGTTGTTGAAATCTGATTGTTGTATAAACGCTTTGCTATAAATGATCATATCCTATTTTTGTTAGTGATCAATTACTTTGAGATGTCGACACTACCAAACTTTGGTCTTTACAGTACACAATATACGAATGACGTTAATTTCTAATGTCTGACAGCAAACGAAACCTCTATCTATCTACAGTTTGTAAGTTACAAGAAATTGGTAGCACACCCAGACATACATTATTATTTGGTGTCATACTTCTTTATGTCGATAAGGCATACTTTAGAATACTTTAGGATTTTATAATAAACCCACACAGCTTTAGATTTTCGTTTTAAATTTTCGCCATAACCTAGATATCATCTTGAATAGTTGGAAACCGTTGTTATTTTACAAATAAAGTTGATCTATCAACATGTTTCCTAAAAGTGGAATCATTAATTTTTGTCTAACAAATCAATCGTTCCTAGGTCTATTTTTATATTTCTAGCGATAATTTCGAAACCATGACGGTTAATTTTTTACTTGAATTAAATCATCATTTTCGTTTGAATACGTTTCATTTCATTGTTAATAAACTCACTAATAAGTAAAGATAATATTCATTTGAGGCTTATTATAGTAATATGTTTCTAGATCATGATGTTATCTACCATACTCTATTATAGAACATCTAGTCTAATAGTGAGAACATATATATTCAGATGTCGCTATTCATTTTACAGTAAGACAATAATCTTGCCCTACGCAACGCCTCCACCTGAAACCTTCCTCGGGTTTCTGCGGGTCCCAAGCAAAGATAAAGTTGAATGGTTAAGCATTGGGTTGGCAACTTCCTTCCGTGGAAAACCAACTTCCTATAAAAGACTCTATCCTTTTCGTTTATGAAATTAATATTAATTTATTGATAAACCAACTTTATCTTTTTTTTTCTAATATTTCTATTTAGCCTGATCGTTGGTATGAGTATACAATATTTCTTATACATTTGGATTACTTAATCAATCACATTTTACAAATCACTTCACAAGATACAGAAATATTTTTTAGTCTTTCCATACCAGATTCTATACAAAAAACCACTGTTTTATTAAATGATCAAACGGATTCATTGATATCATCTAATCAGCGTAACACCACTACTACTACTACCACAACTACTTCCACTACTACTACTAATAATAATAGTAGTAATAATATTTCTGTGAGAAATTTTCTAGAACTTTTGGATATTCCAAGGAAGCGATTAAGTGCATACGGTGGATTATTAAAAGATATAGCAAGATATATATCACGTGACGGTTCGTCAACAAGTGAATTTGAATTGGCTATGATTTATGTGAGCAGGGCACAAAGACGTGCTGAGGAATTTCGACATTTCTGGTCGCAAGTTGATATAAATTTCAAGGAAATATTGAATTTTGAAAATGCATATGAGGATAAATTATTATTATTTGAAGAGTGTATACCACCGGCAATTATACGAATAGTAAGTGTTTCTTTGTGAAATTCTAAATTTTAATTATGATATTTATGATAATATTTAGCATAGATCATAAAACTTAATGCAGGTTCTACGTAATATAATAATACTGTTTCGATATAATTACGCTCGTCTCTAGGTATGCTTAAAATATTACGAGTTCATCTTAGTTGAATAACGAGAACAAAACAATGAACCAGTAGCGTCGAGGTAGGAGGCTACTGTGATCCCTTGACCAAATTGAATCAGCAAGAAGTCTTGATATAGCGTAGAAATTGTATTCTACAAACACCCAGCAAGCACACAAGGAATCCAAGCACTCAATTTGCGTTTATTTATACTCTATAGAGACGTCCTTGGGACAGTCAAAAAAATAGCACACTAAAATGACACAGTAATCAATCACATCCAAGGATTTTCCTGGTAGGAAATGTGATCTCAAGGTCAACTGATCGGTTCATGAAATAAATCCGAAATAAAGATATTTACCAAGCGAGTTCTGGGGATCTAACATCCCCAACAGATAATAGATCACAAAACTTAATGCTGGTTCTACGTAATTTAATACTGTTTTGATTTAATTAAAATAACTTTAAATATATATCATTACATGTTCAACACAAAAACTTGAAAGGGATATTATATATCCATTTCAAGCTGTTGTAATCATCATAGTTGATGCATTTCAGTCTATTTGACAGAAATCAGTTTAAGAATTGCAAAATTCACTTTATCCATCGTTTAGTAAAATTAAGAAATATTTTAGATTGAGTGATCTTTATCGTAGAAAATCTAATGTGAAAATAGGGCATACAAAAACCGCCAGTTTGAAAATCGGTAGACAGATTGCAACGATTATCGAAGTATATTCGTTGAACTAAGCCAAATATAAACGGTTTGCCTAGGTTATCATGGATTTCAACTATCTACTAAGCTATTAGATATAAAATCCCGACAAGTAATGGCATAACCATAATAAGTGACTCCGAAAAATGAATAGTATTATTCTAGAACACTGCCAAAGCGATAAGTGACAGAAAATCAAAACTCATACCTAACACATCGCGATGAAATTGTGTTATATGATAGCGATGATTTAATTTTAGAGATTTCTTTGTCTTTCCATATAATATTAACTAGTTATTCAAAGATGCTCCATCTTTGCTTCGAACTCTCTAACACCTCACGTTCCAAAATTTGAAGTACTTTGACGTTGAAATTTCAAGACTCCATTAATATTCCTATTATAAGCCAAAATCAGTTGATTCACATCTCGCAAATTAAACTGATTCTTAACCGAATAATGAGAATATACTGCCATAATGTTTCTAACTTAAATGTTTCTTCCGTTCAATGATTCTTGTTTTTCAAATATTCTACCGGTGAAATCACTTTACACTAAAAATGTTTTGCATTATGAGTTTGTGGAGATTGCTGAGTTACCTTTTGAAATCATGAATCGATCAATGTTAGATAACCATTAGAAACTTGAAAGTACTTGACCGCCGTTTCGTCCTGGTATAGGTTTAATCGGTAGTGCGCATCCATGGCTCCTGAACCTTGCAGGGCTTAACCTAGGACCTAGAACGCGAACGCCTAACCTATGGATCACTGATTCAGTATCTAATGGTGTTGATGTCTAACTTCGATCAATTCACGGCCTTGCAAAACCTCATACACTTTCTTCAGTGTGCACTGCTTCACACCCGAACAGGGTTGAACTCCACAGGTAATTCGCATTATAAGGTTCTGGAGATTGCTGAGTTACTTTTTGAATCATGAATCGATCAACGTTATACCGCCATTTAAAATCCTGAAAGCACTCGACAGTGCAAAGCGGTGAACTGATCGAAGCTAAAAATTACCTCAGTTAGATAGTGGCTCAATGGTCCAGAGGTTAGGCGTTCACGCACAAGACCGAAGGTGCTAATATCGAATCCTGCTGGTTGCAGGAATCGTTAGTGCACACTGCTGATGAGTCCCGCACCAGGACAAAACAGCTATCCAGTGCTTCCAGGATTCTAATGGTGGTCTGACATTGATCGATTCATGATTTTAAAAACTATTCACACCAATGTTAGCATTTTTAAACTGCCCAGATTTTTTACACAATCTTTATTTCTTCAATAATAATAATAACCTATTTTTTTTGCTTAATAGACTGACATTAAAATTGGTCAACACAAAAACATTCAACTAGATCAAAGTGAAATGCGCATGGAAAGATTAATTCTTCTGCCTGATCATTTGTTATCACTTCGAAAAATCACTGAAGATAATTCATCTTACTGTTGGAAGTTGAATACAATCATTCATGTAAGCAAAATAGACATGTACATTTTGCTGAATTTAGTCATAATAATTGTATATTTCGTTTGTTTGTTTTTTCTAGGTTGAAATATTTCAAACATTTTGATTATTTCCTCCTTTCATTCTTGATTGTCTATTGTATAAAATATATGAGACTGGGTTAGATGAAATTTATGGGCTTTTTATTTTCAAATTTTTTGAAGAAATATGTGTTGATTTTCTTTTTGCAAATAAAGGCTGATTTAAGATTAAGACTGAATTTGAACTTCAGTAATTTTGAGGGACTTCCAGCCAGTACATGAATGTTGATTATGAAATGAAGCATATCATCAAGGAGAATAGCTGATGGTCAAACAGTATGATGAACTGATTAAAGTTAGACTTGTAAAGTATACGATGTCAAATGAGTAGTGTAAAGCTTGAGTGCTTGCCATTTTATTTCTGTATACATATCTTGCATACAAAAATGTTTATTTACAAACATTTTTAATCTAATGAAATTGCTTTCTAAATATTATAATCACTGAAATAACTTTTATAATTTAATTGTACATGACTAATAATCCTAACTATCAATAAGTAATCCCGCAATGAGGAATCGAACCTAGGACCTGTCAATCAGGGACGCTTTACTCATAAACAACTGAACGATAATCTAAACAGATTCTTTTCCAATGATATCGAGTTATGAGGTATGATTGTTTTCTACTGAACTGGTTAACATGCGCAGCTTAAGTTATAAACGTTTACTTTTTGCAACGTTGTTAGGTTTGCCAATAGATACGCTTGAAGCTATTACGAGAACGAGACAATGAACCAGCGTCCAGGTAGTCTACCTTGATCCGAAAACGGCAAAGGAGAGGTCTTGAAATTGCGTAGAAAGTATATTCTACAAACACCTAGCTAGCACAATGCCATCAAGCACACAAATCTCGTTTATTTATACATCATAGAAACATCCTTGGGGTAGTCACAAAAATAACACACTAAAATACACAGCAGCCAATCACAGCCAAGGATTTCCTTTGTGGGAAATGAAATCTCAAGGTCAAGTGATCAGCCCATGCTCGTAAACATGAAATCCAAAATAAGGCATTTATCAAGCGAGTTCTGAGGATCTAACGTCCCCAATAATCGTTTATCCTCCATCTATCTTAGTTGGAACCTACAAAATACACTTATTTCTTGTCAAAATTCTGTTGTAAAAGTTAATTCTTTAATTTTATTCTTTACAGCTCGATGAACTACGTGTTGGTGACTATGGCAATGATGGAAATGATCAACAATCCTTTGAATTATGGAATATATCAGGTACAACTCCAATTAAATTAATTTTTCGTATCACTTGTCCTGATATTATCAGTCGTAATGCATGGATTGAAGATATGAGATATGCGATCAAAGAGAAAAGTGAGTTATTATAAGAATTGCTGTATACCTATTCACATTATTTTGAATGCCGACTTATTTTCCCATAACTGATTAAATGAATCAGTAAACTATGATTTTATCAAATATTTCTGTGAAAAAGGTTTTGTCAATAACTATGCTGGATGGTAATAATTTCATGATCTTGATTAGGATTATTTTTTTTAAAATTGAACTGAACGTTGATGTTCATTGCTGACTTTAGAATATGCGAAGTTTAGACTGTATATTTATTAGGATATTCACCAAATATCCTACGAAGAATCAGTTTGTAGGTGTAAATTCTATTGGTCGATCCTTATCGCTCAATATTATGGTCGTCCTGACTGTCAATGTCACTTCAAATGTTTTTTCCATATTGGTTGCCTTAACTGTCAATGTACCAGACTTCAATGCTGTTTCCGATTCGACCTAAATGTATAAATACGCAATTTCCGACCAAGGTAAACTCTTATTAGTTCAAGCATATCAAATTGACGTGTTTACGTGCATGCATAACAGTATATACGATTATTTGGACAATTTATAAGATGCGTAGTTTATCTGATCTGGTACTGGTTATAGCTGGCTAATATCGAGGTGAACCGCACAGGATCAGTATATTTGCTTACACAGATTGGTGAAAATTCAGTCTCTACTATCAACAATACAATAAATTAAATCCTTCCTAATATATAGGTATATATAGAAATCGTCAACTCGGTAACATAACTTGTTTGATTTTCTGTGACTGTTATTTATATGATTATCATTCGAGCTGTACAAAGTATCATTAGAAACTTAATATCTTGAATACTTGTAGATGATTGTCATATTGTGATGGTGTTTCGTCCTCTTGACTGAATGTTTAGGTTGTGGAGCTCTCGTTGTTCTTCTGAACAACATCATCAGCACACACTTCAGACAGAAGTGAAGTATTCGAATTCCTCCACGTTTGACCTATAGCTAGTTCTGTTAACCTCGATCTTGATTGATTGCTGTTGACCTTAAACCTGTCAATGTTTGCATCTTTGTTCTGATTGTATCCCGCTTTTGATATGTTTCTTTATCCTATGCCGCCTATGATTTTTCTGATTAGTTGATAAACTGAGTCAATGTCGATATGTTTGTTGATTGCAGATTGACCTGAGTTTCAAGCTTCTAAAAATTCTCTAGTGTTCTTTGTCCTACCCCTATCCAGTATTTCCACATTGTCCGAATCTAATGTAAGTCCATAATTGTCCGTATGTATTGGTTGATATAAGCGAAGAATTGTCGTGGCGCTTGACTGCTAATCGGTGTTCACGTAAACGAAGCTGAAGAGGCCGTCCACTTTGTCCTATGTAGTGTTTTTCACAGTCTGAGCAATTTAAATTGTAGATGATATTCGGTTTTTCTTCCTTTGTCATTTTGTCCTTTTGGTCTACACATAGGATTGATTGAAGTGATTGTACTGGTTTGTGTGCCACACATATTCCAAATGGTTTCAGTAGTCGTACTGAATGCTCCGATATGTTTTCTATGTGTGTTAGGATGATCCGTTTATATTGGTTCCTCTCCTTGATTATCATAGAAGCTTTATATCATTGGGCTCTCAATTTTCACTCAGAAATTTATATGGATCTATCCTAGATTCGATAGTATACTATACTCCTACTGTTAAAGGAAGAAAAACCGAATATCATCTACAATTTAAATTGCTCAGACTGTGAAAAACACTACATAGGACAAAGTGGACGGCCTCTTCAGGTTCGTTTACGTGAACACCGATTAGCAGTCAAGCGCCACGACAATTCTTCGCTTATATCAACCAATACATACGGACAATTATGGACTTACATTTGATTCGGACAATGTGGAAATACTGGATAGGGATAGGATAAAGAACACTAGAGAATTTTTAGAAGCTTGGCACTCGTGTCAATCACCAATTGACAAAGAAGTCGACATTGACTCAATTTATCAACCAGTCACAAAATACATCCTTTAACGTTGTCAGTATAGCATACTCTTACCAGTCTAATTAATACACAGATTTTACTCAGTGTGAAATAAATAAATTGGTGAGTAGATCAGTGTTTATCATGCATTATTGACCGAAGTAGAGTAATTAGCCTGCAAGAACTTATGTCGATGTATTGTGTAAATGATACTGCCGTCATTTTTTGTCATGTTTGATCACGAAGTGATGGTTTAAAGGTTGCCTAATAGTACCTTATTTAAACACCAATTTGACAATAATAGTTAGGGACGTTGACTAATATTACTAGACATCATTAAACTAAAACAGAATTCAAAGTAGAACACATAAATCTACACGTTATAAGTTGAATATTAACTAAGGAGTAAATTAGTTTCACTTGCTCTGAAATAATCAGTGCCAAGTGCTAATGCTATGCATTGTGATGATGACAAAACTTCTACTTGAATTATGATATTAGCAAATCATAATCCTTTCAAAATGTACACAATCTATTTTAAGTGGTAACTTACCACATTGAAGCATCGTTAATAATTAGGCAGAAAATATAAATTAAAACAGCTGTTGCAATAAACTAATTTTTTTGAATAAGTTGGGAAGTGTAATCATTATCAACGAATTGGAAGTAATCCTATTTTTATTAATTAATGCACAAACAAAATATTGCGTACTTAATTAAAACTAATGCATTTTTTTTCCCATCGTTCACTCTTAATCTGACCAGCAGAAACTTCCAGATGATTTCGAATAAACACTGTCAATGCTTCCTTGTTCATAATGTTGATGCAACTGAACAAGAATAAACTTTATTGTGATTACTAAATAATACCTTGATAATGTGGAGCATGTTGTTTGATTTAGAAAAGACTTACATCAACAACACAGAATAAAGCCAATGAATTAAGTTTCACGATAGAAGTAATCATTAGTATTTAAGGAACACGTAGAGTGTGTGTACTGTGATATTTTGGGCTGACAGAGCTCGTCCTACCTTCTGGACACATTATCTACCCTTTCCTTACCGAGTTACGATTCCCATTTCCTTTGTCAGTTTTTCGCTTAAACCTTGGTTGCTTTTATCTGAGTGTGGGTACATACTTACTCTGTTTATCACATATCCTAGTTAAGTCTTATCTGACTATAAATAGTTCAGTCGTGCCTCATCACTTTGAGTTGACTCATTCACCTTCTGTGCTTAGCATTTCTATGTTTTTTTTTTCGATGTGTATTCTCATGTTTGTCTGTGTGAACGATCGCACTAAGTAAACTCATCCAAGCGAATCCATATATTTGACTTCCTATTACCGCCGACACACAAACAGGCTTCGCGCATCAATATGATTGATATCTTGAAATTGAAGGGAAGATTTATGTCATTGTATTTCTAATCGTTCATCCAAATAGGGGTCAGGCCGAAGGCTACTAAAAACACTTCATTTTATTCATTTAGATTTTAAATTTTGTTGAATAACTTGAATGATTGAAAATTGTCACTAGTCTATCATCATTGATCAATCATATTTATAAATTTATTTTAATAATTGCAGTTGCATTTTTGTAACACATAATCTACTCACTACCCACATAGTTTGACTCTTATCAGCTAGTAAATTGTAAAACTGATACTCCTTCATCGGTTCATAGTTTTCTCTTTGCAGTCTTAAAGTATGTTTAGTCAATTTTTGTGTTATACTACAAATCAAATAACGAGAAAAATTCTTATCAGCAGTTTCAAGAAAAAAAAAATTTCTCTATGTTATCGACAATGTTGATCAAACATGTTTATTGGATATGATCTTGGGTTTCGTTTGAAGTAATGAATGTGCCTTCAGTTCAACCTGATGATTTATTAAATAAAATGTGTTTTTTACCGCACTTCACAAGTTTCACACTCATTATGTACAAGGTTATGCCAGCGAACAAACTTGTTCAGTACAATATTCTTTTCGATAAGTAAGATTATGCAGTGGACGGAGACGAAATTATTATAAAGAAAACTTTGCATGACATAAAATGTGTTTGTCTTTCCAAATATTTTTTCAACACCTTCAAACAACATCAAAAACAATTTCTACCAAATGATTGTACAGACTAGTACTTTCAAACTTATGCACTGAATTCCTAGTAGCTTCATACTTTTCTGAAATCTTCTACACTTGAAAATCGAAATTCGGAAAACGAAAAACCTATATATAATTCCAGGGTTAGAATATGTACGAACATTGAAGGTATTTTTTTCAGATTAAAACTTATTTTAAAATTTTAGAAAAGTTTGTAAAACATGACAAAAGTGGTCAGCTATCTCCTAATGAAGATGACAAAAACTTAATCAATAGCTTCTCTTCTCTCAGCCTTTCTCTTTACAAAACTAACTGACTTACCAATTGATTTCCGACATTTTCTCTGGTTTCTAAAATATTTTGCCGGGGGATTATTGAGTGACCGCTAGTTTTCATCAAATTAAACATTAGTGTTCCTAATTACGTACAAATTGACATAAAATGCTTGTGAATCAAAAGATTTGTTACTTGAGAAAAACGATCAGCTTTTGATAGGATGAATCTGGCATTCATAAAGATGTTCGATACTATAAAACCACCAATTAAATTGCTATTTGACTCGACTGGCTTAATGTCAACTAGAAATTATAAAAACAGAATGTTAACCAACATGCATGCTTTTGACGATGTGACACTACGCGAATTGGATGGTTGAATGAAGTCTTCTTTGAAATTCTGAAAAAGATCTTAATATAAGAATACATTATCTTTATATATAGGACTCAACATTATTAAAAATGTTGAATAGAAGGAATCTTATTTAACCATTCGACAGTTTAAGTGTTCTGACTTCTTTCATGGTTAACTATTGACAATTATCAATACTATGAAAATAACTTGAATAGGTTATTTATTTCAAGTTAACTAACGATTATCATGACCATACTTACTACTCCACTTACCGCCATTAAGGTATTCATCATTAATTTAGTACAAACAACAGTAATCTAACGACATAACCCGAAATTAACTTTCACGGACAGAATGATTATTCAATGAAATGGGTAAATTGTAAAGTCTAAGCTATCCCATTAAAATTGTATCTTGTTAATTGATCCATTGACCGCTTGACAGAAATTTCTTTTCCTGACCTCTGATCAAATATCTATTCATTAAATTTGTTGCAAATATCAACAGAAGCGATTCTCATTAGAAAACACTACTAACAAATTAACTATCCATAAACAACTCCAACATTGTGCCCATCTACTGATGTACATTCGTCCTCGTTAAAATATACCATTGCTTACATGGTAAGCTTCAATTGACTTTAACTGTGTGCCTGTGTGTGTGTGTTCACATGCAAGCAAATACCACTGTTTGATACCTTAAACTAAGTTGAAACACTTTATTCAGAAAGGGAAAAAAATGCTTTTTTTTTAATTCATTTTTTATTTCTTGTCATGATTCAATAGTCACTTCGTCTTCTTCTTCTGCCCTTTTCTGTTTACAGATTGGTGTGTAGTATTAGTGTTAGAGGTTTATAGAGTGTCTAAGTTTATCTTTATTCTGCATGGAAAATAGTTTTTTTGTGCACAGAATTGTGAATACAGTCAGTTTGTCCGTAAGTCACAGTGTACACACATTAACCATATATATATATATATCCCACTGAACATGTATATCAACATAGAAATGTACCTAGAAAGTGTGTGCTTTTTTCGTTCAAATACATATCCCACCTACACAATCGATTACTTAGTTGTTATTAGTAGTAGTAGTAATAGTAGTAGTATTAGTATTTCTATTTATACGTCAAATGGGAACATGACCATTCCAATGAAAACGAACTAAACGATAGAAATATTGAGGAAATTTTGCAAAGCAAGAATTTCGAACTGGTTTTTCAATTTCTATAGAATTAACTAATTGAACAAAAAAATTAACAGTATATCTGGAAAATTCTAGTTTACTTCAGTGATTATTTCAAATCATTCACCATATTCAGTGTTCAATATTTGTTTTTTTAGAAATTTCCTATCCATTTCATTTGTATTATAATAAAACAATAAAACATTTCGTGTTCCTAGTTAATAGTTCTATAGAAGATGCAAATGTACCGAAATCAATTGTCCAGTCACATATTGAAGCATACTGGGATTCAAAGAAACGTTTCAGTGGAATAATGGAACTTTCACCTTGTCTAAGTGAATCTATCAGTGAAATGTATTTTGATGCTGTAGAAAATGTTCAACAAATTAACTCTCAAAGTGTTCACTCATCACAATTATCACAAATAGACAAATGTGAACTGATTAAAAGTGAGTAATTTTTCACAGTAATAAACTCTCATTTAATTAGTGATCATATTTTTTAAAATAATGAAATTTGAATTTGTTTGAATTGTTGACAGAATTTTTATTAGACGTTTAAATAAGCGTTCATTTTATTCGCATTGTTCTGAAAAGATTCTAACTTCATAGAAGTTGATTTGAAAAATTGACAAGTCTTTATTGTATATCTGATGCTTAAGTGCACCCCATTCAAAATACATTATGAACTGTAAGCATATGGTTAGCGTTCTTCTGGTTAGTGTTTTTTTGGCAAGTTAGTTTTCTGACGGGATGGGGTCGCCAACCCCCATGTCCAACCCTCCTTCTTTATCCGGGCTTAGGACCGGCAGTAGCCCGAAGGGTCTACAGGCTGAGTTAAGCATATAGTACTCAATATACAAGCTCCAATACAACTCTGATAATATGTATGTACCAATATGGTATAACCAGTGAAGTGCCACCATAATCAAAATTTGTTTAGTTAGAGTAAACGAATTTTATCAATAAATTTACAAGCCATTTTATCATGAAGAAAAATGTCAATGTTATTTATAATTTGTGAGTCCATACAACAAAGTTATGATAGACCATGAGTAAGTAGGTCAGCCAGCCTTAGTGGATTACAGAAATTTACCAAGAACAACAATTCGTAAAGTGCGATAGGCATTTTGTTTGATTGATACCAAAATTTAGGCAAGAATTATCAATTTTTCCTCATATTTATTCACTTTTAAATATTGGTGGTTGGGACATGTGTTGCGTATGCCTAACCACCGACTACCTCGACGAGCTTTGTTTTGTAGTGTAGGAATAGGTTGGAAGAAAGTTAGGGGCGGCCAGACCAAAACATGGCAGAAATCCATGAAGTTATTGACGAGTGGACTTAGCCATGTCGGTAATTGTCGACTACCTGGTTGGGGTCCGCGAGACGAAAGTCACCAATGGTTAGAGACCTTGAACAACATGGCTCAAAATCGTTCGCAATGGCGCTGGTGCATTTATTCTTTATGTTCTCTCAAATCCTAATCTTCTGGCTTCTTCAACACCTCTAGTTTTGACTTTCTAAACTTTTCTCATTGAATCATACTTCTTGAATAATATCTTCTAATCCTAACCTCTCCGATTACTTCTAATACCCTTACTAACTCTTCTACTATTGGATTTGAATTGACAATTACATCTCTGTGCTGATGTGGTATGGCGACATGAACTGATGTACTTACGTACGAAGTTCTACGTTGCATCTGACTGACTGACTGACTTTTAAATATTACAAATAAAAATGACTTTTAGCATCTTCCTTCATCCTTCTCATTAGATTTACATAACAATCTATTCGTTGATAAAATAGAAAGGTTCAGTAAATTTTCCTATCCAATATACTCGTTCCTTTTAATTGAAATATGTCAACTAGAATAACACAAGAAGCTAACAAGCTATACTTTTTTTCCTGATTTGAATGTCATACGTCTGACTCAATGATTTGTCAGAACTTCATGAAGTACACATTACACTTCTACTGTTATTTAGTGGCTCTTGTTGAACTCGAAGTAGGACTCACCATTCTGGTTGCACAAGACTTGACTCCAGGTGGAACTGAATGGTCGACTGTACCATGAAAATAAATCTTCCTGTCGACTTCCGTATAATATACTTAAGCAGACCTCGTTTGAGCAAAGGTGGTCGTCTTAAGAAGGCAAATACGGTTTCGAGGAAGAATTTATTTCTTGCGTTCATTCAAGCAGACAGACATGAGAATGGAAAGCGTACAATCAAATTGAAGCGAATTAGAGAAGGCGAGTGAGCCAACTCTCATGTTCTGAAAAATGATAAGTATCTACACATTTTAAATCATCAATCAATCATTGTTAGACCAACATTAGAAACCTGGAAGCACTGGATGGCCATTTCGTCCTGGTATGGGACTCATCATTCACGACTCCTGCATCTCGCAGGAGTACTTCTAGGTTTCTAATGGTGGTCTAACAATGACTGATTGATGATTTTAAATGTATAAGGACACTAATCTCCATAACTCTAATTGAAACTAAGTATCTATCTATAGTCAGCCAATAATAGGCTAGACATGTGATAAGCGAGTAGACACATACAATAAAATATACAATAATCGATACTATTTGCGAATAATTTAAACGACTAATCATTAGAGTGAATATAATGAATAAATGCTAAGGTGCTACAGTTCCGTCTCTGATAATAATCCCCGTTAGGACCAGTTTCGATGTCTTCTTCTCATGAACTTTTAAAGGCTTTAGCTTACAAGATTAAGGTTGTTTTCTAAACCAACCCTATTTAGTATTTCTGAAAACATTTGCAGTATGATTCCTGGGATTTGATCGAAAATGAAATATGAAAGGAATGTCATCAGCTTTTAAAAGCCGGAACTTATTTCAGCAGCAAAAGAAAACTATTTTTTTTATAATACTGTTAAAAATCAATTCGAAAGTACTCAGATAATTTCGTTGAGTAGTAAGCAACTTCAAACATCTATAATAGGTGAGAGCAAGGATGAAGAATGTATAATGTTTTAGAGTAATTTTGAAGCCCACTTTGACTTTAACCGACTATTTAGAATTATTGAGTACAAATAAACATGAAACAATCTTTCAGCATCCTTAAACTGAAACTGTGGCACTCACAATCTACAAAATCTTTTCTGTTGATAGAAACTTATTAAATGTAGCAATTAAATATGGAAAAATTTCACTCTTTATTATGAAATTTAATTATTGCAGATATTTGGTGTTGTCATTGAAGAGGTTCAGACTACATTTTTTGGGCGAAATATTTTAATTATTTACACTTCAATCGATGAGTAGTACTTCAAACTTCACCAAAGAGTTATGTGTATAACATCTGCTCGCAGACATTAAACTATATAAGTCTTTTAGTGAATCCTCTAAAGAGTTATTTGCAGCATCAAACTTTACCGCAGTTCTAATAAAAGTGTTCACCATGTTGAAATTGAAAAGTATAACATATTCGTATGCTTGACAAAACCGATTTTACTGTCTAACAAGCTTAGAATAAAGACGAAAATTACAAATTTCAATCTTCTGTATAATTAACGTACCTATGTAATGGCATAAAAAGACGTTTATTGGAAAAAAGAAACATCATCTTGACATCGCCATGTATTGTCTAAAATGATTAATCATCAATGATTTAAGGCCAGCTTGAATCCAGGTTATATAATCAGTCTTGGAAATATTCCTTCCTACATTTACGATATTCTAAACATTAAAATAAGTAATATTCAACACTCAACATAAATACGCAAAATGTCATTAGTTAATATGTTTTTTTGTGGATATATAAATGTTGTTAGTAGTAGCCTAGTTCTTTGTTTGAATCAATTCTAAACATTGTACTTTGAATCAATGAAAACATACACTGATGAATTGAACATATGGTGTTATTAAAAATAAGCATTTTACAAATTCTTTAAAATGTTAACTTCAACGATGAAAAGCATCATACATTTTTTTGATGTTAACAAATAAAATGAAATAAATTACAAGGTAAGAAAGTTGAACATTGATGACATTGTTTATTACGCATTGACAAAAAGTCACCACTAGGTACGGTATTATTCAGGCAAGTAATATGTGTGTAGCTATATGATTAGCAAGGATGACTTAGTTCGTATGAAAACAATTTAATCGACATGACAAGGATTGATAATTTCAGGTAAAACGAATCTTTCATTCAAAAAAGAGAAAAGAGACTAAGATGTATTGAAATGTTGAGTTCCTTGTAGTAATATATAACTGGACGAAAACGCAGTTGTAAACCACCTTCAATCAATAAATATGACTTAACGTATTGAAACACCTGGAGTACAAAACAACCATCATACAACACCGAAGTCATAATTCGCAGTACAAACGTCCAGACAGCTCTGTTGTATGTACGGAGCGGAAAGTTGGAGAGCTGGGAAAGTTGACATCCATAAGATATAGGTGTTTATTAACACTTGTCTATTCAAGTTAGTGAGGATCCGTTGGCCAGATACAATCATCAGCGACCTACTTTATGGGACAAAAAAGCCAATTCCAATTGAGTAGAAAATTAAGAAAAAGGGATGGAGGTGGATAAGACACACATTGTAGAAATCATCCAATCAAGTCACAAGGTAAACCCTTACTTGGAATCCTCAAAGCCAAAAGAAAAGAGGAAGATGGAAGAACACCATGCTGAAAATTGCGAACAGATGTGAAATGAATGAATAGCAATAGAGTAGAACTTGAAAGGCAAACCCAGAACAGATATGATTGGAGAATGATGGTCGGTGGCCTATACTACAGGAGTAAGTAAGTAAGTGAGCTACAGTCATGGAAATTACTTCTTAAATGTTAAGATCATGACTCCCCGTCTACAGTCACAAGTTCCTTAAATTAAGTAGTTGTCCATAGGTAACGAATTTTTTGTTCTAAGTATTCTGCTCTTGGGTATGAGATAGTCGGAGAAATGATGACGCAAGTCAAATCTTTCTGATAAGTCATTGCTAATAAGTTCATAGTCCTTCACATATTGGAGATGATCATGAAGGTACATTTCATGATAAATATCAACATCTTTCAGAGTTGAGCAAAAATATCATCCATTTGCATTTGATCAACTTCTTGTTGTTATTTTACATACCTACTTACCAACGCCTGCAACCCCTAATGGAGCACAGTCATTCTCTAACCAGACCTGTCGTAAACCTTTCTTTTCATTTCTATCCAATCACTGTTCATTCTTTCCACATCTGCTTCCGATTCTCGGAGCAGTCAGTTCCTCGGTCTACCACTTTTTTCTTTAGTCTGGAAGGTTCCGAATCGAGGCTTGCCTCGTGATGCATTTGGATAATTTCCGCAACGTGCGTCCTATGAACCTCCAGCTCTTTTTCTTAATTTTCTCCTCAATGTGTTCTCTCCTGTACAATATAACTGTCTTGCCGTCCGTATTGAAAATTCTGAATTCAGTGTCGGTTGACGGTGCTTTTAACTTCCAGATATTCTTCGATTTTAGAAATATTGTCTTTGCTATATCAATCCGTATCTTTACATCTGAGTCAGATCTACCTTGCTCATCAGTGATGCTGAGCATGTACGTAAAGATTTCCATATCTTTCGGAGCTTCTTCATCAAGTGTGATTTGATTGGTGCATGTTATGTTGTATCGGAGGGTCTTGCTTTTCCCCTTGTGTATTGTGAGAACTCCTTTCTTTGGTATCTTAATGAGGTTTCCTACTTTCCTGCCTGTTGGCACTTGTTCCTCTGCCCAAATCTTGATGAAGAGAGAGTAGAACATCTTTTCAGTTACTGCTATATCTACTTTCAACGCCCTAGCTGTAATGTTGTCTGGTCCTGTCGCTTTACTACTCGTGATTTGTCTGGTATCAACGCTGATATCTTTTATTGTTAATAGGTTAACATCAGTTGGGAGGTCCGTAGATGCTGCTTTGATGTGAATACACTGGGGCTAGTTGATTCAAGATTTCTTCAAATTGCTTTGTCCATCTATTTAACTGTAACACTGATATATTAGTCAAGATAGTGCAAATAATATGCTTTCAAAGGGTTGCATGATGCTTGCGAAATGCAAATGTGACCAGTTCATTTTGAGTGCATGAACTAATCAAATGTCAGGCTGCACTCATGTATCAAGAAGTAGATTAGCAATTTAGTACTAAGAAGTTGATGAAAACACGTCAGTGAAATACATTATTAACTCATATATTAAAATCAAAGTTATCAAACAATGTTTTAAGACTAGTACACCTATTTTCCTACTATCAACTTGTACTTTTATCTATAATGTAAAGTGATGTAACCTACTATTTCATTGTGTGATCCTTGACCCATAAATTCCCCTGATTGATAGAATATTTTCTTCATAAATATATTCATATTTATTAAAGCCAAACCTGATAACAATCTAACTGAAAAACTAATATACTATTCAAATTCATCCGTGTTATTTTAATTTTACTTTATTTTATTAATTACTTTTTTAAAGCGAAAAAAAACGGTTACACATTCATCTTATCAATTTTACAGCTTCATTCAATCAAAAATCCACTTCATCGTCATCATATTATACTGCTGACGAACCAACTGATGAGAATGGCAAAGATCATTCACAACCTATGAATTTATTCGGTAAATTTTATGGCAATGATTTTTATAAAATTCAAGTGTTAACTTTTATTTTTTAAAATTAATTTTATCTTTTCATGTGAAAGTGTTTGTTTGAAAGAATTTAGCTGAAAGTTAGACAATTTTTTTTCAATAAAAAATGCAATTATTATTAAATGTAAAGTTTTGTTTGACTTACTTATCAAATTCAGTACTGTCGGGATTCCGGAATTCGTAGTTTGCATTCGTAAAATAATCTGATAGATATATGGTAATCTTTTTCAAATATTTTAATAACCGTGGTTGTGCAGTTATCGTATTGATCGCAATCAATCGTAATTTTTAAAAACCTGTAGCATGTACACTTATATGTTGAGCCAACATAGCTTGTCCCAGCTTGTGGACAAGGTAATTGATGCCATTCCTCTGGAGTTATTCACTGGTCTTCCGACCTTGTCTATGATTCACTAATCATCTTGGTTGTTTTTATATGAGTGTGTGTGTGTGTGTGCATTGCTGATTCCGCTCATCGTATGTCTAGCTTATTTATGTCTGACTATAAATAGCTAGTCATAATTCGTCATACGGAGTTGTCCCACTCGCCTTCTCCTCTTCACTCAGCATCGCGTTTCAGCTTATAATCCACATGTTTGTCTGCGTGAATGGTTATGTGAAATGAGACTATCCAAGTGAACCTGAATTTGCCCGGGCCAATAAAAACGTTACACTGATTCATTGATTAGTTTCACCAATTCGAAAAACTGTTCCTCGTTCATAAATATTTAGAATGATGACATTATTGAACAATAAATTAATTGTTCAACTGATATTTCTTACAAATTTTATTAATTTGTTCAAGTTTTCAGAGTAAATGTTATGTATTTCACTGATATATGATAAACATACGTAAGAATTATAAAATATCAAAGTAATGTGTTTAAACAGATTCATAGGTAGACCGAATCTGGTACAGTTGAAAGAATAAATCCTTCGTTTGTCATAATTGTACGCAAAAGGTAGATACATATGTGATGGGAATATATATTTTATGTATGTAATGGATTCATCGTTTCATATACAGGTTGATGTAAATAGTGACAATTACTTACTTCCCTACTTACTTACTTTCTCTTGTTATCCCCAATGGAGCATAGGCCGCCCACCAGTTCCCTCCAACCAACTCTGTCCTGAGCTTCCCTGTCCAGTTCTGTTCAATTTTTGTTCATTCTTCTCATGCCTTTCTCTATTTCTCGGCGTAATGTGTTCCTTGGCATTCCTCTTTTCCTTTTGCCTTGAGGGTTCCATGTGAGGGCTTGTCTTGTGGAGCAGTTGGGTGCTTTTCGTAGTGTGTGTCCTATCCACTTCTTCTTGATTTCCTCCTCCACTGTTATCTGGTTTGGTCTCTCCCACAGTAAGTTGTTGCTGATAGTGCCTGGCCGACGAATCCAAAGTATTTTGCGAAGACAATTAATTGTTCACAAATACTTGTATCTTCTGGATGATGGCTTTGGTAGTTCTCCAAGTTTCCGCTCCATACAGCAGAACTGTATTGACATTTGTATTGAAAATCTGATTTTCGTGTTTGTTGATATTTGTTTGGAGTTCCAGATATTTTTCAATTGTAGAAATTCAGCCCTTGCTTTGCCAATCCGCGCCCTCACATCTGCATCGGATCCAACTTTCTCGTCGACGATGCTGCCCATATATGTAAAGATGTTAACATCCTCCAAGACATCTCCATCAAGCGTGATTCGGTTGACGCATGTTGTGTTGTATCGTAAAATCTTACTTTTTTCTTTATGTTGAGACCTACTGCTGCAGAGGCTGCTGCCACACTGGTCATCCTTTCTACCCGCTGACTTAGTTTAGGCTCTAAACTCTTACTTCTTTTCCCTTCAGTTTCATAAACGACACCTGTCCCGCGAGAAGTCAATGAGGGGAAATTTATTGGCAGAGATTATGTACCTATGGCCATATGAGAACATTTCTAGAGCATGGGTGAACTCTGCTCACTCTATACTATGTCAGACCCTCTGTAAAATCGCTCGCCCATCAGTGTTAAACCACGATTAGAAACCTGGGTGCAATGGATAGCGGTTTCGTCCTTTTATGGGACTTCTTATCAAAGCGTTTCCACGACCTAGCTTGCAGGGATCATAATCAGGACCTTCGGGTCGCGCGTGAAAGCTTACTTCTGGACCACTGAGATGGCATCCAATGGTGTTGATGTCTACCTTTGATCAATCAACGTTGTTGCACGACCTCATCCAGTGTCTTTGATGGGTCACTGCCTCATAACCGGTGCAGTTGAATGGATCAGCACCAAACGGAAGGCTTTGGATTCAATTTCAACTTGCTAGATTGTGTTTGCGCACTAATGATGACTCGCATACTAGGAAATCCACTACTCTCAGGTTGCTAATGGTAGTCTAAAACTGATCAATTCATGATATTTAATGAAATTCAACAATCTTCAAAACGCCCTTAAACCAGTATTTCAGGGCATTTAGGGACAATTAGATCTAAATGCTAGTAGAAAGTTCTAGACAGTGTGGAATAGTCTACTTTGTGTACATTTGACAGTCTACTGAATTACGTAAATGAATAACTAAATGCATAGAATACTTAGGTCTAATCACATGTTGATAAGTACCATTTAGTACCATTTCTAAACTATTAATAATTTTGAAAAATAATCTGAGACTAAAAAGAAAGTATGGAGCACATTTTTTTGAAATTACAAACCATATTACTTTAGTAAGATATTATTATTATTATTATTAGTATTATAGACATTCAAAGTTTTCAACTGTCTTTACGAGGAAACATTATAACCTTATCTTAATTAACTATAACCATACGATATATAATTTATAATTCAAACTTCTTTTTTTTTCTCATGATCAAGAATCCTATTCAACATTGGATGGTGTACAGACACCTTTTTCAGAAGATCAACGTTCTCTTGCAGACTTTCAAATGCCTTCTGAAAGTAAGATCTCTCAGTGTTTATCTTAAGACCACTTTTTTAAATTGGTTTTACTGGCTAACAACTAAGAATAAACATGAAGTTGAACTCTTCATTTCATGACAAATATCAAGAAGAAGGACACGTGTTCAAATTTTGGATAAATATTAACACAAACAGCAATCACTGCTATCCCTCTAAAACAATACAAAACAATTTGCTTACCTTAGTTGAAAGCATTTTACATAAATATTATACCTGGATGGAGTATTTCATTCCCTCAGTTCAATAATTTACCTGTGAATCTTTCAAACTCAGTTTCAAAACAGATAATCAACGGAGCCCTTAAAATAACATCAGTCATTGGAATTTTCTACAAATGACTAACTTTTCACTCTATCTCTTTGTGACATAACTTATTGGTACAAGTCGATGTGCTAGCCATGTATACACACTTTGACCTTTGACCTTGTGATTAGTAATCATTCTGTTTATAGACTGTTTATTTTAATAGTGTTAACGGCTGGCTTAGCAACCTGGGTACCTATCCAGTTTTCGGTATTTACTTAAAAAACGTAAGGCTTCAACATTTGTTGAGCCCAATGTTTACATGCATTAACAGGAAATCAGACATAACTTGATTCTAGACACCCTAAACAATATTTTGTATTCGAAAAAGCCTACCAGTTTTTCCATTGGGATGTCTTCATAGTTGTTAAATTTGACTGAATACAAGATATTCCGTCCGTTTTTCGTGGTCATTACGTCCTTTTTTGTGTGAACAAAATGAACAGAGATAGTTTTTGCGTACGAGGCCTCAACATCTACAATAACTCAGCACATTTTAAAACGATACTACTAGTAAAAAGATCAGCATACTTGAGTTCAGTGGATCTACGTAAGAAACTCAGTCTCTTTTCAAACTTGTTTTTCAAAGTAAACCCGATCAATAATAATACGAACATTTGTTACTCTTTGGAAAATATTTTCAGTGAAATAGAAACTCAGATAAACAAAAGACGTTAGATGCGAAATTAAATTTTTCAGTGATTGAAATTCAACTTGTTCCAAAGTTTTTCAAAGAGATCTATCCACAGCTTCAGCCAAAAATAACAAGGATAAATTAATTACCGGCTAATTCTATAATGAAAGCCTATCCCATCCTATTCAAATGCTAGATTTTGTTTTATTGATAAATGTGTTGGTCAAATATAACGCATCGTATTCATAATAATTTCTGAATGTCTATATTCCTATTGTAATGAAGGAGAACACAGGTGAGGGAAACCGGATTGTATTTATCGCAAATTACAGAGTTAATTGGTAAAATAGGAAAACTATATATCGTAAATCGTTAATTTGCAAAATATCAATCCATCGTATCGAAATGGACTGTTCTTGTTGCAAACATCAATCCATTGTCTGACATTTCACTGTTCATGCGTTTCATACAAATTCCATTGTGTTCCCGCTCTTCCTTTCTTGATCTTCACCCATTTCCTGCTGCCAGACATTACGATTTTACTCGCGTCATATACTACTTATCAGTAACGCGCACCACAGTATGACCAGTGTTGATGATGAACTCACGGTCGTTACTTCATTCAATCACCGAAAAGATTCCAGGTAGACGTTTAGTCTATCTTTCTTAGGAAATGAATGTATTTATGCTTATACTTTGTTTACATATGCAGAATCAAGAGTTACCTACACCTTTATTTTTTAATTATCTATCTAGATAGAGGAAATCAAATACAGCAACAGTCGACAACCACATCTACCTCTATGACAGAAACTGACACACTTGTAAAACAATTAACTGTGAATGCTGGTGAACAAATTCAATTCAATGCATCATTTACAATTTCTAGTCCAGTTGCTTATGAAACAACTTGGTATATGAATGGAGCACCAATGAGACCTGAATTAGGCGCTGAAATGATATTGTCAGATCGTGATACACGTCTACTTATTTCAAATGCTGATCCTTTAATACATTCAGGAACTTATTCATGTCGTTGTCGTCTTTTCGAAGGTACCGAAAGTGCTGTTTACTTTTGTGTGAATATACTAACCGCCAAACTAAATCAAAATGATACAACTGATAATGAATCAGATCAGTTGAAATTAACCAATTTTATGCAAGCTAATCTATTTCAGCCAATTACCAAAGAATTAAATTTACCAATTGGTAAACTGTTAGAAATTCAAGTTAAGATTGATGAAGAAACTGCATTGAAAATAACAAATAATAATAAAGAAAATATTCAAGTTAACTGGTATCAAGATTCAACATTACTTGAGCCTAATTCAACATGTGAAATGCTTAAAATCAATGACCAGTTTATTTTACGATCAACTACTAATCATTTACAACCTGATAAGGTATACAATTATACATGCATGTTGAAAGTACCGGATAATTCCAGTATGTCTCCAGCGCCAAGTATAACTATACCAGTAAGTTTTCATAGTCCAACAGTTAAAGAATTAGAAACGGAATTCAAGAATTCAATAGATAAAAATAAATCCGTAGATAAAAATACCTCAATCACTCAAGTTGAATTAAGAGAAAATGAAGCATTTCAGTTAAATCTACCCATTCAACATAGTTCTCAGAATGAAGATGTTATTGTATGGTGGACATGTGAAGATAAATTGCTGACAGGTAATCATTTATCATCGAAACATAGTGATTATAAATGTTCATTTGAGCCCAATAAACAATCGAATGAAATGATAGCTAAACTTTTGAAAAATTCAACAGGAACTAACGATTATGGGATATATAAATGTTGGACTGTTTCACAATCATTGAAAGATAATATTGTTAAATGTTCTGTTGTTAAAGTAACAGTGAAACAAAAGAAATCCGATATTAAAGAGGAAGGAGAAGAAGGGAAGAATATTCAGGAAGATGAAATTAATGTAATCGATGAGACGGAAATAAATTTTGTAAATAAAGAAGGCGAAAACAATGAGGATACTTCAGTGAAAAGGGAAGAGGAGGAAATTTATAAACAAAAGGAAGAAGCTTCGAAGGAACAAGAAGATGAAGAAATAAAGGGCAATGAAGAAGAGACTGATCAACGGAAGCGAGAGAAAGAGAAGGCTTCAAGTCAACAGGCACAAGAAGGAGAAAAGGACGAAGAGTCTGAGTGGATAAGAAAAGATAAGGATATTGTTCAGGAGACAAATAGGGAAGAGGAAGAAGCCGAGCGAAAGAGAAAAGAAGAAGAAGAGATCGCTAGGAAGAAGAAGGAGGAAGAGGAGGCCGAGCGAAAGAGAAAAGAGGAAGAAAAGATCGCTAGGATAAAGAAAGAGGAAGAGGAGGCCGAGAGAAAGAGAAAAGAGGAAGAAGAGATCGCTAGGAGAAGGAAGGAGGAAGAGGAGGCCGAAAGAAAGCGGAAAGAGGAGGAAGCCGAGCGAAAGAGAAAAGAGGAGGAGGAGATAGCTAAGAGAAGGCAGGAGGAAGAGGAGGCTGAAAGAAAGAGAAAAGAGGAAGAGGAGACCGAGCGAAAGAGAAAAGAAGAAGAAGAGATCGCTAGGAGAAGGAAGGAGGAAGAGGAGGCCGAAAGAAAGCGGAAAGAGGAGGAAGCCGAGCGAAAGAGAAAAGAAGAAGAAGAGATCGCTAGGAGAAAGAAGGAGGAAGAGGAGGCTGAAAGAAAGAGAAAAGAGGAAGAGGCCGAGCGAAAGAGGAAAGAAGAAGAAGAGATCGCTAGGAGAAGGAAGGAGGAAGAGGAGGCCGAAAGAAAGCGGAAAGAGGAGGAAGCCGAGCGAAAGAGAAAAGAGGAGGAGGAGATAGCTAAGAGAAGGCAGGAGGAAGAGGCCGAGCGAAAGAGAAAAGAGGAAGAAGAGATCGCTAGAAAAAAGAATGAGGAGGAGGCCGAGAGAAAGAGAAACGAGGAAGAGGCCGAGCGAAAGAGAAAAGAAAAGGAGCAGGAGACTGCCAAGAAGGTAAAGGAAGAGGAGGATACTGTAAAAAAACGAAAAGATCAGAAATTAATCAAGGAGAAGAATGAGGAGAAAGGAACTGAGGAAGAACGAAGCAAGAAAGAAGAATATAAGACAGAAGAGTTAGCTACTCGGAAGACAGACGAAGATGAGTCAAAGGCAGAAAAGAAGAAAAATGAGAGAAAAGAGAGGAAAGATGACACAAAGAAAAGAGTGAAAGAACAACACGAGGATAAAAATCGGGAAGGGGAGGATAGCAAGAAAAAGAAAGAGAAAATGACAAAGGATCAAGAAAAAAGCGACACGAAAGCAAAGCCCGATGAAGATGCTGAACTGAAACCAGAGTTAAAAACGCCTCAGAAAGAACTAGTAAAGAGAGGAACCGAAGAAATACAAACAACAGAAATTAAAACAATTCCAGAAACAAAGTCCGAAATGAAGAAAACAAGTGATGTTATCGAAAAGATAGGAGAAGTCGGCGCAGAAAAAGAAGTGACTAGTACGACTGATGAGATACCTGGGTCATTACACAAAGAGAAGAAGAAAAAAGAGGATAAAACCACTGAGAAATCAAAAGAAAAACAAACATTAGAGAAAGGAAAAAAGAGAAAAGGAAGTCATTCAGCTTTAAAGGATGGCAAGACGAACAGTGAACAGTTAGTTGATGAAAACAAAGTTACAACTGAAGTGGATGAAGTGAAAGAAACTCCAAAAATGGAAAATAAACTAGATGATCACGATCGAATAGAAAGTATCAAAGTTGAAACAGAAGAATTTCTGGGACAAAATAATGAAAAAGATAAGAATGAAACTGAATTAGTGAAGGCAATTCATGATCAATCTACAACACTTATCAACAAATCAGAAAGCAAAATACCATCTGAAAAATCTCTAGATACACCAGCTTTGATTGATCAGGAAACAGTCAGTGATTCAGTACCTAAGTTGGTTGAGAAAGATAAAACAGAAGAGAAATATGGTGAGACAGGTCATGAGTTTAAAAAGAAGAAGAGTCACGACAAAGATGTAGAAATGGACAAGCTTAAATCTAGTGTTATTACAGAAAATCAACAGGACAATAAACTGGATGATCAACAAATTAATACGGAATCAGTTCAGAAGCTAAAACGTAGAGAAAGTAAAACGAAAAAGCGTGAAAAAGACATAGAAAAGACTAAATCAATGACTAGCGCCACTACAGAGAATGATGAAAGTCTAGCAAAAGATAACATTGAAAATGAGTGGCAAGACAAATCAGCAATGCAAGAAGTATTCGATACGATGCCAACAACTGAAACTTTACCGATTGACGCAGAGATCATGGAAAAACAACGAAAAGAAGAGAAGAAAAAGAAACGGGAAAAATCGAAAAAAGCTCCAGAAGAAAATGAACCTAAGGAACATCGAAAATCCGTAACAAAGGTTGATAAAAATGACGCAGACATCGAATCATTCAAAGCGAAAGAAACATATGGTGAAACTGAAACTATGGATGATGACGTAAGAGAAGAGAGTGCAATCAAAGAAGAACATAGAGGTTTGGAATCAGAAGCTGGTAAGTATTTAATTCAAACATCATTGGTTGTATCTTTATCGACTGATAAATTCTAATTAATTGAGTGTTCTTATGATTTGATTTAGGATTTCACTTCATGAATGCAGGTTATTTACTGCATTTGAAACAATTCCTATAACCTACTGATATCAAATGATCACTTTTAGTAACTTTGGAGGATTGAAATGTATGATGATGTTAATTGAATATAGTTACAGATTGACTTTATGAGATGTTCTGTCGTCTTAATATGATGGAAACAATGGTATGTCAAAAGTTGAACACGAATTATGTTTAGGATAGGTGTGCTTCAGATATGCTAATATTGAAATGTGTTCAGTGGTACACTAGTTTAGAAAGTGATCGATTATGTCTAAAATGTGCAGTAAGAGGATAGATACGTATGGTACTATCATATACACAAGTGTAAAACAAACCAAACGTCACATGTGAGTAATTGATGAGGCAGACTAAGTAATGTGACAAACAATGCGAAGATTAGAATAATTTATTTATCCAAAGGCTAGGATAAATGACGTAAGCCTGTTACTGCACTAACTGTCACGTATATAGTTAGGCTTGATGACTTTCAAAATAAATATTATTAACGATAGGCTAGCAATTCGATAAGCTGGTATAAAGAAATATACTTGAATTTTGTAACCATGACTAACATTCAGAATGTAATTGAACGAACAATGAACTATTTATTAACAACTATCCATATTTTATAAAACTGAACTTAAGTGATAACCTTACATGTACTGTTTGAATTTATAATCATTTCCTGAGTAATTTCCTTGTCTTAATAAAGAAACAGTAGTCATCAACTAAGTCTTACAAAAAAAGTAATCCACGTAAGTTGTTTACAAAATTTTAGATTTAACGGAAATTATATTTACAAGTTAGATGGTGGCTATCACTGGAATCCAGGACGCGTGTTTTATCCAATTTGGGAAGTGCATCGCTGAGTTGATGTTCAACCAGAGATGAAAACCCAGTGTCATTCGCTCCAAACATCATTGTGTTAACCACTTAGCTATATAGTTCTGATTGCTAGCGGCTTGTGTAATGAGATGGAGTTTAATTTATTTCTGTTGGTTGTTTGACTCTTCCCATTGATTCACATATGCTAAAAGAAAATGATTATTTGTAGTCGTGAACATTAATGATAGATTTAAATAACCATTATCGATGAGTTGACAGAAGCCAGTTGCTGCAAAAAATTATAAGGACAAACTGTGATTTTAAACGAACTCATTAGAGTTCTATTTGTTTACTGTCGTGACTTGAGGTGCTTAATTAACCAATCAGAATTCGGATTGTAATTTTTTCTATCCCACATCTACTATTTCGTTTATAGACTAGAATCCTAGACTCGATCCGACAGACAGTTTAACCAGTACAGTTAACCTAAAACCGACGCAATCTACACTCTTGCTAGTCCACTTGTCCAGAAGCTTTTCTCTACGCCCTGGCTTTAAGTTCGAATCGGTATCAGCAGTTAGTTTTTACTATGTATGAGTTTCAATGACTTACCTTAGCCAACATAGCCCAGCATAGCACAGTAAGTAGGAAATTCTACTTGAAATACAATCAACGCATAAGTGACAGAGCGCCAAGCAAACAGCATATAATCCAAACCATTTCAAACTGAATCAAATCTCATACCTATTGCGCAAGTGGATGGTTGCCTAGACTCGGTCAGCTAAGTGAATAATACAATGGCGTTTGGAGAGGACAGTATTGAGTTTGAGTCTAGGATTGTATATCAACTCTAGGATCAAGGTGTGCATGCAGCTGACGAGTCTTAAATGGGACGAAACGAGCATTCTGGATTCCACTGCTAGCCCCATTCTATCTATTCTACATACATATCTACAACTATGTTGTTTTCATTCTGAACAAATGATAATTAGAGTGATTAAGAAAATTATCGAATGCGCAATGTACACTAACTAGTTTTCTAAACCTAATTCGAGAAATTTATTTGTTGGTTACCAGTGTATAATATAAATAATGATATTTAGCAAAATACGTTTTTTTATATCGTAGTAAAAATGATTGTAATTAGTTAATATAAATTCATACCGTTTTTACAGATCCTTTTTTTTAACCATCCATCACTTAGGACTGTTACAGCAGACATCTTTGAAATGATGTGTAAAATTTTTATCATAATTAATAACTCCCAATGAATAGGTTAAGTAAATAAAATACATTACGCTTACTAGTGACCAGCTTCGTGAGAAAATTCTCGGAGTTCTAGTGAGAACACGAAGACAGTGAAATTCAACTCTGTTTGGTGCAAACAGTAACTACCCAAGACAATATAGGTGAGGCTGTACAAAATCCTTAAGTTGATCAAAGTAAGACATCAACACCGTTGAATGCCGATTCAGTGGTCCATAAGTTAGGCGTTTGCACATAAAAGTGTAGTTCCTGAGTTCTATTCTTGCAAGCTTAAGAAGTCGTGAATGCGCACTACTGATGAGTCACATACCAGGACGAAACGGCCGTTCAGTGCTTTCAAGTTTCTATTGGTAATCTAACAATGATTTATTCATGATTCTAATGTCTTATTTACTCAAGAAACGATATCAATGTGATGTTTCACAATGAATAATTATAAACGTAATCGAAGCCACAAAATGTTTCTATAAATAAGAAACTATTCGTGTATTATTTCACATAAGTAATGATTTACATTAAGGTCATTTCCAAGAATTCTAACTAACAATATGCATAACATTTTCTGTAACATATTTAAATCATATGAGAAAGTATTCCTTGTTTTGATCCTTTTCATTTAAGGGTTGTGGAGATTGTCAAGCCACTTTGAAATCATGAATCAATTAATTTTAGATTACCAATAGAAATCTGGAAGCACTGGACGACCATGTTCGTCCTGGTATGTGACTCATCAGCAGTGCATATTCATGACATCTTATATGCTCAGGCATAGAACCCAGAACCTTAAGTTTTGGGCGCAAACGCCTAACCTCTGAATCACTAACCCGGCATCGAACGGTGTTCATGTCTAACTTAGTCCCATAGTAGTAGGTTCCTAATAGTGGTCTAACACTGATCGATTCATGATGTTAAATCAAGATGAGATTTTTTTTTGATTAATTCAGTGTGCAATTCGTTGAATAAACGTAATAGTGACAAATGTTATAGTTCATCAACGCTTTTAAACATTCAAATTTAAATGAAAATGTATTAGATATTGTACAGGGTAATTTTCATATTGAATGAAAAACGGAAGTACTATTGTTGAATAAAAGTTATAGTCAGTTGAAAATGTGATTTTAACTTCTCATCCTATTGTATCATGGGCAAAAAATTTTATTTTAGTGTATTGTTGAGAATAGATCATCAGTGTACATCTCAACATTATCAGTTATGGTCGATTTGACAATCTAACAGCTTAATTTTGAGATGGTGGAGAAAATTTGTAGCTCAGCTGGATGATTGTGTTGGTGTTTCGTTCTATCTGAAGTTTGTGCTGATGATACTGTTAAGAAGAACAATGAAAGCTTCACGACCAGAACATCCAGCTCAGAGAACCAAAACACCACTACAAACAGCTTAATTGAACATAGTATTTTTAAATAATGAAAACTATTAATTATCGTTTCGTTTTTTCAATAAAAAGATTTTTAAACAAGTAATTTGGTGTCTGCAAGAACTATTCGGCATACTTAAGTGTTGTTATATGCCTAAAACGCATCAATACTAGTCGTTTTTTCAGTAATTTTCAAAAAAACGAAAAACAGATGTATAAAACCAGTAGAACACCAAATTTCGATCATGTTTAACTTAATTTTGCAAGAACTGAAATTAGCTAGTTTATTGCTTTGTTTGAACATGGATTAGGATGAATAATAACATCGTCCACCTTCCATTCACATTGGGAACACAAAGTATTATTAAACGTTTTATCGATCACAATGGTTTGTTTTCGTTATCACACTCATCTGCAATGAAAGCGTTATATGCATATCTGACATTGAATATATACACATTTACCACGCTGAACACTGTGCCAAATTTGTCTGTATAGGAAAAGAAAATTATGTTCAGTAGCCTAATTATTAAGTTACCTTTGTATACGACTACCAATCTAAGAATAATTTTTTTTGATGAAAATATGTTACCACCGGTGAATGATTTTGAAGAAATGTATGTTGTATTCATATTGTCGGTGTTTTTTTTTATCATACTCCTTGTTACTTTTTTAATGGCGCATTACGACTGCATAAAAAAAAATCAATGTGTAAGTTATCTTGATTGAAATACAGTTTCTTAATTTTGACCCATTCGTTGGTAGTATGTGATATAATGGTTAACTAGTTTAAACATAGTTCAATGAATGATCGAATAAAGGGCTTTGAAAAAATGCTGACACGTAACACTTCTAATGTGGCCAATTTAACAACAATGACTAAACAGGATGTGAAGGTTACCTGTGCTCACTAATGACTAGCTTCGTGAGGAATCTTCTCCGAGTTCTAATAGGAAGACGTGACCAGTGAAGTTCAACTTGTTCGGGTGTAGACAGTGACTACCAAAGACTGTGTATAAGGTTGCGCAACTCCGTGAATTGATCAAGTTAGACAATAACACCGTTAGATACCGGCTCAGTGTTCCGATGGTTAGGCGTTCGCCTACAATACCGAAGGTCCTGGGTTTGAATCTTACGGGGTGCAGGAGTCGTTGATGCGCACTGCTGATGAGTCCCATACCAGGGCGAAACGGCCGTCGTGCAGTGCTTCCAGGTTTCCAATGGTGGTTTAACATTGATCGATTCATGGTTTCAAAAATGTGTAAACAGGATTTGAACATAACTTAATCAAAAGTGCAAACAGCATGGAGATGTGATGATAGAAGATTTTGTGAGAAAGATACTGTTTGCATTCAATTCAACTACTGTCATTGCATATGAAATACAAATATCATGTACAAGCGCCCTTAGGATTCGCTCCATCGGTAGATAGTAATACGAAGCGGGTTATCAGTTGACAGTTGAATAGAAGACTCTTATGCAGAAAACAGACATTTTTTTAATCTGTTCCATAAGTGGGTCTTTTTACTATATTGAACAACAGAACAAAATTTTACCAATAAATGTCAGGATGATTATTATTAGATTTTGACAAAATACAATATCTTATCCATAAAAGAAAATGAAACTCTACTAATCTCTACAGTGCAAAATGTTTTAAACAAAATGTTTTGAATCAACCATCATATACTACTATAATTCTTTGAACTTTCAAATAAATGACTGACTAATTTCGCCATCATTGATAGTTTAGTGTCTAGTGTGAAATGATACTCAGTTTGAATGATATACATCTATAATTTTATATTTAACTGTTGCATATATATATATTTTAGCTTGCTTCATCAGTCTACAGTTTAATTTTGCAATCGTCAGTTGTCTGTTGTGAATTTAACAACTGTTATTGCGCTTTGAAACTAAAAATAGGATCAAAACTTCATCTTTGAAATAGAATAAACTTAAAGCATCGAAATTGAATCTTTTTTTTTTGATAACTAGAAAAAAAAATGTATTCCTATAAAATTAATCTTCGTTAGTTATTTTTTGAATTATTTTTTTCTTTTGATAGAATTTTAAAGAAATAAAACGGCAGATTTATTTGATATTTTGTGGTTCGCTTTTCAACTCTCTAGATTAGAAAAAATTGTTTTATTATACACTTTACTGACATATTTTATACCCTGGGAAATTCTCTTTTTTACATTTTCGCGTCTGGAACATGTATTTATTGATTATTTTTTTTTCTTTGGTAGAACTAAAAATGTATCAGGAAGAGAGACAAGAAGTTCTTAACGATCAAGATAAACTAGCGGAGTTTGACACTGTTTACTTGACACCAATAACGGATTATAACAATGAAGATAGTGTATCAGTAAAACAAGGCACTAATATTTATCTAACAAGTCCTTTGGGCATTGACAATTCAATCCTTCTAACTCCTAATGATTTTGTTGTTTTATTAAATGGATTGCCATTTGAAACGAATCAACAGGATAACTTTCAATTGGCTATACAACAAAACAAGGTAGACTTAATTATTGAAAATGTACAACCTGATCAAAGTGGTATTTATGAAATCAGGCTGAATAAATCCAATGAATCACAATTAACACTGGAAAATGCCACAGACCACCAATTATACAATGATTCCATTTTGGATATTATGCCTAATTTACGCTTTCCAAGAATTTCTGTCCAATCGAATGATATTCTTGGGAAGAATGAACGTATAAATTTCATACAAGATGATTATAAACCACCACAGAGAATATTTTCCGCTGAATTATTGCCAAAATATATTTGTAAACAAGGTGAAACATTGAAATTAGCTGTTGAATTGAAAAATAATATTATTGTTAAAAATTATGAATGGTCATTCAATGGAAAGACAATTGATGTAAGTTACACTATATTTATATGTGAAATGAGATTTGTAATATGTGAAATATTAGAAAGTATAAACATGGCTTGAAATTATTTCAAACTATGTAATATTCAGAATTTATAAAAATTATATATCTCTTTATTCATGCTGTTGTCTATTTCGTGATAAATGTGTGAGAAATGACGTATATTAAGAATTGTCTCACAGAATCCTTACACTAAACGAACGAAGCCGGAAAGTTTTTTGAACAAAACAGTTTCCAACAACATTTTGATGGAAAACTTGAGCTTCTACCAATTATATGTAGTTTCATTGTGATTATCGACTCGTAAATTGCCTTGCCTAATTGAAAAATTCAAGATCGCCAAGCCACATGTTGACTAAATAAGTCCGATTGTCAGTGATAATGTTGATTACAATGGTATCAGAGATAGACCAAAACAACATTCTACTGTCCAATTAAACATTCAGTGTTACTGAAGTTCATGATGACGATGTGAAAGGAATCATAATGGTAATTCTAACTTTGATTATAAGCCTGAAAATGTTTAGACCAAAATTAAGTGCTTAATTTTCGAAATGATCAATTTGTAATCACTGAAATTGTTTTGAATTTAACCTTACAACCTAGCATATTGTACTGTTCAGTAATGGTATGTATTTTTAAACTATGTCTATGTTTTTGGCGATATTAATGATGAATAGAAGCTGATGTACCAAAGAATTTCCGATCCGCATGTTACGGACGTTTAAGATTAGTTTTAATCTCCTAGTGAATGAGTATTACCACTGACGTTTAGATAATGTTGTGCGAAGTTGGTGTTTTATATGGTAACTTTTCGCTTGCCCAGTCAATTTTATTAATCACTGGTATAATACACAGAACGAATACAAGTTGTAACACTTAGTAAAATTAATTTGACCTTGTTTGTCAAGTGTAGGATTTATTTATTTGCCATACAAGATTAAACTTATAGTTCAATCTATCGAAGTTACTAACTCTTACGTTTTCATAATATATTTTAAAGTAACATTGTACGCTCCTTGAGACCATTCTGTTTTTTTTTTTGACAGTACAACTAAAGTTAATTTCTTATTCATGTAACAACCAAACTTCAAATCACCCAACTGTACAAATTGGATTGAGTACATTCTGATTATTTGTCTCGATACAAGTTCCCTTTCACCGTAACTGATTTGCTTATTCAGTTACTGCCAAAGTTTATTCACAACCTAAGGCACTATTTAACCCCTGTTTATATAATAAATCGATAGTACTATAATAAACTTTGGCTCATAAACATAAAACATTAGAAGTGATAGAACATTTCTACACTAAATGGTTATCTTATATTTTCATCTTATTTTTTTTTTCACTGGACAGCCTGATTCAACTGCCGATTTTGTTGTATGGCAAACTGGTAATTGGATTGCATTGACAATACCAAATGTTAGACCAGATTTAACTGGAACCTACAAATTATACATTGATACACCATCGGGTGAATATTACACAACAGGTGATCTGTCAGTGAATGGACAAAAACTACAAACGACACCATATGTTCCATCGTAGGTCTTTCTTTTTCTCTTCTCTTTACAAACTTTTTTGCTTGCACCAATGGATGAAAGATAAAATTAAGATGAAAACTTTTTGACGAAACATGTTTGTATTTGATATAGTATATATATATATGTACAGTTCGTATTCCTAAATATCTGTCTTTTACTCCACTATTATAGGACATTTCAACTTTTTTCATATACAAACTGATAACATAGAGATCCATAATTGATAAATATATTTTCATAACGAGTGGATCTGAGACAGACCAGAACTGGATAGGGCCGGACACATGTTTCGTCCTAGCATGGCACTCCTCAATAGTTCACATCCAAGACAATGTCACAGGGCATAGAACTCGAGGTATTCGGTCTCGCGTGGGGACTCAGTCTGCAGGCTGTTGATCAATCATTCAGTAATTTTAATATCGGACTTCAATAAGTTCACGATATTGCCCCACCGTTTACGCTGTTTCCAGCAGAAAACTGTTTCATACACAATATGGTTGAATTCCATTGCGCTAATGGATGTCCACTAGTGTGGAGTCCCATGCTAAGACGAAACAGCTGTCTAGTGCTACAAAGTTATCAAACTGGGTCCGTAACTTAAAACCTATGAAAATTCTATGATCTCGACAAAACCTTCTATTATGTAAATAATACTTTGAACCCTTAGTAGATGTAAAAATCCCACCCTATCTTATAATGAGAAAATATGTTTATTTAAATGATAAATTCGAGCCTGATCAATAAAATCATCAGTCAGTGTCAAAATATTTGGTTTCATCTCCCATCAATTCGTACATTTTGATCATGATTGTAAAAATATCACTTATATTTAGTGCTTCTTGTAAATTAATTTTATCTGTTTAACATTTCTTGGTCGGTTAACTTGACAGATAAGAAAGTTTTATAAAATACCTTTTTGAACTTAGATAAAACAATTTTTATTCACAATAACACAATTAATTCAAGCAATAAACTAAATTTCTTTCAGATAAATGTACTAAGGTCATAAGTTGTACGGATGGCCATGATGATCTATGATCTGTTCAAAACTATTCAATAAGCGGCAAATAGGTCTATAATGAACGTAACAAAATAGAGCTTGTAAAATTAATTTAACCAAATCTACCATACATGTAAATATACTTTGGAAACAATGATAACAATGGTAATTTTTATAACAAGCTTTAAACTAATTATATCCGACATGGTCTAATAACTAATTAGGGTCGGTCTAAAAACCAACAGATTTCATTTCAGTAAAATGTTTACCTAAAACAATTTGTAGCGTATTGTTAACTTCAGAGTGTTCATTATTGTTTAGTGATTGGTAAGCAAACGTGTTTTTCTGTTTAAGCCTACCACTTATTAAACAGTATTTGTCTGGTTTGTCTGTAAGTAAGTAAAAGTAGAAGCTGTTCGAAAAGTTTATCAGTGGGATTCAAGTATATCCGACTTTTCAGTCCAAAATATGATGGACTATGCTTTCAAAACAAACATTAAACCAACTACAAAATGAATCTTACAGTTTTTCAGGTTAATTTACTATACCTAAAAATCACTGTATTTGTAGTTTGTTAACAATGCAGTATGTTAGAAGGTAATCTTAACTTTATGGCATCGACTATTACCATGTAGGCATGATGCCTACGCGAACTTCTACACTTTTGAATGTCAGATACAACGTAACACACCTGTATTGTTCAATTATCAACAAATTGTAACACCCGATCAATTTCAATTGCATATGAGCAATCGTTATCTTCTCGTTTTGTTTCTATAGTGTAGTGTGTCATTTTTATGCGTGCTCTTATGCTTTGTAATTAGCTCGTCTAGACAATCGTTACTAAATAGCGTCTGACGGTTTATAAAGGTGAACTCGAAGTGATGAAAATATGTTTATTTGGGACGCACCACAAAGCGAACTGGAGAAGCAGTGAATAAAACGAATAAAGCGACGTGAATTGGAGAAGGCTGTTAAGCTAACTCCAAGAGATAGAGCATGACTAAGAATATATATATAGTCAGACAAAAATAAGACAAACGCCTAACCATCGGACCACTGACCCGGTATCTATTGGTGTTCAATGTCTAACTTGATCAATTTTACGGTTAGGCGTTCGCCTACAATACCGAAGGTCCTGGGTTCGAATCCTGTGGGGTGCAGGAGTCGTGGATGCACACTGCTGAAAAATAAGACAGACATGTGATCAACGAGATAGGCATGCACATACATAAGTAAAAGCGACGAATAGTTGACAAGGTTAAATGACAAGTGGGACACGTCATGTGAGCTCATACAAACCAGACAATAATAAGAACGAATGGTACATATAAGTTGTTGCAATACAAATGGCTTGGTTAAATAAATTAATCGAAAGGGCTTAACCAAATCAAATGTAAGCGAACTCGAATATATATGTGGAGGCACTACAATAGTATTATTTTATTATATTTTTTTCTAATCATTTAATTATTTTATTTTATAGACAAGTCGAAGGACTAAAGCCATTATTCACCAAAAAACTTCAAGATTACACAGTTGAAACCAATGAAACAGTTCGATTAAATGCACGTTTAGTAGCTGAACCACCGGCCACAGTGATTTGGTAATATGCTATGAATTTTTTTATTGATTTCGTAATTTAGTCCTAACAATTAGAATGAATGCTTATTTTACAAAAAAAAATTACTTGCAATTGTACTAACCGCTCTAGGTGTTTTAATACAATACATGCAAACCAAATATGCAGGAAAAAAAAAGCTTTTTATTGTACCTAATAACGATTTACAGTCAATTGCATAGATATAGTCAGTTTTATATTACGCGTTTTGACTTGTTATCGAGCCTATCATTCAACTGTCTAAAAGTTTCATTTATTATCGATCAACTTACTGAACTATCTATCAGGTTTTACCGATGAACACAATTTTTACATTGTTGTTTTATTCTTTATGACTGAACTGACCAGTTCAGGTCAGAGTAAGAATATTGTAGTAATTGCCTAACACTGGAAACGCAATTACAATGCTCGAATCTCAATGTCTTTTCGCATACAACAAAATCATTACTTATATACTAACTTACATACTTACGCCTGTTGCCCCAATGGAGCAAAAGGCCGCCGACCAGAATTCTTCAGCCTACTCTGTCATGGACCTTCCTTTCTATTTCTGCCCAGTTGTTGTTTGTTCTTGTCACGTCTGTCTCCACTTCTTGACATAATGCATTTCTTGGCCTTCTTCCTCTCCTATGACCTTGACGGGCCTGAGTCAGGGCTTGTCTTGTGACGCAATTGGGTGCTTTCCTCAATGTGTATCCTATTCAGTTGTAGCCGGATTAAGTTAATCATAGTTAAGTGGATAGGAATTTAACTCTCATTTACACGAACAATTACACATGATATGAACTAAATCTTTCTATTAATTTCCGCATCTTATTCTTAGGCGAACTCCGTTTGTGCAACTGCAGTAATGAAAAGCACAATACGGTTTCTTTTGGATGAAGTTATTTCCATACATTCACGTAAGCAGAATGATTACAAAGATAAGCGTGCAAGAGAACAGAAGTGAAGTGAGAAGGCTAGCGGCCAATTCAACTTGACATTGAATGACTAAGTATTTATGGGTGAGGTCGCGCAAAATCCGTAGATCAATCAGAGTTAGACATTAATACTGTTGGATGCCAGCCCAGTGGTCCGATGGTTAGGCGTTCGCGCACAATACCGAAGATCCCGGGTTTGAATCCTGCGAGGCGCAGGAGTCGTGGATGCGCGCTGATGATGAGTCCCATACCAGGACGAAACGGCCATCCAGGCGTTCCAGGTTTCTAATGGTGGTCTAACAATGATTGACTGATGATTTCAAATGTGTAAAAACACGAACCTCCAAAACTCTGCCCGAAAATAAGTATTTATATTCAGACAAAATAAACTAGACATGTGATAAACGAAATAAGCAATGCACATATGCACAGAAATAAAAGCAATAACGGTTACAAGCGAATGACAGACAAAGGTCAAAAGTGTGTAAATAATGATTCGATTAGAATAGATCTGTTAGTTTATGCAAAAGCTTGGACAATCCTTGTAGGGTCGATAAACTAATGCACACTGTAGTAAGTTTTTAAAGTGAAATAAGATCGCTTTTAAAGGTTTATGGTGAATACTGAAATTTTTATTGAGGTCGCAAAAAAATTCAAGTAAAACAACCATCTGAAAGCACTAGATGGTCGTTTGGTTCTAGTACAGTACTGACTCACCAACATACAACCTGCTCAATACATCGTCGATACATAATTATCCATCTTTTCATTATGACTCATTTTTTTTAGGAAACATAATGGTATTCAAATTGAAAACAATGACAGAATTGAAATCTATCATGATCCGATTAATCCATCCCTTGTTATTCATAATGTCAAAGATGAAGATTACGGTGAATATGTATGTTCAGCGTCAAACATACTTGGTCATACTGAAACTAAATCATTTCTATACATACAAAGTAAGTTCATTTGTGTGTATATGATGTTTTTTTTTCAAAGCTTTTTCTCCAAATCTTTGTGATAGATTATGAATTTATTTGGTTTCGATTGGTACAATTGTCTATTTTAACGTCATCTGACAGCTTAATCAATAAGACTTGTGTTTGTGTGTCATAATCAAATGTGCAGATTCATGTGAAGATGCATGCCATAGCATAATCTTAAATGACAGTTGTTTACTTATTAACTAACTGTATGAGTCAATTAACAAAATGCCGAATATTAGAATAATTTAATGACTGACTACCGTATAAACAATGCGTCTGTTAAATGTTCAATATGCCTTTTATTTTCTAGTCCAAGTGAAGTAATAATTTACAGTAACTACAAAACAATTCCTCTTTCAAAAATCCAACAAATTCTCGTAGTTAGTAAAAGTAAAAAAAAAAACTATTTCAACTGATAAATTTTAACGAATTTCAATTACTTCACTTTAAGTTAATCAATTAGTTGAAATTGAATAAACCTCGTTTATTCAGGTGGGAAAACAAATGAAGGCTGAATAATTACTTTACCAAACTGCATCATAAAAGTGATTCAGTTGAGATAAAAAATCTTTTTATCTTGCTGAAAAAAGGCAACTAATTGAGATCATGCATACATCACATGACTGTGAAGATTATTTGTACGAGACTGTAATAGCTAAATAGATATTAAACAATTCAAAGTACCCAGAAATACCATCTTCAGAAGAGAAAAAAATTAAATGAAGATGATAATAAAATGGCGAATAAGACCTGTAAGATATAGTAATATATATATATATATATATATATATATATGGAGATTTTAGTACCATAACGCTGATAACAGTTTGTTTTCCTTAAAGCAAACTATTTCAGTACCTTTACTAGACGTTCACTTAGATAACACTTAACGGATAGGCTTTGGACGATGTAAAAACATTTATATATAAGGGCAGCATAATTGATAAGCAAGGTGGATCTAATGCAGATGTGATGGTGCGGATCGGCAAAGTAAGGGCTGCATTTCTACAGCTGAAGAACATCTGGAACTCAAAACAACTATCAACCAATACCAATACAAACTTCAAGACAGTTCTACTGTATAGGGTGGAAACTTGAAGAACTATCAAAGCCATCATCCACAAGATATCAGTGTGTATTAACAGTTGTCTAGACTAGATACTAAGAATCCGTTAGCCAGACACTAGAAGCAACAACCTATTGTGGGAGGGAACAAAACAGATTCCAGAAGAAAAAGAAATCAGGAAAAAGCGCTGGAACTTGATAAGGCACACATTGAGGAAATCACCCAGCAGCGTCACAAGATAAGCCCTCACTTTGGATCTTCAAGGTCAAAGGAGAAGAGAATGACCAAAAAGCATATTAGGCCGAGAATCGGATGCAGGCATGAAAAGAATGAATAGTAATTCGATAGAACTGGAAAAGAAGGCTCAGGTTAGCATTGGTTGGAAAATGCTGGTCAGCGGCCTTCGCTCCATTGGTGGTAATAGGCGTAAGTAAGTAATTAGACGTCAGATTATAAAAAATAAGTTTCATCAATGAATATAAAACTCTATCAAACACCAAAAAGAAATAATGATATTAGCATAATTTAAATAGCGATCTTTCTATTTGTCCCATAAGAAAACAGTAGTTTAATGAACAGATAATATTTTTCAACATCTCAGTGAATAGTTCGTTATGAGTAGTTAAAACTAACATATATATGCATTACGGGGTTGTGAAGATTGTTAAGTTGCACATTTTTTGAAACCATGAATCGATCAATGTTAGAAACCTGGAAGCAGTGCGCACTGCCGAGGAGTCCCATACCAGGACGAAACGGCCGTCCAGTGCTTCCAGGTTTCTAATAATATATTATATAAACATATATAAATATGAACTTGTTTCATACATAATCTTAATGTGTTATTTCGTTTGAATTTCAATTCAGGTACTCTATTCGAACCTAGTAGTTACGAACATGATGTAAATGAAGTGGCCGAATCTCCAGCTAGACCGACAAGATGTTCAGGTAATGTCAGTTTTTTGGAAAGTTCTCTTGATTTTTAAATTTAGGATCTGAGCAAAAAATCACTTCATTGATTCAGTTTCCGAATATTTTGGTGTCTTTCATACAGAGTTCAATAGTTTCTGTTTACCATAAATATATGTTAGAATTGTGTCTGAGGTTATTTAAGTCAGTGGTAAAAAATACAATTCCCCTACTAAATTATACGTTCTTTTCATGTATTGTAGCAGTGATTACATGCATGAAGTAACTAGACAAGGGAAAAATGTTTAGTTGGATGTTTTTGGATTATATAACTGATATTTTCCATGTACACACAATGTTTCGTTTTTCTACTACTAGCTCTTCAAATTAAAGAACTTATGACCTATTCTCCTCTTGCCTCATTTCATTTTTAAAACAATTCCAGAGAATAGTTGAACAACAGTCATGAACTTTTAGAACTTCAGTATACAGTAGCTCTGTTGGGTAACTCTCTTGGAAAGTGTCTTAATTTTGGATTTAGTGTTTCCCTTAGTTGACCTTCAGCTTACGTTTCCCACTCGGAAAATCCTTCACTGTCATTGGCTGATCGATTATTGTAGTAGTCTACATTTGTGGCTCTCCCACGGACGTTTCTATCACTGATGCTTATCAACCTCATATGTTCTGGGTGCTTATAGAATACACTTTCTACGCCTTATCAATACTTCGTGCTATAGTTAACAGTGCCGGGGACAATGGAATCAGTATGGCCTATCATGTCACTATCATAGCTTCGCTCTCGTTCACCGAGTAGGGTGAAGTCGTGATAGTTTCAAGCATATCAATTGACGAGCATATCATTCTCTATAATTTTCTTACAGTTATGAATAAATGCTGTGATTATGTATTTTCAAAAAGACATTGAACGTTTACAAATTTGTATTTAATTGAAGAAGAAAATCTCATCTAATTCTTACAATGTATTAAGTATTTTATTAATTTACTCATGAAATAAACATGACAAGTTTCTATTGTTTGACTTACTGGTTACTTTTGTTTTTTTTTCAGTTTTACCACCGAAAGTAAATAATATTGAATTGCTTGAAGTGTACAACGACGGTTTCAAAATTGCTTGGGATCCACTACCAAATGAACAAGTAACATATAATGTGGAAATAAGTAATGATGCTGGTAGATGGTGGAAACCTGTACTTACTAACTTACACGAAGTTTCAGCGCATATTTCCAATGATATTGCGTGTCCTTTGAATCCGGTACAAGTAAGAGTGGTTGCTGAAAATGAATTTGGACTTGGACCTCCTTGTTTTCCGGTACTTCGTTTACCTATACGAGCGTGTCTTCCTCATATGCAAGCAATTAAGCCGGAAATTGAATTTGAAGAAGCGACAGCTATTAAAATTCAATGGTGTCCAGCAGTGCCTGCACTTACACCAAACCAACTACACAAGAGCGCTTTGTTGAATTCATCACAACTACTTGGTAAAGTAACTTATGCAGTGGAGATTAGGGAAGGATCTCAGTCAGAGTGGTGCAGAGTGGCCAGTGATTTACTGGCTCGATCCTACACTTATCACTTACGACCTGGTACCAGTTCTGCTATACGTATTGTGGCGAAAAACAAATATGGCGAGTCTTGTCCTACTCCGATGGCAATAGTTCAACTTGATCCTAATTCATTAATTCCCGATTTATCACTTGATCCTCCATGGATAGCAATAAACTATCCAGCAGATAACATCTCAGGGAAAAAAAGTAATATTCGACTCTTATGGAAACCTGCATATATGCCAGAGTTTTGTACTAGTTGTGTAAAAGAACTGAAACCTTTCTATCGAATTGAATGGAGGCGTGGAATATCTGGACAATGGGTTGATTTGGTTCGTGATATTAGTGAGTATGAAAGTGGTTATTCTCTACCAAGAGATCTTGTAGAATCTGTAATTCAAATAGGAAATGACTCACCTTTGAACACTACCAATTCGAATAGTTCCATTGAATTCCGAATATTTTCTTACAATGAATTCGGTGAAAGTGGGCCAACTAGGAGTTACAGATTGAAGGCATCTCAGATATTTAAAGCGCAAGATTATCGGAACAATAATCAAGTATCAGATAGACTGAATGGGATTGATCAGAATGAGCATATTAGTCTGCTGGATAAACTACCGATTATTTCATCTGGCAAAATACCAAAACTTAAAGTTCAAATGATCTCAGTCGATCCGAAAGAAGGTGTTGCTCTCAAATGGGATCCCTGTACAGGTTCAGATGTAAATAAAAACTTCGACGATCATTATAACTTACATGGCCGCTATCGAATTCAGCGTAGAACTTTAAATGATGATGATGATAGCAATTCTTCAGTGAATATGTCTAACTGGACAGTAGTTTGTCGAGAAGATGATCTGATTTATGGAGAACAATATGTTCTTGATACGAAACCAGGTAAAACAGAACAACTTGTTAGAATTCTAAGCTTACATGAAGATAAAGGCGGCAATTTGAGTTGGTTCGATGACCACGAAATTGTTCGTATACCAGCATTGCATGAAATATTCCCTCCAGCACCATCAAACGTAGAGGTGAAATTGATAAGCCCTATTGAAACATCAGGTTCTGCAGGAGTTCGTGTCACTTGGAAACTTCCCAACTTTGAATTTCCAACGAATGACAATTATTTAGGAAATATTAAAAATCATGATCAAATTAATTACAGAATAGAAGCTCGTACAACTTTAAGCGAATTAGCACCTTGGAGACAAGTTGGTCTTGTGTCTGGATCATTAGGTAAAATAGATGATCATAAAGCTGAGCCTGGATCACAACTTATTTATCGTATAACACCTGTAAACCAATTTGGTGAAGGTCCAAGCGCAAGTTCTTCACCGATTAAACTTCCGTTTTTGTTAACAACTTTAGAAAGGTTAGTTAAAGTTTAGATTATTCCGTTTTTCTAACACTTCTTGCTTAGTATTTTTTTTTTCATAGTACGCATTGCAAAACAATCTTAATTAGAGAACCTTTGAAAATTAGGAAGTCATGGACACCTACTTCTTAATAGTTGTTAATGCACACACTAAAGAGCTTTAGCACCATTTTTACAGTTGAAATTCTCCTATAGCCTGTAGCCTCTAGGGGGCGCATCCGCCTGAATACTACAAATAATATCGATTGTCAACGATCTCTTCAAGCATGTCTGCTTGCAGTAATCTATTAATTAACCTATGAAACGGTATAAATGTAATCAAAGGTAATAAAACTCAGATTAAGTATCAAAAAACATCAACCAAAATCGTCAACGGAAGGGAAGTTAAGTACAGGAACCAACAAACGAACCATCCTGCCCTATATAAAAGACATATCATAAATTACAGCACAATTACTGAGACCATTTGGAATAGATGTAGAAACAAACCAACAGAATGACTCCCATCAATTCTATGCAAACCAAATGACAAGAATACAAAAGAAGAAAAACCGAACGTCGTCTACAAACTAAACCGCCCAGACTGTGAAAAATATTATATCAGACAAAGTGGACATCCTCTTCAGCTACGTGGACATCAATTAGTAGTCAAACGACATGACATTTCTTCCCTACGTAGGAACAACTGTGGACATACATTCGACTGGATCAATGGAACGACGATAGGTATGTGGTCAATAACAACCAATCAGGATCGAGGTCAACAGAGCAACAAGCTACTAGTCATACGTGGAGAAATTCGAATACTTCACTTCTATTTGAAGTTTGTGCTGATGATGTTGTTCAGTAGGAGAACAATGAAAGCTCCTCAACTAAAACATAAAAATCAGAAGACACAATTCCATCACAAACATTCAAATAAAATTAATCTATCATCACACAATCAATGAACATGACAACTGTCACCTTCGATAAATATTCTAACTGAAAACTGTTTGAAATTAACTATATTGAACATTTAAAATGAGAATTGTTTAAAATGACTATCAAATCTACACCACAAACTATTCAAGTTCGGAGTTTTATGTCTACTTTTTTTTATGCATAAAGCTTCTTGTATCTACGCTTTATTTAAAAAGAAATCCAACTCTACTTAAAATATTATGATTTTTTTCTGAATAGAATCTAATTTGAAGATACATAAGTGCATGTCATTAGTGTTTAGTGGCAGCGTTAAATTCAAAGTAGGGTTCATCACTCTTATGGTCCACATTCTGACTCCAGGATTGATGAACGAACGATCGAGTATGCTATGAAACAAACCTTCCTTTCGATTTCTGTATATTATACTTAAACAAACCCCGTTTGAGCGACAGCGGTTATAAAAAGCCAAATACGGTTTCATTTGGATTAATTTCATTTCAGGCAACCGTCCATTCAGACAAATATATGAGAATGAAGAGCATACAAGCAAAGAGAAGTAAAACGAAGGTAATTAAGCTAACTTCATGCGCTGAAATATGGCCATGTATTTATGGTCAGAGAAAATAGGCTAGACTTGTAACAAGCGAAGTAAGCGTGCACAAACATATACACAGTCGAGTAAACACACTCAAAATATAAACGAGTATTTGACGTGGACAAGGACAACGGACGTATAAATAACTCGGAAAGGCTAGGTTGAATGATTTGTTCAAGGTCTAGGACAAGCCCAGCTGGCTCGACATATTTGTGCACACACTACGTGTGTTTGAACCTAATTGAATGATCTAGAATATGTTATATCTTACGAATATTTTTTAGAAATGTCTGACAGTTATAGACAATGAAAGATTGTTACATTTACACAGTTAGTGTATATACGTATATTTACACATTCAGCCATAGAACCCAATGTCAATAGGTTGGTAATAAGGTGTTACAATCACACGGTATCTCACCAGATAATCACAACTTTAATTGGTCTGATACAACACCAGAATGATAACTACATTGAACTCATAAGTCAAATGTAAGAGTTTTGTGTCCTTCAGGTTTTAAAATTAGTATTAGTAAGTATTTAAAACAATTTGTCCCTTTTATAAATTTTGATAGAGCAGTGAGAAGACGTAATTGATCTGAAAAATGTGCACAATGCACATATGCACAAATGCACAATACATTTCGAACTATTTGGTCACACATATACTTGTCAAGGCATTTTATATGAAAATTAATACAAGGTCAATTGAACAGAAGTTCAAGTATATATAAGTTGATAATTTTAAATAAAGGAGAGAGAAAATTAACGTAATATAGAAAGGATAAGAAAGGGTAGGAAATTGTCACATTACTCTAGGCCATACAATGGCTTATCAGGGTAAATTCAAGGTTATAACACACAATACGAAGTTTTAAGTTACGAATAGCCAACGCTTCCATATGCCACAAAATTCATCCTCCAACGTTTCGGTACAATGTTTTAAAGGTTGTCTGAATGTCAATCTTATGCCCCATTTCAATTGAGTGTTTTGCGATCGATGAAAATGGTTTTCTGTTCCGCACGTTTATTGGTTCATCTGAAGTCAACTGATTTTGAAGCCACCTCGGAGCGTGTTCCATAACCCTTTTTTATTTAATTGACCTTGTATTCGTAACTTAAAACTTCGCATTGTGTGTTATAACCTTGAATTTACCCTGATAAGCCATTGTATGGCCTAGAGTAATGTGACAATTTCCTACCCTTTCTTATCCTTTCTATATTACGTTAATTTTCTCTCTCCTTTATTTAAAATTATCAACTTATGTATACTTGAACTTCTGTTCAATTGACCTTGTATTAATTTTCATATAAAATGCCTTGACAAGTATATGTGTGATCAGATAGTTCAAAATGCATCGAGCATATACATCACATTTTTGAGATCAGTTACATCTACTCACTGTGTGATTCATAGTAAATGTTAGTTAATTAAAACAGGAATAATTATGTCGACCACAAGAAGAAGACTTGTCTAAGTCCTTCGAGAACAGGAATATATATATAAATAATTTTACTAAACATTTCCCCCCTAACTTCTACTTATATAATCAATGCTTTGTCAAGTAATTGTCGTCTAAATATGTTTACACTCATCTATACCAGAATAATTAACAACACTGTTCTATCTTTTATTTTTTAAACATCATAGATGCATTGAAGATTTTCGTTTCCTAATACTTGGACCAAATACAATTCAATTACGTTGGCGTTTAGGTGATACAGTGATTGATGCATTAGGCTTTCAAAGAAATTCATATCAGTCAATCAATGCCACAAATCAATTGGATACAGATGAATCAATTGAAATATGTGAAAGAGTGAAATTTTCCATTGAAAGACGTGATGGTTACGCCGGGGACTGGTATCCGATCAGAGAACAAATCAATGGTTATCTGCATAATAAAATTGTACTATCACAATTTGACTATTTAGACAAAGATATTTCGTGTAGAATCATTGCAATTTTGGATAATCAACAAACTAAACCTAGTCGACCTATTAATATCAATATTAAAACAGGTGAATCAAATTTTTTTTTTCAAATTTATTAAGTAATTTCTCATTTGCATATAGAATAATATGAATATATCTGAAGTTAATGAAACCCATCAGACTTAACTACTTACTCCTGTTACTCTTAATGAAGCATAGGCCACTACTGACCAGCATTCTCCAACCAACTCTGTCCTGGGTCTTCTTTCCAAGTTCAAACCCTATTACTATTCATTTTTTAATGATGTCTGTTTCCAATTCTCGGCTCACTGTGTTCTTTAGTTTACCTCTTTTCCTTTGCCCTTGGAGATTCCAAGTTAAGGCTTGTTTTGGGAGGCAGTTGGGTGTTTTCTGTATTGTGAGTCTTCATCATCTTCCTCAGATTCCAACTGAGGAATAAAACCAACCTAATATAAAAACGTTAACCCGAAAGCCATTAGAAGTTAACAGTTACATATTGTCATTTTGTTTCAATGAATATCAGATATAATCAGAATAGTATAAAGAAAATGATTTAAAATTAGGCAATAACAGTGAATTCTAACTTCTGTTTCGTTGATACTAGTGACGACATAAACGATAACGAACTAAGTAACATTGAATCCCGTAGAGATTACCACATTTTTTAAAAGGTCGATTTAAAATGTTAAGATGCTGAACAGACTTTGAATTAATATTCACAATACTTTTAAAAACAATATCTGAGTGGGAATTTTCCGGTTCCAGGCTTTTTACGCATTAATGTAAAATGAATTCTCAGTCACCTTAGATCCCCTCACCAGAAGAAAGCAAAACATTGGAATAGTCCATCAAACAGTTAATTTTATATAAATAATCATTTTCTATACGTATTTTCTCTCCATTTCAATGTCTTTATTCTGTGTTGTTCCTTATTACCGAATAGATTTCCTAGTCCCGGATTTCTCAGCTTTTAAACCGCATGTAAATGTTACATCAGTTGAAGAATATCTAATCTCATGGGACGATCCCGATGTTCAGGCGTTATACACAAGTCACATTTTAAATTTGTCAATGCCTCAAGTGTTACAAAAAGATACTACTTATGCAGTCCAAGTAATATATATGAATTTTACTTTACTGTTTCCTTGTGATGGTTGAATTTTGAAATTTATATCACGACCTAATCAGAGCACTTCCCTAACAACACTAGTGATTTAACTCGAGAGCTTCATGACTCGCTATGTGTATTCAACTTTTGAATCTTTGAGCCAGTGTACATCTTTAACCTTAGTCAATTCATGAGGCTATAGAACCACCATCAAAAGTCATTACTGAATGATCTTTTTCCTTCTGACCTAAATAAGCATAACAGCTTCCAATTAGTACCATGAGAATCACCTCTCAAACTTAGTTGCTGGTGATAACGTGACTAGCAATAGTATAGATAGTTATCTTAGGACGAGATGGCTGTCCAGTGCTTTTTAATTCGTTCATTTCATGCTGTAAACTAAGAACAGTTTCAGTATAACACAAGAATAAGTCAACAATTTCTCAGTCCTAATATAATGTTACCTCATAATTTGGATTTGATATTGTAATCGATTTCACCATTTGAAAAAGTTTAATTAATTTTTTCCCACAGAATTTATTTTTAATCAACTAGGTAAGACAATCAGACATTATTGAAATCCTTCTACTAGGTCACAACGCTTTACCACTATATATAGCCGGATGTATACTTTTGCGCAAGTAAAGTGTATACTGAAAATCACTTATTTGAGTATTTCTTAGAATAACCAATGGATTGGAGAAATGTCATTGTAATGATGAATTGATGATTGTTAGACCACCATTATAAACCTGGAATCACTGCAAGGTCGTTTCGGTGTAGTATGTGAGACTCGTCAGCAGTGCACATCAATGATCCCTACTCGTGGGGATCGGACCTAAGACCCTCAATCTGGCACTGTTGAGAAGGTTTGTCAGCTTTCACTAACTACAGGTCAAATAAATGAAAATATATGTAAGCCGTTGAGTTTTGAAAAAAAAAAATACTAAATACAAATTTGTGACTAATGGTATTCGTAAAACTTTCACATATTCACACAATTACTATTCGTAAATGGTATTTGTCTAAAAATCGTAAGATCAAGATGACTTTGTTGTTAAACTGAATTTTAACACAAGCTTTCTCGTTAATAAGTCAATAAATACTACGTACATCTTCATGTATACTTCATTATATGTCCCTCTCTTAATGACTTCGTTAACTGTGTGAAACATGAAATCGATTGGTTCATATAAATTAGCTCAGTTTACAGGGTAGTTTAATGTGTAAACACACCTCTACAGAATTTCTAGCATACATGTTTCACTTAAATCACAAACATTGTTTATTTACATGATAGAATGCTATTTCAAATCAATGTGTATTCTTAAATTTGACTAAACATTGTAACATTATCAAAACTGATTGTTGCATCGGTTAACGAGCTCTATCTAACACAGACATTCTCTTTATTTCATAAATCGAATTGTATTCTTGAAACTGCTTCAAAATGTTTTTTTTTTTAGTTTATTGATTTACTATCTATTCATTCTATCCTCCTGTATAATATTTTCTGTCGAATAATTGTTTGTATTCAGAAAAGTGCACATCTGTTATTTCATATCAAGTATAACTACTTACAATGAGCTCGTGAAACTTTGCACCTATTAACCTCATGTTAGTAACTTGTGTCATGTTATATACTCTATAGTGTTGGTTAGATTCTATCAAATAATGGAGGCTAGTCCAAGTGACAAATGTATTTTGTCTAATCTTAGTCGATTCAAATCAATGTGAGGTAGCTATAGTCTCAATTAGACTAGTAGCCTTTTATAACAACATTTTATCAACATTATTGGACAAACAATACCGATTAAACTATCTGAATTTCTAGATCCCAACACAGTGGTAAAGTTTCTGATGATGATGATGATGATAACTGGTGAAACGGATTCGCATCCTACCAGCTCCTTCAAACATCATAAACATATTTTCTTAGCAAATGACTGCTAGCACAATACCTAGCTTCAAGTAATTCACATGGACTGTTTCCTTACCAGTATAAATCAAAAATAGTTACATATATATGTATTTTGCTTAGTCACTATTTTCAACGTCCATCATAGAAGCATCATACCAATTCCATAAATAATAAACTGTCAATTATTTAGAACACTTACCATTCAGTGCAATGTAATTATTATTTTAGATAAATAAAAAGAAATTTATTACTGGAATAAACCAAAACAATAAGAGAACACAAATATTTTTATTTTGAACACATGTATGTATACTTTGTGCAACGTCATTTGCAATGTTGCAGTGATTGATCAATTGTAAACCAATGTACGAATTCAAACGATGATATAAACTGGCCTAGTGACAACGATAAATATGATTTGCACTGAACACAAATTTCTTAATGGAGAAAAACAGTAGGCGGTTGTTAGCCTCTTCAGATTTTCTTAAAAATTTACTGTTTTGTATGTAGAATGAAAGCAAAGTTCATTGTAAGATGATTTTACCAATTGTCAAGAGTTAATATAGCAGTACTAGGATTGATTCACGCCACCTATATGGAAATGTTTTATTTCGCAGATTAGCCAATGTGAAGTGAAAAATACATTTTCAAAAGTAACTAGGAGAAAACATTTTTCATAGCTATTTCCCCTTAGTTTTAAACTCTTCAGAAGTAACCAGCCAAGTCTCAATTAGTGATGCCCAATACCGAAAATTCCCATTTTAAACTTTGATTTACTCGAGAAATGCCAACCCTATATTTATTGAAAAATTCTAAACATAAAAATGAAACAGAAGTAGTAGTCCAATGCTTTCCGACAGTTGTCTGAATCAGATTTCATTCTATGCTATGAACTATAGAAATTTAATTAAAATCATTCACATTTATTCACAATTTTCTTGTTCTCTTTTGTTTTCATTAAACATTTATTTATTTATTACTTCAATGTCTATATTATAAAATTTAGATTCAACATGAAAATTCAACGGAGTGGATAACATTAGCTTCTGATCTAGAAACAACCCAATGGACATGGAATCAACCAAATCCATTAATTGGATATCATGTTCGTATTCTACCATCGAATCAATTCGGTGTTGGACATCCAACTAGAAATGTGTTAATCTCACCACAAGTTGGTAAGCAATGCTCAATATTACAATCAAACTGTTAGATTCGTCACTAGGTACACTAGAAACTATTAGGGGTTCACCTTAGTCGATAAACGCAAACGAAGTAGGCTACCTTGATCCCAAAACGACAAAACAGAAGTCTATGAAATAGCGTAGAAAGTATATTCTACAAACACCCAGCTAGCACAATGCTATCAAACACACAAATCCCGTTTATTTATTCATCATAGAAACGTCCTTGAGACAGTCACAAAAATAACACACTAAAATAGACAGCAGCCAATCTCAGGCAAGGATTTTCCTAGTGGGAAATGAAATCTCAAGGTTAGTTGATCAGCCCATGCTCGGAAACGTGAAATCCAAAATAAGGCATTTATTAAGCGAGTTCTGGGGATCTAACGTCCCCAAAAGAAACTAACTAGTTAGCCTTATCCAAATGTCGTATCGTCATTCATTATTTTATTTAAATTGGTTTGATTTAAAGTATTTAACATGGAATACATGAATTTGTTCAGTATCACTGTTTAAAGTCATTATTTTCTTGTATCGATTCAGCAAGAACTTGGTTCAGGGTGATAAATGTAAACTTTAGTGGCCCGAGATGTGACTCCAATTTGTAGGAATAATCGAATACGTGTTGAAATAAATAATCCTTTTGATTTCCGTATATCATTGTTAGATAGAACCTATTTGTGCGATGGCAATAGTTAACAGCCCGATACGTCTTATTTCGGCAGAAGTTATTTCACACATTCATTCATGTAAGCAGATAATAAAGAAAATCGTAAAAGTAAGGCGAAGTGAATCGGACCAAGAGGGTGGAACAGTTCACTTGATGAGACATGACTAATTATTTATGGTCAGATAAAAAAATAACCTAGCCATATGACATACAAAATAATCAATATACATACGCGAATAGAAGCAATCAAGACTATGGGCGAATGATCGACACGGTTGAAATACGTATGAAGGAATGTACTAAATAATTTGACCAAAGGCTGGGGGACAAGCCTTGCGGGCTCAACATATTAGTACGCACTAGAAACTCTCATTTAGTGTGTCAATTATGAAATACATTCAAATGAAAACATTCAGCGTTTTCTTACGGCGACCCTAATTATTGCCTCTTATATATATATATATATATATATATATATATATATATATATATATGCGTGCACTTTAGTATATCAGTAAATGTTTTATACTATAACAATGATTTGATTTGGGACACATAATTTTTGGAGCCAATGAATCAGTCTTTTTTTTGTTCTTACTTTGCGTCGTGGGAATTCTATTGGTTCCAAATCATCAAATGAAAGCAGTAGGACTAGGGATTAAGCAAAGTCAGCATGGACATAACAGCAACTACTTCTAGATATAACAGTTATGACGCGAATATAAAAAAAAAAGTTGACAACCCAGTTACAATAGTTATAACACTGAACCCAATAGCTTAACGGATATCGTCGTATTGAGCATTTAAAGTGAAGTGTATTATTGCACATCATCAGTACTGAAATTGATATGAATTCGTACTGAACAGGACGAAACTCACGTCTCACTCATATTTTACTGTTGGTTTCACAAGAAACACACTAAAACTCGGCGACATAGTGACATATATCAAGGAACACGGTAACAATGACTGAACAATACAAAATCGTAAAACCCTTATTATATCAGAAGAAAATAATTTCTCGAAATTGCTTCTGTTGTTTTCTTTCATAATTATTTCCAAAATAACTTTAATTTACTCACAAACACAGGTATTGATCACTGGACATTTTTCTGCTTCGTTTAAAAATTTCAGTTATCCCTGATTTGACATTTATGCGACCGTCTATTGAATCACCATCAGATATTCTAATTGGTAGAGTTGCACCAGAACTTGTCTGGCAAATGCCGAAATCGTATGCATTAGACAGAACATTCACTCCATACACATTTGAAGTACAAATTAAAGCTGTAGAGAAATCAATCAATCGTGAAGTTTATGATCAAGAGAAGAGATTTGAAAAATCTACAAGTACAAGTACAAATAGTGAAAATATATGGAGAGTTCTTGCATCTGGTTTAAAACGTACTCGTTTATCATTGGAACATTTAGATCCTGAACAAGAGTATTGGTTACGTATTGTTGCTGTGACAGAATATGATCGTGGTACACCAAGTCAACCGGTACGCAAAATGGCTGATTTAACTGCAAGTAAGTTGAAGATTTTTATAACAATTTAATAGAAATTATACTAAAAATAATTCAATTTATCTTAACTGACTGGAAAATTGTTCATTTCAAGAATTAACTTAAAAAAAATTAGAATTTTGAATAGATCTAATCATCATGTTCTAATCTTTTCTTTATTTGATGAAATGAAAAAAGAACGTAACCGATGTGCATCAGCATCCGTTGGAGTTCTGCATGAACCTACACCTAGTAAGTTATTCCATGTATATCAATTCGATTAACTTTTCTGCATTACAATTTTAATGCAAACAGGTGGTTTTTCTGAAACATAAACAATTACCTATTGACAGCTTTTGAAATGAGAATTGAAATGTTTGAATTGTGATTTTATGATGTTGCAAAGGATCTAAGTACTAAATCACAATTATCATGATGTTTATGTTTCTGCTTCCGACACCAAATGACTTCTGTTTAAAGTAAATTGGATAACATTGAAATGACCCTGTGGTTCGAATAGGCGATTAAAATCACTGAAATTTATTGAGACTTTAAACATTTATATATTTATATCAGAGAAGTGTAGACATCAGTTTCTTCTTAGTTGAGCACTTCCTAGTGGTACTCACTTACTCTAGTAAACTGTGTTACACTTCAAAAGATTTAAACCTTGGAGTAGGCAAGAAATCATAAGACCACTCATTCAGAATTCAACATTTCACTTTTGATAAAGTATCACATTATCGCCAATAGACTAATTAGCTTGTATTATGCAATCACAAGTAAGTGAGCTTTCCAAAATCTATGTTAAAATGTAACTTCTTTCTTCCACTACAGGTCTAACACACAGTAGCTGAAGAAACAATAGTTTTTCTAGGGAGTCTAGTCATCTTATCTCACTTTGTGATTGATACCGACTAATCAGTAGGTTATAGTGGATTCCTTGATTGAATTGTCAATAGTTGACACTTTCTAACCAGTATATTCCAAATTCTGAAATAAATCTATAGGAATATAAACGCGTTACAATATTAAATACAAATAAAGTGTTTAAAAATGACATCGTTCTACTGCTTTCAAAAATGTAACATCATTACTTATGTTGGTAATCAATAGTAATGTTTCGAGAGATACTTTCTTTGATTTTCCCCCTAAAAATAATAAGTATCAGGTCACATTGTTTGTTATGAAATAAAGGATACAACAATTGTTTTAGATTGTACAGAATATGTCAATGACAACAACAATATCATTAAAACAAAACGTCGAACGGTACATTGTGTATTAAATTCAATTACTAAGGTCTAAAAATTGTTTTATAGGACTTTTTCGTTAACACATTGAAGAAAAAAGATGATTGATTACTAAATAACATAGAATCATTTAAGACAGTAAACTATACTTGCTTGTATGTTCCAGTTAGATCTTATTTTATGAAAACATGTAATAATCGACTATTTTTCAAATATGATACACATGTATGCTAACTGGAATATTGGAAATTGTTTAAAAAAATCATATGCATATGTTTGAATATTTCGTATATACTTTTTCTACTTATGAAATATGGGAATCCATTTATTTTGTCCACAATTATTATTATTATTGTTGTTGTCATAACGTTATCCATTTGACTGCTGCATATTTTAGTCACATAGTCCGAAACAGTCTAAAGTGTCCGTGAGTGTCAAAGTTTTAGAGTTCTGTGTTCTCTGTGAACCACCCAGTCTCAGAGGACATTAAATTCTGGTATTGTGTGTGCAACCTATTCGATACAGATATTATAGATTTTAAAAAGTCAGTCAGTGGTTTATTTACAGTTCTTCAGAAACATATCTACTGTATGAAACTAAAACTCATATTTCATTTACTTTAACTAAAAATATTTGTGATGACTAACTAAGTAGTCACAGAGGATAATGGCGTGTGTCTACTTGGGCTACGAAGAGAATGACAGTCACATTCAAGTCCTTTTAATCGGTTTTCTCTCAAATTAATGTTATGTTTTTACAAAATTATGAAGGATGACATAAAAATTCATCAATGACAGTGAATTCTAATCGATGAAGTAATACACAATATGAGAAACGCCATGTCACGTTATGATAATCGTAATAAGAAAAATAAAGTGGTTTAAGAAATAAATAATATATTTTATGTGATTTAATAACGTTGAAATGGTGACTTCACTTTTAGGAAACTCTGTTCAGGATATAGTTTAGTGTTATCTCAGTATTAAAATGATCTTAAGCTAAAAATTCTGCATACCTCACTCAATATCGGATATTATAAAACAGTGATGCACCAATGGCATTCCGAATTGATGTTAGAAGTTAGAAATTTAATCCACTGGATGCCAGCTTGATAATATGAATGTGAGGGGCTCACCACAAGAACTGCATAACATAATTTTGATCGCTCATTTAGTTGTATTTGCTTACTACTAGGAAGAAACAGCTGATTCTTGACCGGATTCTTTCTAGTTATCTAACTAAGATCATTCCATAATGTTACCTATGAAATTCAACATCTATTACAAACTATTTATGCTAAAACAAACAATAGCCAAGTTTACTTTCCTTCATTCGAATTTACTTAAATGTTTTAATAGAGGAACTAAAGTGTGGGCTATATTCTTCATAATGCACTTCACTGGTGCCTGTTTAATATTCATGATGTTAGTGTCTAACTTCAGTCGACTCATGATGTTACACTACCATCACCCATTACCTGTGGCGTATGACTGCCTCTTACCCGACATAGATTGAACTTGACTGGTAATGACTTCTCTGTAGAACTCCAGGAATAATAATCGTGATCCTAGTCACTAGTGGATTTGTGGAGATTGTATTGTTTATGCCCATCATTAAAAAACAATCATGTGCTCACTAGTGATGACTGGCTTCACGAAGTATTCCTGGAATTTCAGTGAGAAGTCAGGATCAATGGAGTTCAAACCGTGTCGAGTAAATGACAGTTATCAATCACTAGCAATGGATAAAGTTTGTGTGATATCATGAATTAATTGAAAACTGAACGAAACTCAATACTATATCAATTAAAATATACATAAACAAGATGCATAAAAGATTCGTTGATAGTTTTGGAGAAAAAAAAGATTGCATTCGATCGAAAAAAAGCAACAGTATTTTCATTTTCTTAGATAAGAAAGTTACGTCAGTCTAGTGTTTACAAATTCATTGGCTACTTTCCTAATACCTACTACTTCATCTAAATGAAACTAGAAAGTAGTATAATGTGATTATTATTTTTTTACGTCGAAATAAAGAGCATCGCTTTCAAACCATGAAAAATATGTTTAAAAAAAAATAGTCTGATTTTAAATGTCATTTGTTGCGTCACACTTTTGCTTGGTACTTTTTTACAACAAATAAATTTCATTATGTAACTCTAAGTGATAATATATCTGTCTATTTCGTTTTTTTTAAATTAAATATTCACTAATTAAGTTTCCCATTTCACTGACTGCAAGCAGATAGAAAAATCTTTGATAAAATCAATACGCACCTTCATGTTATCACATTTAGTCTATGTGGTAGTCCTACTTATAAGTAGTATATGTCGTGAGTGTCAACGTAATGACTGGCAGCAGAAGATGGGAGAAGATCAAGAAAGGAAGAGTTAGAAAACAATGGAATTTGTATGAAACGCATGAGTAGTGACAATGGATTGATGTTTTGCAACAGGAACAGTCTAGTTCGATATGGTGGACTGATATTTTGCAAATGAACGATTTACGATATGGTTTTCCTATTTTACTTAGTAACTCTGTAATTTTCGTTAAGAACAACTCGGTTGCCCCACCTGTGTTCTCCTTCACTACACTAAAATAAATTAAAACTAAAGTATTCAAAATGGTTTATTGTAATAAGTTATAAGTAATTGTACTAATTACTTATATAAATTTAATTCCACTGTTTTGATTGTTAGAATATTTCCAATGATGTTAGGAACTGTTATTGGACATTGTGCATCCTGTGCGGATTGCCTTGATACAGCCGTATAGCCTTAAGTATTTTCTACAGACACGTGTTTGGATAATAGCAAGCAGCGGAATCCAGGGCATACGTTTCGTCCGAATTTAAACTCGTCAGCTGGATTTATCAGATTGTTTGTTTATCTTTCTTCAGCTCTTTTCTACCTCTGCCTCACACTGTTTACATGTTTTGTCCTCTTACTCCTTAACATTTCCAATTGCTCAATTTTTTGGTGAATATTGTTTTAACGAGCTAGTTTTTTTTTCAAAGGTCAACCCGCTTTCTATATTAGAATATTGCTTCATATAATCGTAATGTTTACTAGTATACTTATCAGTTATCATCAGTTTGTTCAGTTTATGGATTATTATTATTATTCATATAATCCTGTTTCATTGTTACCACTGACTCATAAATTACCCTGATTGGTTGAGTACTTTTCATACATACATACCGGTCAACGCTACAGTATACTGAAGTGAAACCTGATGAATATTTTGATCGTGAATGTCTTAGTCTAATTTTCACCAATAAACTTTTCAATATTTCAAAATCTTTGAAACTCACAAAGCACTGAGATACTGTCTAATTTTAGTTCGATACTATGCAGAACTGTAATCTTATGCTCTCAAACCGGATAGAGCTTAAACTATTCAAAACTTAGAAGGGAAATCACAATGACTATATATATAATCCAGTAAATCACAACCCAATGACCTACAGATGAAACTATGCTCAATTTACGCTAAAAGGAGATATTCCTTCTTCTTCAATAATATTAATATCTGTCTTAATTGTATTAAATGACCTAATTATTGTAATAGCATACTATACCATACCAATTAATGCAGTTAAATAATTTTGAGCACAATCAAAAATGCTCAAGTTTACTGCACAAAGTCAAGTTCATTATGATTTCAAGTCTATTTTTTCACATCACCTTTAAATGTTATCAATGAACAAATGTTAGACTAAGCGTGAAATTAATAGAAGACTCTATAGTGTTGTCTTTATAGACAACAGATATCATCTTAAAGTATATAACTAAAAAAAATAAAATCATAATAAGTACTGTTTTAATTCAATCTAATTACAGCTTCACCATCATTTACTGACCGTGAAACAAGTGTGATTTATGCACCGGTTCATGGGCAATTAGAATTGAAATGTACATTTAGTCCAGTGAATGTTGAAAATGAAACACGTTTCAATTGGTATTTCAATGGTAAATTATTAGATACAAATGGTAAGTATTTATTTGTTAATCTTAACTAACAATTCAATTCAATTCAATACATACATACATACATCTCATGAACCACCAATTGAGCTACTAATCAAACGAATTCTATAAAGTTAACTTCCATCTATCATTTTTATGGGTACATAAAGTAAAACAGCTACAGTTATCAAGTTATCACGGCAGCAGAAAAAAAAAGGGCATAACAATGAAATCTACAGTGAATTGAACTGAGAGAACAACAAAAATGATAGGTGATATATATTTTTTTTTGGTTCATCCCACAAAAAATAAACTAACGATGTATCGATGATATATATATATATATATATATATATATATATATATATATATATATATATACCTTTTGACTGTGTTTTTCACTGTTTCTATCAGTTTTTTGGATGACATTTCTATTTATTCATCCATCCATTTCTCTATTCAACTGAGATCAATATGTTGATAAGAAGAGAAAAATAACAAATCATTCAATCGTTGAAGAAAATTGAAAGATTTTTTCCTGTCACCTAAATAAGCTAGCTACATTTTATTTAATTTTCTTAAATTCAATGACACAAAAATTTTTCGTTGTATTCTCTCTATCAAACGAAGAATGAAACTTTTAAAAGTAAAAAAAACCAACCAACCAACTAACTAACTAATTTACGGACATTTTGAAATTGTTATTTTTATCCTTGTGATAGATAAAAAAAGTCAAACAACAAAGCTCATGTGATTTTTGCAGTTGTTATTTGTATATACTTGTAGCTGAGATCATCCGAAAAATATACCAAGATTAAAAAAAGCGAAACTAAGCATCAAATACTTGCTAGTGTATACTTTAAAATGTTTCATTTGTGCAATAAACTCATTTGTAGTGATCATATATGGTGAAGTAAACATGATTTCAATAGCAATCCTCGTATTTGTTCAATAAAATATCATAAAAATGTGCTCATTAATGACTAGCTTCGTGAAGAAATCCTCGAAGTTCTAGTGGGAAGCCGTGACCAGTGGAGTTCAACCCTGGCGAGTGTAGGTACTACTAACTATCGAAGTCGACGGGGGTGAGGTTGCCCAATACCTTAGACATTAACACCCATTGGGTGCTGCTGACTCAATGGTCTGAAAGTTAAGCGCTCACGCACAAGATCGACAGTGTTGTTTGTGTTCGATCCCCGCGAGCGGCGGATATCGTGAATTTGCACTATTGATAAGTCCCATAAGTTCCATTAAACCATTTGAACAATTAGCATTGTTTTTTCAAAAAAAAAAATCAAACTAAATATATATTTCATACTTTATTTCAGTAAGTACTGTTTATCCAACTTTAAGTCAAAAATTTTATGGTATCGTATCCAAGTCTGGAGATACAGCTGTACTACATTTGAATGATTTAAATGAAAATGATTTTGGTTCGTACATTTGTAAAGCTGTACACATGTTCGGTACTAGTGAAAAAGAATTTATTGTAAAAATGGCAGGTAAGTAAATATAAGATAATGCAATCAACTGATGATATATATTTAATAATTTTTCATATAAACATTGTAACAGAGTGGAATTAAAATATACACACATGTTTCACCAAAATCAATGAATTTGAGTATATGCTGAGATATTGCTGGTCTGACCAAAAAGGAAATAGGTGGCTCTCTTTCTCGAGAAATATATCTAGAGGTCTAATACACAAAGCAATCAAGCAAAATTAAGAGATCCTTGGTACCCACTAACCCAATTTGAACAACGAACATTCTTTTTTCCCTCTCCTGTCGAGAAAAGATAGTGAGTACAACCTTCCTGATAGCGATTATATACGCTTGATCAAATGAAACCATTTCAAGAGGTAGAACGAATTCTCCTCACTCTCAGCCGTATCGGGTCATTTGAGGTCTCTATGTAAATAATTAATTAGTAGTAGTATATCAGATTTTGAAGCAGTAACAAGAATTTTCAAATTAAATTCTTTCTTAATGCCTACCTATAACAAACGTGTAACATAAATACATATTTCATATAAAAACTTGATAACCTTGAGATAAGTTTCGGACAGAAGAATACTTCCAAGCAGTTATACTGAAAATCCATGATAATTCATAAAGCATCTGACTATAGGTTAGGGTTCGTTGAATCCCAGAGATAGTATTACAACTTAGTGGAAAAGTATTATTGATTGAACAAAATCAAGTAATTTTTTCAATTAGAGTTATGGAGATTGTTGTTTTTACACACTTGAAATCATCGATCAATAATTGTTAGGCCACCATTAGAAACATGGGAGCACTGGACGGGCGTTTCATCCTGGTTAGGCGTTCGCGTGCAAGACCGAAGGTCCCGGGTTGGAGTCAAGTGAGCTGCAGTACTCGTGGATGTGCACTGCTGATGAGTCCCATACCAGGACGAAACGACCATCCAGTGCTTCCAGTTTTCTTTAATGTTGGTCTAACAATGATTGATTGATTGATGATTTCAAATGTGTAAAAATCAAACAAGCTCTGTTCATTTTTATTTTGTAAACTAAAGTTCCTATCATTCAGTAATTAGTTTCATTTTTATACTTCCACTGATGAAATTAACTTCTATGTCAATTTGAATATGTGGTACTGCTATCCAAAGTAACTTCTAACTGAAATAAAGCAAACAAAAACATATTTTGATAAGCTGTTGAAAGAACATACATATACACAAGTATAAAATGTATATATTGGATTATTTATATCAAAATTTGAGACTAGTCCATATAACATTCTTAATTAATATTATTCAGCTAGACTAATAACAAGTTCATGGATGAAACTCTTTCATAGTATAAAATTACATTTCACTTGTTTCCCTACTAACTAATTAACTAAGATAAGTCACGACTATGATTATTTATAAGCTTCCTATTACTTAATTGCTATGATGTTTTGTGACTATTAGTTTAAGTCTGTTTATCCACATTCAACCTACTATTTCCACTGTTGAACTACTAACAAAAAACTTCTGTAATCATATGTTATTCTATTCTTACTACTATCAGTACGCATGTCTTCCCACTGTCAACCAGTACTTTTAATTCCTGTGTGTAGTTACGTAATCTATTGCATTGAGATTATTGACTTATAAATTGCTTTGATTAATTAAACATTTTTTTTATATAAATATTCATGTATATTAGAGAGTAAGGCCTGATGAGGATCTAATTGAAAACCACATTGTTCACTTGCATATCTGGATTAGTCCGGTTCCAAAATCACCAGTTAATAAGAGCTGGTCCTGTGTCGATGTTTAGACAGACAGACAGACAGATACAACGCAGAACTTCGTACATAAGTACATCAGTTCAGTTTGCCATACCACGTCAGCACAGAGACTTAACTGTCGGTTCAAATCCAAGAGTGATTGTGATAGTAGAATTATTAGCAGCAATGGAGAAGATTAGGGAGCAAAGATATGATTCGAAAAGTATAATTCAGTGAGATAAATTTAGAAGGAGAAAGATAGAGATTATGAGGAATTCAGAAGGTTAGAATTAAAAAGCACACAATAAGTGGATGCACCTACTCCATTTCAAACGATTTTGAGCCATGTCGTTCAAGGTCTCTAACCATTGGTGACTTTCGTCTCGCGGACCTCAACCAGGTAGTCGACAACTACCAACATGACTCAGTCCACTCGTCAGTGACTTCATGCACTTGGTTTGCCCACCCCTACCTTTTTTCCAACCTACTCTTACACCACAAAACATAGCAAGTCGCGGCAGTCGGTGGTTCGACATACGTAACACATGTCCCAACCACCTCAACTGATGAAGTTTCAATACTTCATCCATTGATTTGCCATCCTTACCTAGAACTTATTTCCTAACGATAGCATTGCTTACTCAATCGTCTCAGGATACACAAGCAATGCTTCGGATACACCTATGATCGAAGACTAGTAACCTACGAATGTCAATGTTTAATAGATATCAAAAAACAAAATAATAATCTTTTAAACTGGAAAACGATTTCTTTTCTTTTTTTTTCCTCGTTTATTTCAGATGCTCCAGTATTTCTAGAAGTTCCTATTCCATTGTTAACTGTGAAATTATATTCACATTTTGAATTGCCTTGTTTTATTGATGCATTACCGCCACCAACAATTGTTTGGACAAGAGATTCCAAGAGAATTGTTGAAGCGCATCGTATAAAAATTGGACAGACTAAAAAACAATCGACCAATAGGAAAGCATCAAATATTTCAAACTGTGAATTTACTACAGATGCAACTTTATCAGTGGAAAAATGTATTTTTCAAGATTCAGGCTTGTATACATTGACAGCTGAAAATATAGCTGGTCGAATAACAACCAGTTGTTTAATTCATGTTGAAGGTATGAAGAAAATAATTTAGAAGGATGTTTTTTAATTTTTCTTCATTTTCTTTATTTGAAATTATTTTTTTGATTAACTATTATTTAGTGATAAATTTTAATTTTCTACTTAACTGGGATTATTATGCACTGCACCTGGAATCCTTCTAGGCTTACCGCTAATCCCAAGGCCTGGATAAAGGGAGAGGATTATAGGCATGGGCTTAGCGACCACATCACATAGAAATTCAAATCGCTAAAAAAGAAAACGCTAACCAGGAAAATAATTCTTTGGTTGGCGGCCTATGCTCCATTAGGGGTAACAGGTGTGAATAAGCAAGGGATGATTATGAGTGTGTTTATCGATTCAATACAATAATTAATTTTCGATTACTTGTTAATATCATGTTGATATTTAATTTGACATTTTAACTAGATAATCAGTCCTTAAACTGTTTCATATGCTAAATTTTCACCAATAACAACTTAAAATACACAAGGAATAATCAAAAGTCAAGATGTGTGAAATATTTTTTAACCATCTAACACTTTACACCAATGATTAGCTATTTAAGTGCTTAGTTATGCTTATCAACTTTTACAGTTAAATGTCAGTCTTTAGGTGAACATTAGTTGAACTTTTCTACTACACACTCATCTGTTAACTTCAGTATCGAAATATTATTTCTCAATAAAAAAACAAATAAAATGACCTACTTTGAATATTGTAAAGTTAAATCAGTTGGAAGTTTCAAAAGATTTTATGGTTGATAAGAAATAAGAATTCAGAATGATAAATAGTCATAAAAAGGAAAATAATGTTGATAAGAATTAGACATTAATACCGTAGGATACCGGCTCAGTGGTCCAGAGGCTAAGCGTTCGTTAACAAAACCGATGGTCCTGGATCCGAATCCTGCGAATGACAGGAGTTATGAATGTGCATACCAGGAAGGAACAGCCGTCCAGTGTTTCTAGGTTTCTGATGGTGTTTGAACAAAATGGTTTATTCATGATTTCAATGTAAAATATTGTACATTTAATTGTTATTTATTTTAGTATCACAATAATCATAAATTTAGTTAACTTCACTCCCTTACTTTAAATCATTGCCATGAATTCAATTACTCACTTAATTCGGTTGCTATTTTCAAGTGTTTCCTCTGTTGACAGTCGGGATTATATCCAATATCCAAAATATCCACAAGTATGCTATCTCTTTTATGCTAATTTATCTTGTAAATAAAGATGAGAAAGCTCATGAAACATATTCCATGACACTACTGACTTTCTCAATAAACAAACAAACTTAAAATTGCAGCCAGATTGACTTTTTCCATTCCTTCCATTTATAAAGAGATACTTTCTAAAATGCTAATTTTGCAACAAAAACAGGTGTATACTTTTTAGAATTAACTGTTCACTGATTTTCAATACTGTATTGATTATTGCGTCATCTCATTTTATTCATAATTTAGAAAATCCTACGCCGACTAATATTACTTTGAGGTGGACAAACATTGAAAATCATTATTTTGTACTGAGACGACTTGAAAGGTAAGTGATGAGTTGTAGTACTGATTGAATCACAATTCTTACACTGATTTTACCTTGATTTGATTGTTTCTCAAAGATATTAAACATTTATTACAAAAGTAATTTATCGAGACAATCAGGATGTACATACACCAGTAGAAATTCATCAGAGTTCTTAATATAAACTGTTGGTAAATTCGAACTTCACAGATAGATATAACTTCACAACTGAAATGAAAATCGATTACTATCTGGACTCAAAAACTGTAGTAGATAATCTACTGAAAGCTGAAGAAATTAGCACTGTATTCAAGTCACCGTTTGAAAATTATCACGGCGACGGAGTAAAACAGTTGCCTTATCTCACCATTTGGCGTTTTTTCGATTTCTCATAGTTGATACTGTTCTATCATTAGCATCTTTCTTACAAAGTGATTTCAAATTTACAGTTATGTCAATTTCATTTCAAATCCTCCTATGATACTTTGCCTTTTATCATGATCCAATAAGTATTATTATTAAGTCATAACCAGGTACATATTTATATACTTACCTAAGACCTTTAAGGGTTACTACTATTAGCAGCCGGCTGCTCAAACTGGTGTATTTCTTGAACCGATAACCTACTTGGCCAGTTGTAGATTGTGTTAACTAGTGAACCGCCTAACAAGTAATAAATATATATGAAATTGTTTCTGTGTATTTTGTTGTCTTTTTTAGTGATTCATTTTCAGAAGTTCGTCTATTAATTGACAAAAAAACAAATCGTGAATATATTGGGAAATTATTTAATTTAACTAATCCAACAAGTCGTATCAATGGTGCTCGTGAAATGGAATGTTTAACACGTTTATGTCATAAAAATGTTTTACAATTAACGGATGCACTTATCAGTGATAATGTTTTGATTTTAGTCTGTGAAAAGTAAGTTATCCGAATGATGACTTTTGTATTAAATTACCATAGGGAAAATGAATAATCAATTCTAAATAATGATAAATGTCACTGTTAACATGTTCTAACAACTGTTTAGCTTGAAATGTTACACAGAATACTTAAAAATTGAATAATATTCTTGAAGTACCATGAAGATCATGGCTGATCATATGATAGAATCGAAATAGCGAATGATAGTCAGCCTAAAAATTGGTCAGTATGATATGACGAATACGTATTTGCACATCAAGTTGTTAGCTAATTGACATTGAATACTATTCAGTTCAAATCGCATAAGTCCGATTATTAATATGACTGTATATTAGTCATGTAGAATGTTGTTTATGCATGGATCATTTTCGTTTACTTCGGAGGCCAAAAAATCGATGTCGATCATCTTTGTGTTCTTGATTGTACGAACTTATGGTGGCTTTGATTATAGAAGCAATTTTGGATAATTATATCAGGCGAATAAAAGTACTTCTTAAAAGAGTCGTAAAGCATCATCACGTAATATCATTGTTAAACGTCATTCATCCACTGTCAAAATTCCAGTTTAAATTTTTTGGAAGTATATTAATATGGTTCACTTTGTTTAACGTAAACTCTGATCAAATCAATCATTTACCTTGTGATATTCAGGTTTGTATCGTCTTTGAGACAACAGTATCGGTTCTGTCCAAAGTCTTCTGAGAATCCTAAAAAAATGTCTACAAATAATAATACTAGTTTTACATAAGAAAATGTAAGTGAATGTTCGATTATCGGCCTGATTACTGCATAAAAGAAAAGCGAAGTAGGTGAACTTGTAGACCATTTTAACTAATGGTCGATGTGTACTAGCTCTGATAAATATTCACCAAGAACAGCAACACGACCACAAAATATTTATTTGACATTCATCAATGTATTCATAACTATCTAGTAGTTTCTAAGTGTCACATTATACTTTGTTCCACTTTCGTAATATACACCTAATAGTTCAAGAAACCGAAATCTTTACTAGATATCAGTTCTTCGATGGTTGGAAACAATCTCAGAGATCCGTGGACACAGATTTTTTAGACATAGAAACATATCTATATATGATGTGTGCTGATGGGATTCGATCTGCACAGCCACCCAGGAGACAAATGATTGGTTGATTTCATATAGTAGACTAGCATATCGTAATGGTCTTTAAAGTTATTACTATGGTGAATTGATCCTTTAGGGTATCAGGTTCCTGTGTGGTTGCACCACAGGATTGAGCCAAACTGTTCATGTAGAAATGGTAAAACGTGAGCAGTCTCCTTGGTTCTCCTGAAAACCAATGTAAAATTACCCTTGACAATAATTGTGAATAACTATAGTGAATGCTACCAACAAAGTAGTATATAAGTAGTATGTAGCGTGGGGTTGCCTAACTCCTACCTTGTAGAAGAACGGAAAGAAACAGAAATGTAGTTTGAAGAGCAGCAGATATGTAAGGGAAAGCAGTCAATAATCTAACTAATTTGAACTTCTTCATACATCACACTACTAGGCAAGTTCCCCTTATTTACTATAAACAATACAAGTTTAATTTATTACGTTGATCAGGCTTCAACCTCAAACTTCAGGTTGTTTTATTCGTTCATAAATTTTCTACTTATTGGTCGGTCTAAAAAAACTATCATTTCATTCAAGAAAGCAACACAATTAATAAATTTATTAAGAATCTACCAGAAATTTCAATTTTTTTTGTTGAAATCACAACCTCTAGTATCAACTTTGTAACAATAATAATAATAATAATATTCAATTGACAGTTTCTTTTAATCATTCAAATATGAATATTTTTTCTAGATTATCCGGTTTAAATTTACTTGATTCAGTTCTTGCGTGTGAAAATTGGTCTGAAATGGCAACAGCGGCTGTTATTCGTTCAGTACTGGATGCATTAGAGCATATTCATAGTCAAGGAGTAGTTCATTATGATATTCAAGTAATTTATTTTAGTTTGCTTGATTAAAATTATTCTAATTGAAATCGTATTGAAATTCAGTAGAATTTTATTTTCATACACTATCTGTGTTTGATTAAAGGTATTTTTAATCTTACATTGAAATCACAAGGCGTTCTAGTATCAGACTCCTCAGCAGTACGCATCCGTAATCTGCGCCCAGGACCTTCGATCTCGCACGCGAACCTTTAACCCCCAAACCACCGAGCTGTCATCCAAAGATGTTTATGTTTAACATTTGATCAGTCTAAGGTTTTGATCAACCTCACCGATTGTCTTCAGTAGTTACTTCCCACACCTGACAGTGTTGAAATTCACTGGTCACATCTGCTCACTTGATTTCCGAGAAGGCCCTCACGAAGCTAGTCACCAGTGAGCAAATCTTATGATATTCACTTTATAGTTATGGAGATTATTGTTTTACATTGGAATTGTGAATCAATCGTTGTTAGACCACTATTAGAAACCTGGAAGCACTAACTTTAAAACTCTAAAAGTGATAAATACGTCATATGATTTTTTTGTGATCATTATGTACAAACGTTCTGAAATTAAGACCATTTTTCTTTACCGTATCGAAATTTTTTGTTTCTATTTAGCTGAGTTTTGGAGGCAAGCAGTATTAATAATTCTGCTTTTCTTAAGAAATAACTTTCCGTAGAAGACAATCTGCTGACCAGGATCCAATGTATCATTGCTTAATAGCCCATATTCTTCTGTCGACCGTGTTTACTTCTTTTTCTGATAAACTTTTTCCCGTCCAAAAAAAAGTGATCTAGCATATTGGAAAACTTGTGTGTTTTTGATATTAGTTTTCATCTACTCTCTAAGAAACATCATGAAAACGTGTGAACTAATTCAACTGATACAAAATGCAAAATGAGTGTAGATATTCCATCATTTCATATCCATATGTTGTAGAAACCAAGGAAGTAACATAGATAGAATAAGAAGTGCATTCCTAATATCTTATGAAATGTGTAGCCTAATAGGGTTGATACAAATACCCTTGTACGTTAACGAAGAAAGACGTTAACTTCATCGAAACTCGGATACTTTGATATATTTAATATCAAAAGATCGCATGAAAGCATGATAAGAAAGTGACTTCTACCAGAAGCTGAATTTTTTCACTTTACGAAATATTCTGCAACAAATTTAGCAGTAAATTTACTTAGATTGACCCAATAACTAAAGTGTCCCTATGAAAATGTATCTTAATCCAGCAAGTATTAAAGTGTGTATCTGTTAGTCAGACAGATTTAATCGATTAAAATGTAGTGAAATATATTCAAGAGTATATCAGGTCTACACTGTATAGTAGTATTTAAACTAACCTTGTAACATAAGTGTTTTAATTTTTTCAGATACCATAAATGAGAAACACTTGTGAATTTTACTGACTATAATTGTAATTCATTACGTAAATCAATCTACGATTTTCTCTTACTTACAAGCTTCCATCTTTAGTGTGTGCCAATATGAATAAAATTTAACAGTATTTTATTGTATCTATCCTATTAGTTATAAACACACACATATACATGGTCGAACTGTCAAAATTTACGTAGATTCTTCAAATGAATTATGAAATCTATAATGGTATCAAGTTTGAAACAAAATTCTATAAAACGAATAAAAGATACTGAACCAAAACATGGCACAAATACATGAAGTCTCTGACAACTGAATTGAGCTATGCTAGTAGGTGTAGACTAGCTGATTGGGGTCCATGGGACGAGAGTAACCGATGGTTAAAGACCTTGAATGATATGGCTCAGAATCGTTTGCAATGGTGCAGGTGCATCAACTCTTTGTCTTTGCTCAAATTGTAATCTTCTGAATTCTTCATGACAGTTTTCTCTTTTTAAATTTATTTCACGCAGATATAACTTCTCGAATGATATCTTCGATTCCTAATATTTATCATTACCTCTAATACTTCCACTACTTCTATTACTATAAGATTCGAATCGACAATTCCATCTGTGTGCTAATGTGGTATGGCAACTTGAACTGATGTATGTACGTACAACACAACATGTACCAACCTAATCACTCTTGATGGAGATACCTTGGGGGACGTTAACACCTTTATATATCTGGGCAGCATCATCAACAACCAAGGTGGATCCGATGCAGATGTGAGTGCACGGATTGGCAAAGCAAGGGCTGCATTTCTACAGTTGAAAAATATCTGGAACTCCAAACAACTTTCAAACAAAACCAAAATCACGATTTTCATTACAAATGTGAAGACAGTTCTACTGTATGGAGCGGAAACTTTGCGAACTACGAAAGCCATCATCCAGAAGATACAAGTATTTATGAACAGTTGTCTATACACAATACTTCGGATTCATTGGCCAGACATTATCATCAACAACTTACTGTGGGAGAGAACAAACCAGATAACAGTGGAGGAGGAAATCAAGAAGAAGCGGTGGAAGTGGATAGGACACACACTAAGAAAAGCACCGAACTGCGTCACGAGACAAGCCCTCACATGGAACCCTCAAGTTCGAAGGAAAAGAGGAAGGCCAAAGAACACACATTACGCCGAGAAATAGAGAAAGATATGAGAGGAATGAACAAACATTGGACAGAACTGGAGAGGGAAGTCCAGGACAGACAGAGTTGGTTGGAGAATGCTGCTGGTGGGTGGCCTATGCTCCATTGGGTGTAACAGTCGAAAGTAAGTAAGTATGTACGTACGTACACAGTTCTACGTTGTAGCTGACTGACCGACTGACTGAATAGTGCAATCATGTCTTAATATTTGTATCGTGGATTGCTTTTTTCCCAAACAAATAAAAGTTCTAATTTCAAACATCCTAAATTAAAAACCCTTTTCCTATTTTTTTTTAGCCAAACAATTTACTTTTTGTCAAGCAAACAATCGATAATAATTATGATACGGCCAATTCATCAAACGATCATGATTTATTACGTGCCCTTTCGTCGCTAGTCACTGATATAACAAGTCAAACAGATCGTCATAAAATGAATGTATTCAGTAATTTATTCAAAGTTATCGGATTTTCTACTGCACAAACGTATATTACTAATTCTCAGCATTGCATAACTTGTATGCCTCCATTACGGTATAGACCAGAATATGTCTCTCCAGAAATTCTATTATTAACACAAAAGAGTGATGGAACAACCTCGGAAACTGATCAGTGTTATTCAGAAAAATTAGGTCCATCTGCAGATATATGGAGTCTTGGAGTTTTAACATATATCCTGTGAGTTTGTTTACACACTTATAAAAATGATCAACTCATAGATATTTTGATAAATTTAAATTTCTAAACTCATAGTTTCAATGATTTGATTGATGGGAATACAGGTCTGAATATTTCAAAAAGCATCTAGTAAAGAATATATACTACAGAGCACTGAACAGATATTTTGTTATAACTCAGTGAAATGGGGCTTTTCAGAGAGAGAAAGAGAGAGACAAAGTTAACATAAATGCTTTGGGTCCCATGAAGAATCCATGACTCGAAGTGTGAGGTAAAAAAGTACTGATGTTGTTTTATTACGTTTTAATGACTGGACTGTATAGATGTGGACTATTCAACTAAAACCTCTTACACCATATTTATAAATGAGATTATAGTGATAATATATGTTACGCCTAAACATTTGGACAATGTCACTTATTTTACAAATCATATAAATTGTATAAATATATTAAATTTTATATCGATTGTAATATATCTTTAGAAAAGAATATTTTTGATGAATAATTTTCTCGATAACAATGTGGTTAAAATTCTTAACTTCACTTTTGAATCTTCTCAATACTATTAAATTCAATAAATTTTGGAAAATACTCCAAGCTATGACAATTAACCTAGAATGAACACACTATACTAACTTGAATCAATTAAATTGCAAACTGTTCACCAGTAATGCGAATTCGACTAAATCTGTCTAACTCATACACCGAATCCCGTTTTTTTTAAACAGCTTTGAGCTACACATTTCCAAGTAAGGCGTAATGATTATTTAACAGGCTAGCAAAATTAAAGTAGATGAAACGGGGCGGAATATGGACTAAATGCTCCAAACACTAATGAGATGTTCCATTCAAATATAAACAGATTTCTGTAAGCCTTACTAACAAATCCTCATGGCTGGTAGCGTCTTCCCTATTTTCTTTTTTAAGTAATGACAGTAAGCTCAAAATTGTAAAAAGGCAAAATAATTAGGTGTTTGTTTATATGAAAAATCTCTCGAATGTGATTTCCCAATATTTCATTCTCCAGCAAATTATCAGAAAAATACGAACCCTTTTTATTCTTGTATAACATAAAAAAAACTTAACTAACCCACATTGTTTCAATGGTTAGTGTATTTTGAGTTGATGAACTGGTAGTTATTTACGCACAAACACAACTTCCCTTTTGGTGACAAAATTGCTACAGACTATGTTTACTACTTATAAGTAGCAAAAAACTAATTAGAAAAGTTTATGAAAACAAGTTATTAGAACCTTTTTCTAGTTAATTTCTTTTGTTCAACAGCGAAACAATTAGCCACTAAACTATTGCTTGGACACTTTAACTATTAGCGAATTTATTTACATTAGGCCCAAAAATGTAATAGACCCAGATCATATACATATGCCAACAACTTTTACTAGGGACCCTTTTATCAAAGGCTTCGTCTTAGGCCTAGAACTAATGGTTTCAAGTTAATATCCTGAAAATAACTATAATCATTTTTTTTCTCAATGACTTTTTTATATGAAGGTAACGAAAATAGTGACCAGCTGCTATAAATGATAATATCAATGTTTGGTTAACACCTTTGACAGATTACCAGTCCATATATGCCCATGTACATCTAACTGACCTGTTTTAAATGCGATGCGGTGCAGAGTTTGGATTCTACTGTTATTTACTATCAAACAGAACGTAAGATCCGGACTTTCTAAACAATCTCATTTTAATATGTCATATTGGGCCTTTGAAGACTTATAAAATTTACTAATATCACGTGCCAATCTAAATTAGACAACCTTCGAAAACCTGGAATGACTGGGCCAGCCGTTGCTTACATGCACAGAACTCGTCAACGGTATAAATCCATAACACAGCCACTGAGAATCCAACATAAGACCACTAGTTTGGTACGTGAACACTTAACTCCTAATCACTTAATCGAGATCCAGTGGCATAAAATTTCAAATTTAATCGGTTCACTATAATTCAAGACCACCTTCCTCTGTCTTTTGTGAATACCTTCCTTACATTCAACACCGTCGTACTTCACTAGTCATTGCCTCTCTTTTGAAATTCAGGAATTCTCTAATTTCAACACTAGTTAGCACATAATAGTTACATGGTTCTTTCAAATCTTAAATGGTTGTCTAACAAATCGGTTCGTGATCTTAACTATATATATTCCTGTTATTTTTATCATCTACAGATTTGTCGGTTGGCCTCCTTTTATTGACTGTGATACAGGTGAAATTCTAAGTGACAAATTATTACAAGCAATCATTCCATTTGATGTGCCAGAATTAGAAAATATTTCAGATGAAGGCAAAGATTTTATTTCGCAACTTTTACAAGCTGACCCTACGTAAGTGTAATTATTGTGTGATTATTTAATATAGAAGCTAATAATAGATCATCACTCTCAACAATTTATTTCTTTGAAATCCTAAGTATGAGTGAAGTAATATGTTTTACAGCCAACATCAATGTATGTATACTGATGAATCACTAAAACGGCCTGACTTTCAGCCTATCATACATCAATTAAGCAATAACTGTATACAGTTATTATAGACTCAAATAAGATATATAAGCAGAACTCATGTATCTACTACTATAAGTGTAGTAGCAGTAGTGGTAATGTCGAAGGTATGATGCCAAATTTTAAGTTCCTAAATATAAACAGTAGGTACTCTTATAGTCGATACTGGATCTTGACTGAAGATAGAAAACTCATTACACACAAGTAAATATATTGTGTTGAATTTCCAGTTGCACATCAAAGTATAAACAAAACATATGTATTTGCTTACAAATACCACGGAAAAACACTAGTTTTGCTTGTTAAGAATAACCATAAGTAGATTTGATAGAAATCACTTTTTTTATAAAGTTGTAGTGGCATTAGTTCTTAAATACACGATCCCTGAAGCTAAACATACAATAACTGAAATCATTTACTTTGACCATCGAACACTTGGAGAAGGCCAGAAATGATGAAGGTGGGAGCATTGAATCGAGAAGGCTTGGCTTGATAACGCAGGCGTGGTCATCCTATTGATATGGTCGTTAATTAATATACTTGAATGCTATTAATGGGTAAATGAGAGTAAAAATATGATACAATGACACGGTAGGCTATTCTAATCTGTTGTCCCCGGCCCGGCTAACTATATCAAGAAGTCTTGATAAGGCGTAGAAAGTGTATTCTACAAGCACCCAGAACATATGAGGTTGACAAGCACACAAATCGATCTTATTTATGCGTGATAGAAACGTCCTTGGGAGAGCCACAAAATAGCGTACTTAAATAATCCGTCAGTCAATGACAGTGAAGGATTTTCCGAGTGGAAAATGTAAACTGGAGGTCAAGTAAGCGTCTCTTGTAGCGAAAACAGAGAGATTCGAAGTTTCAGAAATAAATTACAAAGTAAGAATCTTTTCCGAGTGAGTTCTGGGGATCTAACGTCCCCAACACCTACCTAATCTCTAGCTTTTTATATAAAATATGTTATTCTACTCCTAGCACAAATCTGTTCTTCAGACGTTCTAACAATCATACTGCTGACTGTAACGATAGAACAAGTCAATAGTAGACAATGATGTTACTTTCACGTAAAATCCCATTGATTAGGAAGTTACACTATGATTAAGCTACACTTGTGAAATAGGCATCGACAAATGCACTAATAACAGCTTAGACGTAAATTTCTACAATTCCATTGCATTATGAATATAAAATGAATCACTTTTACACTCCAGTATATATCTATGCTAAGATTAATACTTTGAAATCTTTCAGAAAACGACCTTCAGCTAAAGAATGCTTATCTCATCCATGGATTCAACTATTTTCACAATCTGAAAATAAATCAGTATATATACTGAAAAAATTGAAGAAATATAATGAATTTTACAATTCAGTGGTAAGTACATGCATTGTTTTTGATATTTGTGCTTTGGTAAAACTGATGTCATAATTCAGAGAATCTTTATATCTGTCAATATATATATATATATATATATATTGCTTATCTTAAGCGAGTTCATTGGCTCAGAAATGATTATCTTATCTGAAAAGTTCAATGGTTGCACATTCAATTCTATGAGTTATCGTTTGAGAGCAATACAAATGTGGCTTTGTAAATTTCAATGAATTGGGGAAATTAGCTGAGAATCATCAATTCTGTCAAATTCAATTTTAAACTGATAAAAATCGTTCATCTTAACGTAGATACTACTACTTCATCACTGATTTCATGCTAAAATGTCAATAGTTTTTGATCTGTCACAAATGTAACATTCATCACACAAACGACTATTCTACCTAAGGTAAATCATACTAACTATGATCTTTTTAAAGTGGCATTCAAGTAATATAGAAAATAGAAAAGCGAAAACCGTAGTTTATAGATTTTAATAGAGCAGAACATTTCCCAACTAGTATATCTTGTCATTGTGTACTCAAACACAATCATATACATATCGACCGTGTGCACCAGATAATCGCTGTGATGTATTTAGACACAGAATCAAGTGACTCTCACTTTACTTTGATGATAACATTTTTGCTGATCGAGTTAGAAAAGTGTTCTGTTTACAAATTTCCTACATTTTCATTGCACATATGTCAATTTTTTTTTTCAATTTTTCAGCATCCAATTTACATTACTAATAATGAGAAAAATTGTAATTCTGATTTGAAAAATCGTTTAGCTTCTATTGTACGACAACCAACTCCAAGTGAAGATACGGAAAGTGTACTCTCCTCACGATCATCATCAGTTCTTGGTTTACGTGAAAGTTCTGAGCCATACAGGTAATTACAAACTATTCAAAATGAATTAAAGCTGTAAATGTAGCTTTGTTCATTTATACCAAGACCGGTCTTTAGATTTAAAATTATGTGATACAACTGGTAGATAACATTATACACTAGGTAGAATCATAAATTGAGAACACTGAACGATGACATTAGATAATATATAATAAGATCATGAGATCACTAGATTAGATCACGCCATCCACCAATCGATAATTCCGAATCATGAGTTAGAACCAGATAACAAGAGCCAAAATAACGTTTCATTCACAAAATAGGAAATCGAAATTACAGTACAGAGAAACCGACATTAGGATGAAGTGTACGGTATTATCTTATTTTTCATACATTTAAAATAACTGGGTATCCATTCTGGTTTACTTATAAACCACAGATCACTAACCAACACTTTTTACTGCTCTTGACGGTAATTTCAATGGCCTACAAAATGAATATTATTGTAAAAATAATGTTATCATACTATCTTAGTTCAGTCTTCCACAGCCAACCAAAATCAGTCTGTGATGACCATCATCAACAAAGTAAGTAAATCTTCAAGAAACGCCTTCATAGTTCATACAAAAACAACTGTAATTTGGATTATATTGTCAGCTGAAGGTAAGCAATGAAGTGAAAATCGCTCTTGGATATCATTTCAATCGATCAAATCTCAAATCCCGTTCTATTAAGATAAAAACAATCACATTTCATTTGTGGTGGTGTTTCGTTCTCTGAGCTGGATGTTTTGGTTGTGGAGCTTTGATTGTTCTTCTGAACAACATCATCAGCACAAACTTCAGACAGAAGTGAAGTATTCGAATTTCTCCACGTTTGACCTGTAGCTTGTTCTGCTAACCTCGATCTTGATTGGTTGGTGTTGATCTTAAACCTGTCGTTGTTTGCACCCTTGTTTTGATTGTATCCCCCTTTTGATTTGTTTCTTGATCCTATGTCACCTATGATTTTTCTGATTGGTTGATAAATTGGGTCAATGTCGATGTGTTTGTTAAGTGTTAATCGACCTGAGTGCCAGGCTTCTAAAGATTTTCTAGTGTTCTTTGCGCTCCTCCTATCCAGTATTTCCACATTGTTCCATTCCATTATATGTCCATAATTGTCCTTATGCACTGATATAAACGAAGAATTGTCGTGGTGTTTAACTGCTAATCGGTGTTCACGTGAACGAACCTGAAGAGGCCGTCCACTTTGTCCTATGTAGTGTTTTTCACAGTCTGAACAATTTATTTTGTAGATGATATTTGGTTTCTCTTTGTTTATCATTTTGTCCTTTGGTCTACATAGGATTGATTGAAGTGATTCTGTTGGTTTGTGTGCCACACCTATTCCAAATGGTTTCAGTAGTTGTGCTGTATGCTCCTATATGTCTTTTATGCATGTAAGGATGATCCGTTTATTGGTTCCTGTACTTGATTTCGCTTCTGTTGACGATTTTGGTTGATGAAGTCGCGTGGATAGCTGTTCTTTTGGAAGATAAGATGTTTTTCCTCGTTTATTAGTGCTTCATATGCTGCAGAGTGTCTTCGCTCTCTTGAAAAATGTTTGTATGCAGTTGATTTTGTGGGTTCTTGGGTTGTTGCTACTGTAGTTGAGAATTAGGTCTGTGTGGGTTGGCTTCCGAAATACTTGAGTTTCCAGTTTTCCTGTGTTAATTCTGGTGATTATAATATCCAGGAATGATAGAGTGCTGTTTGATTCCTTTTCCATGGTGAATTTTATGTCATCGAAGACGTTTTTAATCCGATTGTAGATGTTCTCCAGCTCGTCCCTTTGGATAATGACGAATGTTTCGTCTACGTAGCGAACCCACATTTTTGGCTTGATCACTGGTAAAATCGACTCATCTAATCTCTGCATTACAGCTTCGGCGATGAGTCCTGATATCGGTGACCCCATTGGTGTTCAGTTTGTTTGTTCCTAGACTCTGTTGTTGAACTGAAAATACGTTGTTAAGCATAGGTCGATGAGTTCAAGCAGACTTAGGCTCTTAAGCCTTGTATATTTTTGCAGATTTGTGTCTTTGATGAGCAGCAGGGAAGGAGTTTCTTTAGCTAAGCTTGGCTCTAGTGAGGTGAATAAGGCTATTATGTCCAAGGATATCGTTTCGTCGTTGTCGATTTGAATGCCCTTGAGTTTATCTAAGAATTGTGTGGGAGACTTAATGGAGTAACTGGATTCATCCACCAGATGTTGTAATATCCTTGAAATTTCTCTTGGTAAGTTGTAGGTCGGGGTCCCGGTGAGAGATACAATAGGGCGCAGTGGGATGTTGGGTTTGTGGAGTTTCGGCCTACCGTAGAATCGTAGAATTACTGGTCCATTGGATTTTATTCTCCATTGATCTGGTTTTGATATTTTTCCTGCTCTGACAAGCCTGTTTATAGTCCTTGAGATTTGGTTGTTCAACTTTTTTATTGGGTTTGTGTCGATTGGTTTGTATACGCTTCTGTCCTCAAGTAGTTCCTCGGCTTTCTTGATATATTCTTCCCTAGTCCATAATTACTGTGGTGCGTCCTTTGTCCGCTGGAACTATGACTATATGTTCCCTGGTTCTGAGTTTTTCTTAGAGCTTTTCGCTGTTGTGATGTTAGTTGGTTGTGGTCTCTCTTCCGTCGAGTTAGGGGTACTATGGTTTGCCTTATTTCTTGTTGAGTTTCTTCACTTGTTCTTGCCATTTTGAGTGATGACTCTAGTGCAGCGAAGAATTCGAGTTTTGAAGCGTCTTTCATGTTATAGTTTAATCCTTTTTGGAGCAGTTGTTCTTCTGTTGTCGTTAGGTGTTGTTTCAAAATGTTGACCACACAATTGTTTCTGTTTTCTTCTGTGGGTGTCTTTGAAATCTTGATTGTTTATCTTTGAGGTTGCTTCTTCTTTGTTCTCTGTGTCGTCTGCTTGACATTTCGATCGCCGTTGTCTATGTTGTCAAGTGTTCTGATGTGAGTATTCTCTCTAGTTTTCTTTTTTGCTCATCCATGTTGTGGTGGTATTTGTGGATCCTGTAGTGTGCATCGGTGATCATTAGTTGTGCCATATGTCTTCCACTTTGTTCCGATATTCGTCATCCCATTGGGCAGTTGACTGGTGGTCTGTTTCTGACATTTGTTGGCAGAACATACTAACGGAGACATTCATGGAGAAAGTAAAGTTGTTCTTGAGTGGAAGCCTGCCTTTTGGCGAAATTCACCCATTTTCGAACAACGAGAAGTGTGTCATGCTCATATTTCATTTCGGAATATCTCAAAAGAAATACTGAAGTTTCATTTGCTAAACATCAGTCCAATCGCTTCTTCAATCAAGAAAAATGATTGATCAGAATTAATACGTTTTTATTTACATATCGTAATACACGTATTTTGAAGTTATCAAAATAATCAACATTTGAATATATCCAATATAGATGTATACATTTAATAGCTCGATAATCCAATAAAGAATGAAGGTTTATCTAAAGCATACTACCTAATCTGAAATGTGAACTTTTGAGGAAAAGACAAATAAATAAAGATATGCATTATAATTCTCTCTTTGTTACAAAGCAGCTATTCTCAATGCCTAGCGTTCTCGAACACCAGTTCACTCGTGACGTTCTTCCAAATCACAACACGTTTGAACAAGAAGTAGATTATATTCCAACAACGAGGTTAGATGGAAGACACAAGGTTCAAAAGAAAAAGACGTTAGTATATTTACAGTTTCTCTATATGATAAGATTCTAGAATGTTCCCTCTGAATGGACACAAAAGAGCCAATCAACACAACCATGCTTTAATCCAATCTATGTCCCATTAACAAGATGTTTTTTTTAATCATCCACTTACTCAAAAAGAATAAGTATCCCTCCCTATCATAAAAAGTGCAAACGCTTTTCATCAGTGTACTTCATATTTTGAAAACTTCACAGACTAGTTCTCAGTACAAAGGGAGCCAGAAATATGAGTATGATAAAAAAAGTAACGATCAAGTTTATTGAATATCACATTTGTGTATTAAAAAACACTTTCATTTTACCTGAATAATTTCAATCTTGTTTTTTTCCTAAAAGTGAATCTCAATCACGATTGCTTGATCAATATGCAACTCATGATTTTAATGATGACAGATTTATGATTCCATTAAATACAAATATTCCAACAGCAGCTGAGGCTTCGAAAATAATTGAAGAAAAATTCAATTTACAAAGACAAAATACTCTTACAGAAGCTACATCATTAGAAGAATCAACTTATACATTGTTGAAAGAACAAGAAAATTCGTCTGTTAATCTTGAACAAGACAATCAAATCACTTCAGTAAAACGCAGTGAAATTGGAAGCAAATTCAGTGGTAGGTTGTTGTTTGATATTTTTGGTCAAAAAGTACTATAAATCATAAATTAGTTATTTTCTAGTGATATAACTGCATTCGTTTCCACTCCGCCGGGATCCCAGGAGTTACTGCCAGTCCCAAGCCCGGATAAAGGGGGACGGTTGGGCATAAGGTTAGCGACACCATCCCGTAGAACACTAACTCACTGAAAAACGCTAACCAGAAAAATCAATTCAAACCACTTCATTGAATTCCATGAAACACAATGGATTCAGTTTAAAATGAATTAAACTTCCATCTTTCGGTTTGCTTAAATAGTAATTTAAACTGACAGTTCAACAATGACTAGTCTACATTTTCACATATTCTCTTCAATAATATATTTTAACAAATTGTTATTTCTTTCTGTTCAATCATCAAGTGAACTTGATAGTCATGAAGAACTTTTCATAGAATTTTGAAATATTCTTAGAATAACATATTTGTGACAGCTAATGTATAAATGATAAGAAATAATTCATTTTTTGATTGAATTTAAGTTAATGAATAAGATGTTTTTTACCAAATGGCAGTCAACTTATTTATAAACTAGTTGTTGTTCAGGATTTATCACTATATTCAGAAACGCCTTGTGTACTTCGTTGAAGAAATGAGTTATATATATATATATATATATATATATATATATATATATATCAGATCATTTGAATGAAAATGTTATTTTTTGCATGAGTTTCTGATACAAAGAAAAAATCAAGAGTGGCAGAACAAGAAAGTCATTTAATGACCTTCAGAAATGTCTTAAAGGATGAATGCATATGATTGGTCAAGAAATGGGCATATTTTCTAGGGGGGCGGAATGTATATATATGAATATGTATATGATTCGGTGGCCAAGTAGGTTTCCACTTCTACTTACGCCTTCTCGTTCAAGAAACCAGTTTGGTGTCTGTCACGTTCAGATATCTGATACCATACATTATAAGTGTTTCTTCTATCTTGTAGTCAAACAACAGAATTGTTATGAGTAAATTTCTTCTGACAAATAATCCTATTAGCCAGTCTAAGTTCTTCAGTGAAAGTGTGACTCAAAAACAGAGAAGTTAAATTCAGATAACTGACATAAGAAGCGGTCACTCATATGTTAATCTGCATACTTTTATTATACTAAACTCCGTGCACGTATATTTGAAAAAAACTTTACCTCCATTCTAAGTGTCAGTGATTTTTTAAAAAAAAAGAGAATAATTTTCTTACATTTCATTTTCTGTTAACTTAGCTCCAGTCTTTGCTAGTCCACTTCAAGATGCTTATTTCAGTGTGCATACAAGACAAGTTAGATTTACTTGTCAACTTGCTAGTGTTCCTTACCTACCAGACGGTATTAGTGAATCTGAAGAAATTATCAAAGAAATTTATCCAACTGGCTTGAATTTCAACGAAATCACTAGAACTTCATCAGCTGCCGCTGCATGGTACTTAGGTGGTTGTTTATTGTCGGATGGTCCAGGTGTTAGTCTGGGCGCAGAACAAGGAGGATGGTTATGGCTTTGTTTAAGTGATCTTCGTCCGGAACAAGATCGTAGTGTTGTTGAATGTGTGGTAAGAAATCGAGCTGGAAAATCACAAACAAAAGCACGACTTTTACTTGGTGGTAAGTTTTGATTATCACAAATTTTTATCAATTGTTCTTTCATTTAATTCACCTTGTTTTTCATCACATTGCTCAGTATCAAATCTGTTTCTTCACTACACTTACAAAGTAACATCTTGATCACTTCATTCAAATGTATTATGGTTTTTTTATTTTAGAAAAGTATCCACAATCTATACTTGGTGATTCTTTTTTTGGAGAGATACATCAAAGAGAGATGTATATCAAATGTATTTTCTTCTATTTCAGATATACCCAAACCACCTGGTCGACCAGGTCTTATCGACATACGTCCTACAGAAGCATTGATTAGTTGGCTATCTTCAACACCAGATTCCACTGAAGATCTGATTTATCGTCTTGATATTAAATATTCAGGTAAAAATATCTTCAATTGAAAAGATATGATTTTGACACAATGCTAGATAATAACCATGAATATGTATGTATGTTAGAGGCCGCCTCGACTAAATAAACACGTTCAATATATATCTGTATACGGAATTTAGATCAGTTATGTGCTAAAATTTGATTGAAGACAGACACCAGGAATCCCTGAATCTTGATTTCCAACTACCTGGTACCTATTGACAAAGTATATCTTGAATTTCAAAGCAACAGATGCTCTCTGTTAGATTCACACCTAAACTATCCACTATAACATTACTATTGAGCAGTTCACCTAATTTATTTTATTCACACCATTTAGGCTCATCCCTATCAATTACTACAAGACTGCAGGCACATCGTGCATGAAACTTAAATCCAGTGCTTGTTAAATGCTTGGAAACCTTTAATACCTTTAATATTAACCTACATTGATACGAAATTGCTAAATCGGAAAAGTAGCTAGATACATACATTCACATAAACAAGAGTGAAAATCGATAAAAATGAAGCAGTTCGGGTTGATGATACGCTAACAAGTACTTATTACAGTGAGCTTATACGTAATTTAAATGAACAGTGATTAAGGTAAACGATAAATTAACATCCGCAAAGATAAAGAGAACACTTAAAAACGTACATATGTAGAAGAAGATCACAACGAATTAAGCGAAGTATAAAATTATTGAAAGAATGAACATGACTGATTAGATAACACACTGTATGCAATGATAATATTAGTTCAAACGTAACGATAAATTCACTCAGGCATATTCTTATACTCCATTACATAGTAATTACAATGACGATACTATTCAAGTCATCATTATGATGAACATTATAATAAGATATATTAAAAAAGCTAAATAAACACTTGCGAATTTCGATAGCTAAAATGGTTGACTGATTAATTAACGATAGTAATTTACTAGAAAATATTTCAAGGGTGAAGAATACATGTAGATAGGATTAAGAGGTAATATTCAATTATCAAGGTGATATCACATGGACTACAAACCTCTTCAGGAGCGTCCTTCCCCCAGCTAAGTACCATAATCTAGACTTTTATTTGTTAATGACTTGAAATCTCTTAGCTAGATCTACCACATACCCGCATCAATAATGTCCATCTACAGCAATATTAGTGAGTTAAGGGGCATTAGTTGTTTAATATTTTTGTATATGTTCAGAGATCCTATCAGAGAGTCGTTAGTAAGTAAATAATAAATGTATTCTAAGGTCAAACAAGTGGATATTACTTAAACATAGTAATATGTCAAGGGTTGAACTATCCAATAGGATTACTGAACGATATTTATGCGGAGACTGACTTCATATAGGAGCGCGATGTTTCCATTAATTGATTACTGAGTAGCGACTAATGTCATGCTTGCTTAATCCTTTAGTGCTGAACAAAGTCAGATGAACAAGTTTCATTGAAGTCACTAGTCCAAGTGTTTCAAGAGTATATTCTCAATTATTATATGTCAGTCGGCATGTTCTCCTAGATCAAAGTTTCATACTAGTTGGCAATCGTCAGAAAGTTGTACCTGAAATACTGAAACAACTAATTGGTAGTTCCATCACCCATCATACAAGCCGCCAGCTTTGCTCGAATCTTAGAGCTAGAGATTACTTGTTAAGTTATAAAATACACTTTTTAATCATATTCCAAAAACAATTTTCCTATTGCCTCTATAAATTAGGATATTATGAGACTATCCTATTAACCAGCAGGTTAGATTACTGGTTTAAGTTACTTGTTGAATTATCTGACTTACCAGATACTTGTAATATGACTATCATACAAATAGTTCCCATTAAAAATATTTTTTAGGATCGGAATGAAATCCTAGTAATTTTTCAACTGACATCGACCGTCAAAATTATGAGAGTATTACAAGTGAAAAGCATTTGTGTAAAAACTGGTTATTCCTCTTATTCTGTGCTTTCATTTAACAATCTGACCAAATATGAAGTCAATTTTTTTTAATTTATTGTTCTTTATTAGACCGCGATAATGAACCACCTTCATGGCATCGACTTGGATTCACTGTAGATTGTCGTTATCTTATTAATAATCTTAAACCTGGTGTATGTTACCGTGTTCGTGTATCCGCTGGAAACGCATTCGGTTGGGGTAATTACAGTATTGCATCTTCTGATTTCCGTACTCCTATCGGTAAGTTAAGATCTAACTTACTAAGAAAAAATATGCACCACGTCTTTAACAACAAATTAAAGTCACTGCCATGATTGTCATTTGTATGCAATTTACTAGATTATATGATTCAGTTAGGTTTCATGTATTTCATCCAATAAAATAATTCACTGACGAATCTTGATGTGGTTTATTGTCCTATTCGTCTACTACCTACACTTTTAATGTTTCAGTAATCGAACTAGACAGAATGTATACAAGGAATCCATAGGTTAAATTAGGAAATACTTGCAATTTATATATATATATATATATGCTTTCACGGGTATGAGTGCGGGTGTTACTTCCCGGCTACCCATACCGGGAAAGGGCTCTTATTGTCAGAAGAGACATTGGCCTCTTGATTTCCGAAGGGACTCGGCATTCATCATAACTCTTCTAAGTAAAGACCTACTAACTCCCAGAGCAGATTTTAAATGGCTTAAATTATTTTTCTTGTTGGCATTTTTTTTGGTGAGTTAGTTTTTTGCGGGGTGATGTCGCCAAACCCAATCCCAACCCTCCTCTTTTATCCGGGCCTAGGACAGGCAGTAAGTAGCCCCTGACGGTCTACAGGCGGAGTTATTCTTTATGTTTTCTCAAATTGTAACTTAAACATTTATACAAATTAACTGTTCATTAATCATTAACTAGATCGCATTAGTTATTATTAGTTCTGATAGACTTTTTCTATCAAGTCATAAAGTAGGACCATTGACAAAAATGACCCATACTCAAATTTGTCTATTGAACCAATCGAATATTAGCATATTTCTAATAAAATATTTTAAGATTTTCCAATTTCTTAATTGATTTATTTAGAAATGATCTTTACTCGATTAATACTGTCATATTTTTTTCCTATCATTCTAATAAGTTTCTACGGACCAGTCATCAACCATTCTATCATCTAACGAACAAGCATGGATATTCAATTGGCGTCAATCAGAAAATATCTATGCATTAAGTGATCATCCAATAGCTTTGCAATATGCTGTTGATCAGTCAATCAATGTACCTCCATCATCAGATAAAATTTTACAGAAACTTAATCGACATCATGGAATAATATCAAGTTTAGATGTATTGAAATCTGTGTGTAGACCGATTCGTTTGATTAATAAGTAAGTAACAATGAAAATATTATATTTAAGAAAATATAATTGAAATATACACATATATATATATATATATATGTTAACGATCATTATTTCCATGTTACGTTTATTTTATTAACTGATCTTCATAAACACATATCCACAGGTCAATTTGTTTATCAGTGACCTATTTACAAAGATTCAATAAAATCTTATTACCTCATGCGAATGTGAGGCAGACGATACTAGATAGCTGTCGTGTTATATCATGAGTCAACATACGATGAAAGTGTTGGCTGTTAAACTTCTGGTCAGTGAATGAATAGTTCTGTGTTCTTTAAGAGACCACTAAGGTCCTAAGTTACATTCTTCATCGGTTATTGGTTTTCGATCATAAGTGCCTTCGAAGCATTGCTTGTAAATCCTGGAACACCCGAGTGAGCAACGCTGTTATTAGGAATCGGGTGCTAGGTAAGAATGGCAGATCAATAGATGAAGTGGTGAAACTTCATCAGTTGATGTGGTTGGGACATGTGCTGCGTATGCCTAACCACCGACTGCCTCGACGAGCTTTGTTTTGTAGTGTAGGAATAGGTTGGAAGAAAATTAGGGGCGACCAAACCAATACATGGCAGAAATCCATGAAGTCATTGACGAGTGTACTGAGCCATGTCGGTAGTTGTCGACTACCTGGTTGGGGTCCGCGAGATGATAATAATCGATGGTCAGATACCCTGAATGACATGGCTCGAAACCGTTTGCAATGGCTTCGGTGTATTTTTTCTTTGTGTTCTCTCAAATCCTAATCTTCTGGATTCTTCAACACCACTAGTTTTGACTTTCCAAACTTTTCTCACTGAATCATACTTTTTGAATAATATCTTCTAATCCTAAACTCTCGGATTACTTCTAATACCTTTACTACCTCTTCTATTATTGGATTTGAATTGACAATTATATCTCTGTGTTGATGTGGTATGGCAACATGAACTGATGTACTTACGTACAAAGTTCTACGTTGCATCTGACTGACTGACTGACTAAGTTACATTCTGTATGAGTCACTAATATGAACAAATGATGAGCTCCAAACAGATATTTCTTGCTTAATTGTTTTTAGGGGTCCTCCGGTTGATAGTACTGTAATGGAGTTCACTAAAGCTTTACAACTTGGTTAGGTGAACAGATATCCGATATATATATATATATATATTTTATAATTTTTTTTGCAAGTTAAATGATAAATATTACATATGTAAATAGATTTTATTCTATAAACACAGATAAAATTTAATCTGCTTAATCTACCGTTGGAATTGCCTTTCGCTTCATTTTCAATATTTTCAGAGGAACATATACAAAACTTATCCTTGGAAAAACTCATCCAATGCTAAATGACGGAGGCAATTTCAATAATGTTCGACATCAAAACATATTTCTTCCACCTAGATTATTAAGTAAAATTACATATCTTAATTCAGATGATAATAGTCTATTGAAAAAAGCTCGTCGTGAAGCATTAATGCTTACTCTTCTTCATGGATCTTCTGGTGGAATGTATTCTTCGCTGGAAGATTATTATAATGATCAAGATAATTCATATCTTTTCACTAATCAACGACGATTATTACCATCTGGCTGGTCTATTGGCTGGTTAACAAATGATGCAGTTAAACCGACACTAGGTATAACAGTCATGCATTGGATTCCTGGTGGACGTCTTATTGATGTTTTGTGCGGTCGAGTAGAATATACTGAATTTTCTGTTATGATGTGGAGTCAACAAATTCTGTCAGCATTAAAATGGTTCTATACATGTTTTATGGGACGACCACATGGAAATATTTGTCCGGAACATATACTTGTTGCACGACGAACATCTTCGCTTCCAGACATTGTATTGACTGGATTCGGTCATGAATCTGATTCGAATGAAACGCAAAGCAACTTTTCAGGTAAATTCTAGATTATGTTTATTTACGTTGCTTACTGCTTACAAAAAATATACAACAGTTATATTCATAAATTGAGCTTAGCATATAATTATTGTAAATGATCTAACATTCAGTGATTAATTATGTTTGAAATGGAGAGTACTTGAAAAATTCAACTTGTATAAATTGTTGATGTCACGACATTTTATAACATTTATTGAATATTCGACACATAAATACTGATCTAATAGGTTACTAGTTAGAAACTTGGAAGATACTGTTTTATATCAATTGCTTTTGTAAAACCACAAAGATTATGCTTTTTAATCATTCAGCTTGCTAATCAGATCAGTAATTAAGATGTAAAACATTCTGGATAAGTGAATAAATGAACAGATTAATGAAATAAAAAAAATTAAGAAAAATTCAGAAAATTAAAATCTGATGTAAGAGAAAAAGTGATGTGAGTATTATAGAACTTCTAAATCTTGAATAAAGTGTGTATTATCCCAACAAGTGATGCCGAAATCTCAGAAGGCTCGACTGGCTTTTGCCAACCTGCGTCATCTATGGCGTAGGTGAGATATCCGTCTTTTAAACAAAGGACGATTGTACTGCGCAGCAGTTTATAGCTGCGAAACATGGCCAGTCAGAGTAGAGTATATTCATAGGTCACTGGTTTTCGATCGTAGGTGTCTCCGAAGCATTGCTCGTGTATCCTGGGACAACCGAGTAAACAATGCTGTTTTTAGGAGACAGGTCCTAGGTAATGGTGGCAGACCGGACCAAAACATGTCACAAATCCATGAAGTAAGTGACAAGTAGACTGAGTTATGTTGGTAGGTGTCGACTACCTGCTTGGGGCCCGCGAGATGATATTAATCAATGGTTAGAGACTTTGAATGACATGGCTCAAAACCATTTGCAATGGGACAGGTGCATTCATTGTGTTTTCTCGATCGTAACCTCCTGAACTCCTCATAACTGATTTCCTTCTCTCTTTTAAATCGATGCGTATGGGGTATTTATCTCGAATGTTATACTCGATCTTTACTCTTTTTGATTACTGCTAATACTGCTACAGCCTCTACTACTATAGGATTTGAAATGACAATTACGTTTCTGTGCTAATGTGGTATGGCAACTTGAACTGATGTACTTACGAAGTTCTACGTTATAATTGACTGACTCAATTGATAATGAAATACTTTTTTTTTACTTTTCAGTTCCATAATTAAATGAACTGTAACCTCCGTATGTTGATATTCAGAACTGCAATTTATCAATCACTGTTAATGTATTTACATCCTCAATCAACTTATCTCGATGTAGACTTTAGTTACAAGTTTTTAGTATGTTTCGTATATGGCTACTAGTGGAAACTAGAACGTGTGTTTTATCTTATTTAGGGCTTGATATAAACAATAGGGGGAATTATAAACACGTTCAAATCTGTTGAACAAGTTGATGGTAAACAGAACTTAGCGGCCCAATACACATAGTGTTCGCATTTGAAACAGAAGATATTAAGTATGCGTGTCCATATGAACATCGACACTTAGATGCAGATACATCCGGATGACGAGATATAAATAAGCAAAAATTTGAATTGTACATATTCCCTATCCAAACAGTTATTAGACACAATTGACTTTGAAAGTCAATCTAGTATGAAAGATATAAGGCATTTAGTCAAAATATTCATCCCCATCCCATGATTGACATTTTTCTCAGTAATTTTGTTCTACTGACTACAACAAAATAAAGTGATTTACTTTTATGTTGTAATTTATAATTTATTTATAAACTAGCTCCTGAATTATACGAGAATCAATCGAAATCAATGGCTTCAGATTTGTGGAGTGTTGGAGCTGTAATGAGACTATTGTAAGTTTTGTAAGATTAATAAAATGGCTTATAATTTATGTAGTTTGTGGAAATACAATATTATAGTTTTAAGGTAATTGTTTTCAAGAACTCTCCTCACCTGAAAATAGACTGCGTAAAGTTTGGCGATAAGTACTAACCTGTGCAGTTCAACTAACTATGTTAGGAGTCAAGAAAAAATTTACCTTTTAATAGAGTTAAATGAACATTGTTCTATATTGCAAATGCATTGGGATTGATGATCATCTATGAGGGTTAAGTCGTGTTGCAGTGATTGTGTGATGCTTAGAAATTGAATAAAAGGGCGAAAAAAAGGGTTTTTTCGTATTCCAGTTCCCAATAGACATTCAGTTTACAAAAATTTGTGATAAAAATTATCTTATCTGAAAGCAGGTTAATTATTTAGGTAATAATATAACCCTCATAATTAAAAGCTTATTTTATCCCAGAAATCCTAAAGTCGATATTAAATACAGAGTATCGTCTAATGAATTAAAACTCTTCATTTAATTCACTCTTCTAAGTAAGGATTATTCTCTGCTTATATACTGTCTAATGACTGGTAATAATTGGAAGTAGGCCCATGGATCTATTTTATGCTAGATTTTACTAACTAATACAAATTATTTAAACTCGATAAATTAATGCTTTCGTTAGCATTCAGGGTTCATTTCATTCAATATTGTTCGGGAGGTGTAAAGATTAGTCTATTTCTGACGCCATTGACTTCCCGGTAGGAGTAAAACTTTTAAACTAACTAGTCACTGAGCAGTAACTAATGTTAAGTCATTTTATTCTACATGAATACTCAGTCATAGAAAATAAACAGATTCAACATAGATCTAATTACTTCTAGTATATTTTGAATTATGACTGACACTGAAATCCAGAACACATCATTTACCGTATTCGCGATTCATCATCGTATAGCGCATAAGTCGTAAAAAACTAATCAAAACTCAATGTTGCATATCAATCATAAAATAAAACAAATCTCTACAAACATGGATGTCGTATTGTTGATAAAATCTCATAAGACCATTCATCAGTCTTAATTTTTTAAGATTTACACTTGTCTATCATTATTATTATTTATTCTGTACATTTAGATTAACAGGTGAATATCCAAATGATAACAATGATTATGGACAAAAGTCAATAACTGATGAGTTAATAAAACAGTCAAATGTTCACTCGAAAACTCAACCATCTAATGAATTAGCATGCAAAATTAATTCTGAGAATATTACTACTACTACTACTAATAATAATAATAATATACAAACCTATTCACAGAATTATTTAAATATTAAAAAATTGAAAAGATTTTCTAAACCTGCACGGAAATTCATCTACAATTGTCTTCATCCTTCACCAAGGTAAGTCTTCCAGTTAAATATATTTACACACATGGGCTTGTTGATCAATTGATAAACGAATAAGTGGTAAACTCAATGCAAGGAAAACAAAGTCTATATCATAGTTTTATCATAAATCCAATCAATCTCAAATACGCTATGGAACCAAACAAAATTCCAATTTTATTGAACCAGTAAAAAGAAATTTTTTGCTTGAAAAACCATTAAACACTAGTTGTTTTTGGTGTTCGTCTGAGATTCCTCATGACTTAGAAATGAATGAATGTCTAGTATGGTTCAGCAAACCGAAAAATAGCTTCTTCTTCTTCTTCTTTCAAAGAATTCCATACTGAAATGCAGATTCTTAGTTTTCATTGGTGAAGATGATTAGTTACTTCAATTGCATAGATTAGACGTCTGAATCGTTCTCCATCTGCCTTCGTTTAGGTGGGTAGTTTTCACATTGTATGTCTTGAGTAAACATATACGTGACTGGTGAGTATAGGGTTTATTGATTATGCCAAATAATCAAATATTACGGGGCACAGTTTTGGAGGTTTGCGTTTTAACACATTTGAAATCATCAATCAATCATTGTTAGACCAGCATTAGAAACCTGGAAGCACTGCACGACGGCCGTTTCGTCCTGGTATGGAACTCATCAGCAGTGCGCATCCACGACTCCTGCTCCTCGCGGGACTCGAACCCGGGACCTTCGGCATTGTAGGCGAACGCCTTACCATCGGACCACTGGGCCGGCACCCAACGGTGTTAATGTCTAACTCTGATTGATCTAAGGATTTTGCGCGACCTCACCCATTTGTCTTTGGTAGTTACTGCCTACAACCGACAGGGTTGAACTCCATTGGTCACGTCTTCTCAACTAGAACTCCGAGAATTTCCTCACGAAGCTAGTCACTAGTGAGCACTGTTACGATATTTTGGGGTACAGTTTTGGAGGTTTGCATTTTCACACATTTGAAATCATCAATCAATCATTGTTAAATATTTAAATATGTGTTCTTCATTCAAATTAACAGGAAACGTGGAACAGTTGAATTTTGGCTTAATTCTCATTGGTTTAATTTAAACGCTGACAATGTGGATAATTTAACTTCAGTGATCATTCCCACAAATTTACTAAGATCATACAAAACTGTTCTAGATGACAAAACAACACCGGGTTATGACAAAACCGAAGAATTACAATTTTCTTGATGCACAACGAACAAAATTGTTTCTGCTTCCTTTCGTTTTTTTCTTTATCCCTTATATTACAAAAGTACAATAAAATCCTGAGAAAAATCCATATATATATATATATATATATATATATATATATATATGACTTGTGAAAGTCACATATCTTCAATTCTTCTTTGAATGGTCAACAATAGGTGATATGTGTCTATGACACTTCAGGATATTTCCTCTTCCATACACAAACATCACCAAATCCGTTTCGAATATCATGTTAAGCATAATTCTCCGTTTGTTTGTTTTTCTTTTTCAATTAAAACCCACTCCTTACCCTTTATCTTTAAACACATCCCCTGTTTGCATTTAGTAATCTATACTAGAATAAAGATGATTTTTTTTTCTATTTCGTAACTACCATGTTTACAGTTATACAGCAAAAAGCATGTGAAAGAATCACCCAACATGATAGATACATACGCACATACACCCCTTGCATACACGAGACATACTTCCTATCATAGTCTCAGAAAAGTTTGATCATTCAAGAAAAATAGTTCCTTGAAAAGTTATTCTGCAGGAATGAATATATATCGTATAAAAGAGTTGTAAATGTATACTGACTTTTCATTGTTTGTTTTTTCTTGAACATAATATTAACGTTGAGCTTCGATTAATAGGTCATGGGGTTCGGATTACACACTGCGTATTTTGATTTGCGTAGTCGATGAAACAGTTGATTTAACCAGTATTAAGCTAGATAAAATTAAAAATGATCCAAGCTTAACTGTTTAGCAAAAAACAGCGTGATATGTTTAGTACAGTACAGCTATTTGAATTTCACACTCCACACGCACACACACAGAGAGATATAAGGGCTTAGTAATCAGCAAATAAATGAGAATAGACGCGAGTAAACAACACAATCTGAACAAGAACAATAAAAATAGATCTCACCTCTGGCAAAATTGCTTATTACAAGGACAAAAGAAATCTATGTGAAAATCGTTAAGGACTTCATCTTTAGACTAGTCTGAAAGGATTTCGAGTCACTGAGTTGTGTTCCATAAGGGATCCTGCTCAAAGGATGCCATCGAGACAATGCAAAATAGGCTAAAATGAGTGTTCTGCAAGACACAGAGCTGTGATTACCTAACCACACTTTATGCTTAACCCAGTGGTAATAGATATCACTAAACTTTGAGGGGGAATCTTAAAATACAGTACCTAAGACGTCTATTCCATTAAATTAAATTTGAGACATCACTGATGGAAAACTGGACCCCAGTATGCTGAGTAACACTATTCCCCTGGAGGATTCGTTCAGTCAGTCAGTCAGTTGCAACATAGAACTTCGTACGTATGTACATAAGTTCAGGTTGCCATACCACATTGGCACAGAGAGGCAAATGTCAAATCAAATCCAATAGTGATAGAGATAGTAGAGGTATTATTGGTAATCAGGAAGACTAGGGTTTGAAGATTTTATTCAAGAAGCATAATTCAGTGAGATAAGGTTAGTAGACAAATGAAGAGGTGTTGATGATTCCAGAAGATTAGGATTTGAGAGAGCACAAAGAATGGATGCACTTGCGCCATTGCAAACGATTTTGAGCCATGTCGTTCAACGTCTCTAACCATTGGTGACTTTCGTTTCGCAGACCCCAGCCAGGTAGCCTACATCTACCAACATGACTCAGTCCACTTGTCAGTGACTTCATGGATTTGTGCCACGTTTTGGTTTGGCCGCCCCTAGCTTTCTTCCAACCTACTCCTACACCACAAAGCAAAGCTCGTCGAGGCAGTCGGTGGTTAGGCATTCGTAACACATGTCCCAACCACCTCAACTGATGAAGTTTCACCACTTCGCCTATTGATCTGCCATCCTTACCTAGTACTCGTTTCCTAACGAAAGCATTGCTTACTCGGTTGTCCCACGATATACGAGCAATGCTTCTCGGACAAGGAAGCCTGTTGCCCTATTTGACACTCAAATCGTTTGCATTAGCAGTGCAGTGTGATAAGAAAATGTGAGAAGCGTTAGTCGTGGAGATAAGAGAGATATTACGGGCTGTAGGAAGGATTTGATTGTGACCGATTCGGCCTCGTCTGCTGTTACGGGTATGAGGGCGATTGTCACTTCCCGGCTGCCCACACCGTGGAAGGTTGTTTCTTGAGGGACCTGAAAAGGAAGATAGATTAGTGTTGGTCTTAGAGACCTGGATGTGTGACCGCAGAGTCCAAGGGACAACTGCTTGAGGCCGGTCACCCACGGCCTTTTAATGAAGGGTTTTTTGAGTATCAGCTCCGCTCTTAAAGGCCCTTAGTGGGCACCCTTGCCGACGGAGACGGAAATCCGTGAGGTAGGGGAGGTGTGACATTTTCTAACCCTTCCTTCCCTGTGAGAAGGCAGCATCGCTGCAGATGCTGGTTGTTCGAGGGAAACACCTTACTGCTGTCACAGCCCTCTGCAGTCAGCAGTACGACTTCGCTCTCAGACCTTGGTTAGCTGCTTTTAGTCTCATCGTTCTCCAATCGACTTGCCTGGCATGGTAGAACCTTCATGAACATATGTTCCAGCCAGTATAGCTCGGTTGGGTCATCACGATAGGCAAGCCCGACCACCACGTCAAGGTAGCAGCTACGGTCGGGGGAGGACTCGTTACTTGATTAACAGTTAATTACCCTACCTTTATCATTCAGTTTGGATGGTCTAAAACATTTATTCATATTTATTAATGTATAATCCTCGTACCACAGTGTTTAAGCCTTTAGAAAATTATGATTTTGACTAAAGTTTCATAAAACCATGTTATTAGTCAACACTACCTACACTATGTATGTATAGCTTATAAAAAATCATGATAAATTTACCGAAAAATAAGCTGATTATTTATACGACGGTCTAGCATCAGGTGTAACAGTCAGATTCTAGTTCATTGGAAAATAGACTGATTTTTTTTCCTGCAATTCCCCCAGTTGCATGAAAAAAAATCTCATTTCTCTGACTAGTACCCTTTCACAGCACTAAGGAGAGCTGACATTAAAAGAATTCAATCTCTTGAGAAGCCACCATCACTACGGCCACATTTTTGGTCAAAATGCTAATTTTTTTTTATTATGCATTACTACATCTCAACAAAATACTAGTGCATAAGAAAAAGTCAGCTACACGTTTTATTCAACAATAATAGAAATTACAAGGGAATTATTCTCAATCCGAGTTCTATACAACATATATGCCTAAGAAAAAAGAATTACAAACATGATCAATATTAAAAGAAAAAAGCAAATCAGAATGTGACAATGATAAATATAACAATGATATTTAAAAAAAAGAGACTTTTTAATTTGTATTAATATTCAGTATACTGTATAGGTTTAACATATTGAGAGAAAACTTCAAACACTTGAGGCCATAGGTCATTTGTACGACATCCATGGAATACATGTAAAATCTTCTTTTGTCTGGGATTAAATAAAAAAAAAAATAAATGAGTAAACAAAAATTGTAAATGTAGTAGTACTTGATAACATGATATGAAGAAGTCTGATGCATTTTTCCGAGGTGGGCATAGGTTCAAACAAATTTTTAATCAGCACACCTAAACAATATAAGATGTATGTGTACATGCACGTGCATATGTTGAATTGTTTGCAGTAGCGAAACAGTCAACGAATGAATTATTGCTCGAGTTCATATGATCCACACATTTAATGCAGTAAGACAGAAAAATATGCAAACAATCACGGGCAAACAGTGTACCTGAATGAAAGCCAATAATTATATTCATAAGGATAAAAACAAAATAAACCTAATGATCAAAATATTAAACCGAGTATAAGCCTGAGCGGATATATGCTCAAGATATATATATATATATATGAAGCTACTATAACATGAATACTTGCACAAATAGAAAGGAATTATTACCATAATTTGACCGATAATAGTAATAGTTAAATGAACAAAAATTAAATAAAACTAAATCGTCGATGAATTGAAGCAGGAATTTAAGTTGGGTTTCAGTCAGTTTTATATGCCATGTAGAATCTGAAATATGTGTATCGGTTCAAGTCACTACACTACGTAACACAGTCAGTTAATAACGACTATGTTCACAACTACTCGCCAAGGATTCGAAATCATATTATTCAAAGTGTTTTATTACGGACAAAATGGGTTTGATAATAAAAAGCGATATATATATATATATATATATATATATATATATAAGCAGAAAGTATTACTAGAACTAAAAATTAATTAGAAAACACAAACCAATGATGGATAACCTACCCTCGATACAATGTCTAGTGACTACTTTTAAGTTAGATAACTTCTTATGGATGCTTCATAAAACTAGAATAAGTAGTGTAATCAAATACAAATCATTAATTTTACTCTACAATTCCGTAAAGTGATTATAAGGATGTAATCGGCACCATAAAGCTTATGCATCATACAAAATATAATAGTTATCTAATTGAATGGAGTTAATAAGAAAGAGATCATAGTTAGTCAAAATGGCGCAGAAACTGCTAACCTACTAATTCGGCAATTATTATGGAGGTTTACACTGAGTCAGGAAACATCAAAAAAGTTTTAACTTTTTTACTTATTCGGTTCTACAAATATATGCTTTTTATTATTATACAGTTAGCTTTCAAATACACATCAACTATATCGGTTAATGAAGCGAATATTGTTTACTCGAACACAGTAAGTTACATTGAATATCTAAATATAAGGACTAGTTAGTTAGTAAAAATACTGAAGTCCTACTTTTAGGTTTAACGTTTTAAATCAACCTCACTAACATTTATTGGAGCAACAGCATTAATTTAGGGTAGTTTTTACACAAAATTCCTCAAAATTAGATATAGTGAGTTGCAGCACTCTATTTACTGGGTTTCATTATTGAATTGTACTATGAAATAAAAAAAAATTAACTTTCATCATCAACTAAGTATCAAACATACACATTTCGAAATAAAGACCATGAGTAAAATAATTATTATAATGTAATAAAAACACTTTCAAGTGCAAAAATGCTAAATTTGGCATACTCGTAATAATCAAGCAATGGTAAAGTAGAAAGCTGATAAACATCCAACCGTTTACGAACAGTTACTGGATCATCATCATCTCGGCGTATTAGAGGTTCTCCAGTCACATCGTCAAATCCCTGTTGTCAAAATGAAAGCAATGATTAAATAAGATAGTTTATGGTTTAAATTAAAGGTTATAATAAACTGATGACTGGTTAGATAAATACTACCAAAATGAACACAACAATATTTTATACAAAAGATAATATTGACATGAAAAAACATCATGCAGACATAACTCGGTTTAGACTAAAACAATTTGTAAATAAATAGTGACATTAATCTTGGTTAATATTAACCGATATTAGCGTTGTACTACGAAATTTATATTGGATGACTCATTTAAAAATCATATTCAACAGGATAAAACCGGCAATACAAGCTATCCGATTACATACTGTTTTCACCTAATTTATGGGGCATTTTGGTATTTACGGTTAGCAAGATGACGTTAAGGAAACGAAAATAATCGAGGTAATGATGGATGAATGACCAGAATTAAAGGGAGAAATATTTGTCAATGAAAAAAGTAAAAATCTTGTCCTAGTACAGCACAAATACAACTTCCCAGAAAAAAAAACTTTTCTCATAAAGCAGCGATTATATTTAGGGAAATCGAACAAACATTTGGTTAACCTGACATACATACGAAAGAATGACTGTTCGTTACTAAGAAATAGAACTGTACAAAAGTAAATATTCAGTTTCAACACACTGGATGAATCAAAATCAAAAGGCTTATGATGCTGTTGAATGCACCCAAGCAAGTACATCATAGTCTGTTTCTATAATAGTTGGAATTATTTACAAGTTGAAACTGCCTGAATTTTACAATGGATAATGACACGATTAACATACAGTAAAAGGTGATAGAACCACATCTCACATGCGTTAGTACGGTGAATCGATGAGTAAAAGATCACATACAAACACATAGGAAGCAAATCTTTAGGATGAGATTTCCTATCCCTAACTCCCGTAAACTTTAATATTTCAGTGAAAAATTTAAATATTAGTTATTTAGTGTCCGAACCTAACCTGACTAGTAATTTACCAAGGTGCTGGTGTAACAAGAAGACACTTGGTTTTAGCTTTAAGTGTCAGTCACTTACTAACCATCAACGAAGAACCTGACAAACATTCGCATTGGGCCGTCGTCCTACTGTAATAAAACAAGATGAAATTAAGGAGATTATTAGCAAAAGCGTTCGGAATATAATAGTCAATCAGCAACGACATAGAACTTCGTACGTACGCACATCACTTCAAGTTGCCATATCACATTAACACACAGAGATGGAATTGTCAGTTCGAATCCTACAGTCGTAGAGGTTATAGCACAATACTAACGGCAATCGAAAAGACTAGAGATCTATGATTCAAGAACTTTAACCCAGTGTAATAAATTTAAAAGGAGAAAAACATCACGAGGAATACGTAAGATTATAATTTGAGCGAAGACAAAGATTGGACGCACCTGCGCCACTGTAAACGGTTTTGAGCCATGCCATTCATAGTCTCCAACTACCGGTCACGGTTGTTCCGCTGACCCCGAACAGGTAGTCTACATCTACTAACATGGCTCAGTCCAGTTGTCAGTGACTCTATGGATTGGTGCTACGTTTTTGTCTAGCCGCCCCTAGCTTTCTTCTAGCCTTTTTCTAAATCACAACACATCGCTCGTCGGTGGTTGGACGTACGCGACACATATTTCAACCACCTCAACTGCTTCATCAATTGATTTGCCATCCTTACCTACTACCCGTTTCCTAACACCAGTATTTCTTACTTGATGGTCCCAGGATATACGAGCAATACTTCGAAGACACCTATGATCGAATACTAGTAACCTAAGAATATCCTTCATTCTTAGTAGCCATGTTTCATACCCATATAGTAGGACAGTGCGAACTGTTGCGCAGTAAACTCGTCCACCTACGCCATACGTGACGCAAGTTGGATAAAAGGAGTCAAGCCTTTTGTATCCATGCTGAGATTTCGTCACACATCAGTATAATAACTATGATGATGACAGACAGATGGGAATAGGCACTTATACAGAAATGATGGGACTCGAGACTGAGGCAAGTAGTAATTGCATCTGCGCTATCACAGACGATACGAAGCTTTATCACCCAAAACCAACCAACGATCGTGGTTAACACGTAGGCCTCAGTCAGGTAGCCCGCATCTACCAACGTGGATTAAACCAACAGTCAATGACTTCATGAGCTAATGGCATGTCTTCGTTTAGCCACGTCGGTGTTTTCTGCAACCTACGACATAAGCAAATACTCCTATCAAAGTAGAAGGTGGGTAGGTATATGTATGTTAGGGATATGTCCTAATAACTTCAGTTGGTGAAGATTTACAACATACATCAATTTACTAATTAAAGGTGTACACTATAACCATTTCGATAACCTTGTAAAGGTAATAATTATAACGCAACTCGTTTACCCAGTACATGTTTTGAGTTCAGGGAAATCCTTCTAGGGAAAAAGGGACGAAATAAATTCATGGTCAATTCTAAAAGCACAACCCCGACCGAAGCTGCTACCTTGACGTGGTGGTCGGGCTTGCCTATCGTGATGACCCAACCGAGCTATACTGGCTGGAACATATGTTCCTGCAGGTCCTACCATGCCAGGCAGGTCGATTGGAGAACGATGAGACTAAAAGCAGCTACCCAAGGTCTGAGGGCGAAGTCGTACTGCTGACTGCAGAGGGGTGTGACAGCAGTAAGGTGTTTCCCTCGGACAACCAGCATCTGCAGCGATGCTGCCTTCTCACAAGGAAGGAAGGGTTAGAAAAGGTCGGCCCTAAAAATGTCACACCTCCCCTAACTCACGGATTTCCGTCTCCTTGGGCAAGGGTGCCCACTAAGGGCCTTTAAGAACGGAGCTAATCCTCGAAATACCTTTCATAAAAAGGCCGTGCGTGACCGGCCTCAAGCAGTTGTCCCTTGGGCTCTGCGGTCACGCACCAACACTAATCCATCTTCCTTTTCAGGTCCCTCAAGAAACAACCTTCCACGGTGTGGGCAGCCGGGAAGTGACAACCGCCCTCATACCCGTAACAGCACGCGAGACCAAATTGGTCAAAATCAAATCCTTTCTACACCCTCTAATGTCTCTCTTATCTCTACGACTAACTCCACTCACACTCCCTTCTCTCACTGCACCGCTAATGCAGACGAAGCGGGATCACGAAACGTCGTTCCTGGTCTCTTGAAATCCCGTTCTAGACTGCATGTTGGAGCTTTTAATGTACGAACATTGTGTCAAATAGCGCAACAGGCATCATTAGCTAGGACTTTAGAAACTCGTGCCATCGATGTATGCTGCGTCTCGGAAACGCGCATACAGGATCCTAGTAAAGTCATTAACCTGATTTCACCTTGTCAAAACGAAGAAGCAGCTCGATTTACTCTTCGTGTATCCGGTAGCCCTGATGCTGCTTCCAGGGGTCTTGCTGGCGTAGGCATAGCATTGAGTCGTAGAGCTGAACAATCTCTCCTAGACTGGATCCCAGTAGATAGTCGTTTGTGCGCTGTCCGACTAAACGGGACAGTAAGGACTCGTAAGGATAGGGACACTCGCCGTTCCCTCTTCGTCATATCTGCCTATGCCCCCACTGACTGCAGTGCAGACGAGGTTAAAGATGAGTTTTACAGAAAGCTTTCGGACCTCCTCCAAAAAGCTAGGCGCTCTGATATAGTAATAATGGCTGGTGACTTTAATGCTCAAGTAGGTAGACTAGGTGAAAAGGAAAGACATCTTGGTGGATGTTATGGTGTAGCGACTGAGAGAACAGACAATGGCGACCGTCTGTTGCAACTATGCTCAGATAGCCCCCTATTCTTAGCGAACACCAACTTTAGGCATAAGGAAAAGCATCTGTTGACCTGGCGACCCCCGAAGTCGTCTCAACGTTGGACTCAACTAGATCACATCGCCATCAGCCACCGATGGAGGGGTTCGATAGAAGACTGTCGCTCGTTCTGGGGCACATGTTTGGATTCAGATCATGCTATAGTGCGAGCTCGTATCTGTTTAAGGCTTACTGGACGTAGGAAAGACACCGTAAGAAAGCCTCTTAGGGTTTTACTTAATGATAATCAAACCAAGAAAATATTTCAGGAGCAACTAGAAAGAGAGTTAAGCAACCATGCAAGCGATTCCCATCCAGAAGCAGGTTGGTATGATATCAAAAAGGCTGTGGAAACAGCAGTCTTCTTGTGACAATCATAGGGGAATAAGTCTAACTAATGTAGTATCTAAAATACTGGCCTCAATAATACTTCGACGCTTAACTAGAGCTCGTGAAGAGCAGACTCGAGAAAACCAGGCTGGTTTTCGACCTGGACGTGGCTGTATAGACCACGTCTTCACACTCAGACAGGTCCTGGAACATAGACACACATTTAAGCGTCCTACAATAGTTGTTTTCCTAGACCTTAAGGCGGCATTTGACTCTGTGGATCGTAAGGTTCTGTGGCAGTGCCTGTCATTGAAAGGTGTACCAAAGAAGTACATTAACCTTATACAAGCTCTCTACTCGAACACCACTGGTCGAGTGAGGGCTTATGGCGAACTGTCACCGGAATTCTCTACATCAAGTGGCGTCCGTCAGGGATGTCCACTTTCTCCATTCTTGTTTAATTTCATCATAGACATGCTCCTAGACATAACATTATCCTCGTCTGAATTTTCAGGAGTAGACCTTCTACCAGGTGGCTCGCTTATTGACTTAGAATATGCCGATGAAATAGTCCTACTTGGTGAAGATACTGACAAAATGCAGAGTCTTCTGACTACCCTAAGCAACAATGTAAGCATGTTCAGGATACGGTTTTCTCCCTCGAAATGCAAAATGTTGCTTCAAGACTGGCTTGCTTCGGCACCTGAACTAGTGATAGGGAGTGAAGTAGTCGAGCGTGTAGACCGCTTCACTTATCTTGGGAGTCTCATCAGTGCCGATGGCCTGGTGACTGACGAAATCTCAGCTCGGATACAGAAGGCTCGATTGGCTTTTGCCAATTTGCGTCACTTATGGCGTAGGCGAGATATCCGTTTGCTGACTAAAGGACGAGTGTACTGTGTAGTAGTTCGCTCCGTCTTACTTTATGGCTGTGAAACATGGCCAGTGAGAGTAGAAGATATTCGTAGGTTACTGGTTTTCGATCATAGATGTCTTCGAAGCATTGCTCGTATATCGTGGGACACCCGAGTGAGCAACGCTGTTATTGGGAATCGGGTGCTAGGTAAGAATGGCAGATCAATCGATGAAGTATTGAAACTTCACCAGTTGAGGTGGTTGGGACATGTGTTGCGTATGCCCAACCACCGACTGCCTCGTCGAGCCTTGTTTTGTAGTGTAGGAGTAGGTTGGAAGAAAGCTAGGGGCGGCCAAACCAAAACATGGCAGAAATCCATGAAGTCATTGACGAGTGGACTGAGCCATGTCGGTAATTGTCGACTACCTGGTTGGGGTCCGCGAGATGATAATAATCGATGGTTGGAGACCTTGAATGACATGGCTCAAAATCGTTCGCAATGGCGCCGGTGCATTTATTCTCTGTGTTCTCTCAAATGCTAATCTTCTGAGTTCTTCAACCCCTCTAGTTTTGACTCTCTAAACTTTTCTCACTGAATCATGCTTCTAGAATAGTATCTTCTAATCCTAACCTCTCCCTTACTACCTCTTCTACTATTGGATTTGAATTGACGATTACTTCTCTGTGCTGATGTGGTATGGCAACATGAACTGATGTACTTATGTACAAAGTTCTACGTTGCATCTGACTGACTGACTAAAAGCACAACTACTTAATCCAAATCTACATAGACCATGTTGTCAGTAGGATTCAGCGATCAACACTAGGATTAAAAACATGAACGAAGGAATCACAACACACAATTTACTGATGAGCTCAATGGTACTGGAAAACTAAGCTAAATTAGTCCTACATATATAATGGGTGAAAGTAATCATATGTATATTTTAAAAGTTTATATCATACTAACTTTGCGCTTTGGAGGGTTGAAATTATCATTATACGTCCTACCACTTGGGAGATGAGTGTATCTCCCGCTGACTCTACGTATAATCTCTTCAAAAGGTACATCTAAACAGAGAACGCAGTTGATAGGAAGTTGTCTTTGAATGTCTTTAGCCTGTATTAAAGTTCTCGGAAATCCATCAATAAGTAAGTTATTAGTCGCACAACTTTGACACTCAGTAATCATCATTTTAGTGACTAAATCGTCCGGAACAAGTAAGCCGTTTTGGATAAACGTGCTTGCCTGATTCCCGATATCTAAGAATTGAATATATACGGTAAGATTTCGATACCTGTTTTTAATGCAACTTGATTTCTTAGCATATCGCCACAGCTAATATATTTCAAAGCGAAGTCTTTCTGTAGACGCGAAGAGATAGTTGCTTTTCCTGAACCAGGGGGTCCAATAATAACAGCTCTGAAGCTAGATTTAAGTGCCTGAGGAAACTTCATTCACTAACTGGGAAACAATAAAACCGACCCACTTATTCATGCTCACCTCTTGATGTTTCCGTACAATTTATTTTCCGATGAGAAAAAGCGTTAGCACTAGATGGCAATAATATTGTACCAGTTGTAGTTAATTCGGCAATATTTTGTGTATTTGTTTATCTTGTGTTCTGAAAGGCTGAAAGATTCAATGCGTTCAAGGGTTATGAATTTTTCGCGTGAAGGATCCTTGGGAAGTGCAACAGCAACAACACAAAACATTTATGTACTAGTACCTTTTACCACAGTGAAAACGAAAAGCAGTCAGCACTTTTGGTTAGCATATAAAATCCATTTACGACTAATAATGAAAGCAATAGGCAATAATCAGCCATCACATTAGCATGATATTAGAACAATATAACCGCAATAAAGTATAACATAATGATGGACTTGAGACGTCTATCAACCAGTCAGAAAAGTGCTTAATTATGAAACACATAACAGCTAAGAGCTAACGGACATTGACCAACTAAATTCACTCTTGAATTAGGCAAACCAGCTAAGAACTCTACTATGTACCTACCCTATTTGTATTTGATGAAAATGTGACTGAATCGAACTGTTCCTGACGGTGACATGATGTAAATGCGCTATCTGAAACACTTATTTTTAATCTAAATAAGCAATCTTTAACAGTATATGTGGTAAAAGTTGTAACAATTTGATCTAGCCTGTAAATTGGCATGCATTTAGTGACAGTTATGAGGAAAATATATTATTATTACTGAAAACGCAACGAATAATGGCAAATACTTTGTCAAAAGATTTACCTTGAGAGCATTTCGGTTGTGTAGCCTTGTTTCATCACAATCTTCATATAACTTTATGGTCTCATATTGTAAATTTAGACTGATTTTAAGTATTTCGAAGGCCATACACACAATAAAAAAGGGATATGGAAAGAAATGCGATATTAACTACGAAAATTACGTATGGATTGAGGAGACATTGCACCGAAATGTCGCCTTTTTCGCCAACGCTAAAGAAATACTAGGAGGTTCCGTCCAAATGTCTCACAATGGGAAGATCGATATGTTTGTAATTTAAGAACAACTATATAGGCCAACCTTACCGTACATAGTCTACGTCAAGCGTGAAAAAAGGCGATTCACTATGATTTCCCCCAAATTGGACTATATATATACAATCCGGTTAAATTAAGTTCTTACGATCTCAGCTCAATTAATAACAACATTTAGCGGAATTATCGGCACGAATTTACCCTCTAGTGAGTTCCCATTCCTCTTGCAGCAATTTGTGTACTGAATAGGCAAATGCAATTCTATAAGGAACATAATGATCATATCTGGCAGCATTAAAATGAGAGTTAATGTAAAATAGCCTATTGAGATGACACAATGCACTCACTCTTCATATAAAAATCAGTCGCATAAGACTAAAATAACGAGCATCCAATGAAAAGAAACCAATCCAGACATAATAAAGGCGGCGTACGACCTCTAACACGCTACACCGCTGTCCAATATCCAATATCTAATATCCAATATCTTTTTCACGAGCTAGTGTAAACCAATTTGATTTCTTCGCGCTCGATTCTTGTTCTTTCGGTACGGTTCCAGGTGTTCGGTAATGTCCAATGGATGGAGGTCTAGCCACTCGACTGTCTGATTCTAGTCAGTTGGCAGTTGGTTGTGAGTTTGTATGTCTCGGGATTTGAATGAAACGTTTGTTTCAGGGCAGTAGGGTTTCTGGATACTAGCAGCCGTCACTTTACCAAACCGGAGATCAGTTAGTTGCAATGTGGAGAGTAATAAGGGTAATAAGGATAAAATTCTAATGATAATATGAATAAAATTTCAGAACTGAGTAATATATAGATGAATTTAGTTTATTAATTGGTAGTGAAGATTGTGAGAGAGGACCGAAGTGTAAGCAATGGAGAGGAAACAGAGATAATAGGCGAGATAGATTAACTTGGTGATCTGAGGAGATGGAAAGGAAAGAAACTAACAGGTCGCAAGACATGCATCGGGCACAGCTTGTCAAAGAGGGAGATGATAGTCTGTTTGCGAGTACGTGATTATCAAGTCTCTTCTTAAAGCAGTCCACTGAGTGGGCTGTGGCTATCTCGGCTGGGAGAGCATTCCAAGTTGCGACGACTCGCAATGAGAAAAAGTGTGCACGAATCTGAGTATTTGCTCTTTGATGTGCAATCTTTTGAGGATTGCCTCGAGGGGAGTGGTGGTGATGCATCGGTAGGATGCTCACATTGGGATGGTTTGGCGTGTTTAATATGGTGTACGCCATAATCAGGTCACCTCTGATTCTCCTGTAGCTCAGTGGGAATAATCCCAAGAGCTGGAGTCTATCGTCGAAGGGTTTATTTTTCAACCCTATCACCCATTTGGTTGCTCGTCTCTGCACTCGATCCAAGAGATTAATGTCTCTTTTAAGTAGAGGGGGTGCGATGACGTTGTGAACCTCCAAGTGTGGGCGCGCGTACGTCTTAAAGAGGGTTAAAAATAATT